GGAGCAATTTGGATTCTTTTTATCTTTTAAGCTTACTGGTACCAAAAGTTTTCTATTTCAAGAGAAACTGTTTGGTACTATCGTCCTTAAAGCTGTTCCACAAAAATTTTGCAAGCTTAAAGACTGCAATGTATCCTACCTTTTCTGACACAGTGAATTTTCTTATACAGAAGAGAGGGTAATTGTGAAGAGCAGCTCCCCTCTACCAACTGTTGGCAAACTGTTGGTCAACTGTTGGCTAACTGTCAGCCATTAGCAAAGTTTTTCAGAGATTTGTTTTTCACAATTACTTGACCCATTAACTCATAGAAATGATTCACATGTAGCTTCTCCTTATAAAATCCATACTCTATCCAACAAACAGGTAATGAGAACACTCAAACTAATCAGGTAGAAGTTGTTGTCTTGATCTAACTTCAAATCCCTGTTACTGGTACTCATTTACAAGGAAATCTGTAGCAGCTAGAGGGGGGGGGGAAATTTGCAATCAGATCTTGGGAGTTAAAGGGTTAAATCCAGAGTAACTCTTGGTAATATACTGTGATCATGAGGGTTCGGGCAACCGTGAAAAGAACTGTAGCAGTTATGTATTAACAAGGTGTGGCACCTGCCAACCTTGATGGAAGTTGTCATCCAATACATTTTCTTCAGCCAAAAGTACTACAGAAGAACCTCAATTTAATGAACATCTGTATAACGAAGTTCTCAGTATAATAAACGATACTCTTCAGCCTGGCCAAAGTTAAAGTAAAATGTATGGGACAGAACCTTGTTAACACTAAACTTAACCTGTAGCCCCCAAATATTTTCCTCACCTTACTTAAAAAAAATTTTTTAAATTTTTCACAATTTTGCCAGTTCCTCAGTTCGTAAGCCCAGCCAAGCCTCTATAATGGTCATTAGCCCCTGTAATAGCTGTTAACTACAGGCTTGTAGTGTTACTTGTAAAACTCCCTGAAGAAGTCTACCACAGTTCGATGAAACACGTTGGAGAATAAAAAAGTTTTACAAGCACTGTTTGCAGAGTGCTGCTTACTAGTTTAATTTTTTTAAAAAATTTAAAAAGAAACAATTCTTCATGGTAATAGTTCTGATCCCAAAATGCTAAGTAGTGTAATGTCACACCACAAAAAAAAGAAAAGGAAAAAGAAAGCAACTATTAACTGTACCTTGATATAACAAATGTTTTGGTGGTTTTTCCACAAATTGATTAAATTAAGGTTTTCCATAGAACAAACCCATGATATAATGAACCAATTCCCCCAGTCCCTTGGTACTTCGTTAAATTGAGGTTCCACTGTAGCATGTTTTCTTGGAAAATCAAAGTCTGAATTTGTTAATTAAAAAAAAAATAACAACAACTTTTGTGTTTCTTTTCTACAGTCTGAAAAGGGTCTGTTTGATTCTGTATATAGAATGATATCAGTATGATCTTGATTTAAATGATTTATGATCTGTGAAAGCATTTATGCTGGAATCAATGTGAAAAGATGATGTTTGGCCAAACATTTAAGCACCATTAACACCCAAAAATTGACAGTGATATTTAAATGTTATCTTGCAGGGAAAATCTGATGAAGAAATGCATTCATGGATTGATGCTATTGCTAGTGCACTGCTAAGAGGGAGATCATCAAGTGAACCAGTATGTTAATTAATTTTTTTAGTGATTCCAAATTTTGCAATAGAAGGGTCCTTATTTTGCACATATCTCTCTCAGTGCCAAGATCACTTTGTACAAACATTAATTATAGCATGTTTATTTAATTACCCTAAAAATTAAATAGCTTTTCCTGAATTAAATTGACTAGATTGAATAACCTTTTTTCTCCCATTGTTAACATGGATAACATACTTAAAAAGTTTGGCTACAAAATGATTGAGCCAGTTACAAAACGACTCAACTGACTGGGTACAAAATGACCTAGCTGGGTAGGAAAGACTGGGTACAAAACGACCAAGGATACAAGACAACTGGTAAGCAGCACCAAACCTGCTTGTTTTGAGGTACAAAGATAATGCAAGAGGTCTCTGTGGGGTCTGCAATAATTTGTTTATAATAATAATAATGTTAAATTAATGAGGGAACCCAACCTGCCAAGGAAGTTTTTTAGTGGGACCCTCAAACATGATACACATTTTCCTCAAAGTCACCCCTCACACACTAACTTTGTCCTCTTGATCAAATCTGGTAGACTTTGCCTCTCTTGCCACAGTGCCAAACAGAACCTGCTTGATGACAACAATGAGTGTTTCCTTAAGATAACTTTGAGATCTAATTCCTTTTTTTCTAGGATCCTAAAAAGAGTCAAGAGATATTTAGAAAAAGTGTAAATTATCCATATGCAGAGACGACAACCCTTTAGCAACAGAGAACAGTGAACAAGAGCATTGCTGAATGAGGACACCTATTCAAGATAAAGACTTGATATCAATGATGAATACTGCCTGTGAATAACTTTAACTGCACAAAATTGTCAAAATTGCAAAAAAATGTTTGCTTTCCCCTCAATGACAATTGATGGGAAATGCAGAGGAGTTATGAGGAAGCTAAAATTGAGAAAATCATCAAAAATTACAATATTTTCTTATTTTCAGCCTTCTTTTCCAATTAGTGTGGAGTGAATTGCCTGGTAAAAGGCTTTTGAAGCAGTGAGTCTAGGAGGAAACCATTTGACAAAAAAATTGTGAAAATTACAAAAAGTGCTTGACCTTGCTATAGTTACACAAGTTTTTCAATTTTGTATCTTTTTCAGTCCTGGACATAATGAGGAATTGGGGGTGGAGAGGGGAATTCACTGGCCGTGGTACATTTGTCTTTCTTTTTTCACAAAAAGTGATAACTTAAAATATTCTCAAAACAAATGGTTTGTCTCTGTTTTCCTGTAAATATATGGGAATTGCAAAAACCTGAGGTAACCATATTGTGTAACAATGGTGTGAATTAACTGATCCTTGTCAAATTTATAAACGATTTATGGTGGTATGCCACATTAATCTTTCCAGTTGGGACCTACCTATGTGTTATTGATAGGTTATTAACATTTGAAAGTCAGTAAAACTAACAGAGGTTGTTTAATAATGGGAGTTGAACTGAATGAAGTGCAGTTTGGTTTGGTCTGAAGTCTTACTTTTGATTTATAATCCACAAGAGGTAAGTATGATTTTAGATCATAATTGTACAACTTCAAGTTCAATTACCACAGTGCCTTTGTTGCATCCATTTTGAAATGTAAAAATTCAATTGCCTAAATACAGGATTTTAGTCAGTACAAATGTTTCATTGCTGTTTCTCAAAAACTGTAAGAAATTAAATTCAGTGGTTGATTTGGAAAAAGGAGTTTTGTGAACAAAAGTTGCAAATTCTTCACCTAATGCTTTGTCTGTCACAATCCTGCAATTTGAGTAGTATAACTTTTAAAAAGCCTTGAAATCTGATTGCTTGTCTTGTTTGCGTGCCTTTTCATTGGTTTGGAAGGAGGTGTGATTTGGAGCAAAAAAATGCGACTTGTGAATAAATTGTACTGCTGAGAGCCAATCAGATTTTAAGGATCACCAGTAATTTCAAAATGGAAGTAATAAAGTTAAAATTTCTATAAATATCTTAACATAACAATTAGAGGAGTGACTGGTGATTTTTATCACCTGAATGGTGACTAGCAAGAGGCGAAGCCCTTAGCTTGCAAGTTCAAAAGTTATGCCACTTAAACTTTTATGCATTTCATTTTGGTAGATTTTTAGAAATTTACTCAGTATTTATTGAGGGAAAACCTTGTAGTTGGGGTGCACAAGCTTATCATAGTATGAGAGTTTGCATTTATTTAGAATATTAAAGTAGAGGTTTGTTAAGTTTAGATAAACTAGAAAAATTTCATATTTTTGGAAAAACCGTTTTTTGCATATATTCATATACAAGAACATATTGAGAGATTCATTTATAGTAATGTAAGTAAAGGGATTTTTCCAACAATTATGAGCGCAGTAATTTTTTTAGGAATAATTTTTGAAAGTGCTGTAAGTTATTTTTTTTAGTGCATAATGTAACTGAGTTAAAAGTGTCTCATTCAATATAACAACTTGGTGGTGGTTTAAGGACGTTTGAAGTGTTCATACCTTAACTGTACACTGGATTGTAGAAAGGGCTTTAGAAAGACCGAGACGAAGGGATAAGGGTTTGTCGGGACTCGACTCGCTTGAGAAGCCGCCCCGCACTCTCAACCAATCAGAATCAAAACTGAAAACAAACACGACTTCGCCAGTCGCCTTTTCCCGCGAAAAATGTGTTTTCATTGGCTTTTTTCATTAAGTTTTCTTTCCTCTGATTAGCTGTTTTGGTAACTTAGATGTCGATGTAAGGATACTCAATCGAAAATGTGCAATACGAGTCCTGTGATGGGTCGTAAGTGTTTTTTTGGAAAAGCAACTCGGAAACTGACGCTAGGGAAGCTTACTGGAGCAGTATTGACGATTTTAATTAAGGAACGCACTCTGAAAACGCACTTCAGGGAACTTAGGATCAAGCTTACGACTGAACTCACTTTGGTGTTACAGTTTGAATCATTTTAGAAGTCGTATTTTTAAATGATTTTCGAGAACGTTTCGTTGAAACACGCTCGGGAATTAAAATCTTGCACACTCCAAGAAACACGTTTGTTTCGCTAGAGCCAGGAAGTCATTTGACATGAGCAATTACGGAACGCAGTCCGAAATGCATTTTGAACCACATTCTAGGAGGGTAATTTCGGAGGAGGCAAAACATATTTCTGGAGCAAATTATAGGTATTACTCATCTCGTTTACCTTAGTTGTAATCACTTTCGATGTAGACCGGGCCGTTTCGACGGCATATTATGAATACAGTGGACTAGCACGCATTGCTTTTTATGAAACATACTCCGCTGCGATTTATGGGTATTCATCAGAAAATCCACGCAACGAATCCAGCACACAGCAACTCGGAAGTTTGATTTGGAATCGAAATCCAAGTTTTTAATTCCCAGTTTGATGCTCTAGGTTCTATATCTCGATTACCAACGTGAATTTGATTCTAAGATCCAAGTTGTCGATCTGTCCATTCTCAGGCCTTTTCTGGCGAGTGACATTCGAAAGACACTTTCCCGGATGTTAGACAAACTCCACGTTACATATCTATTTACTGATGTTTTAGCTTAATGCATGTTAATGGCGTCTGATATCAGGAAATTCAAACTAAAATTGTGCGTAATATCTGATATATAAATTATAGTTTAATGTAACATTTTATCGTATTTACACAAGTTATAGTGCTTGCACTAAACTGGAGAAAATTAATAGCTTCACAAACACGTGCACCATGTGGCGGGAAAAGTGCGAATTTGATTCATCGCCAGTAATTCACTTTCACAAACGATTCTTACAAATCTTGATATTTAGACTTACTAACACTTGATCTAAAACAGCACAGGGCACATTCAAGGCCCAAAAAGACACCAAAATATTGAAAGAAACATCCTACTGTAGCTCACATGTACACGCTTCAAACTGCTCATCCCAAATCTCATTAAACTTGTTCAACTTTTAGGCAAAAAAAAATTCTTACGGTGCCTCATAGAATTCTCTAACATAATTATAAATTGGCAACCAGGCATGTCCGATGCCGTGACTAAAGATCTTGTCTAACGTTTGTGACTAGAACTCTAGAGATTCTGACGCATGTCATTTATATTTTTCCACTGGCCTGCAGTCTTCTGTGCAGAAAGAGTGACATAAGCAGATTCTTAGGGAGGGATCTGAGCTGCTTTTGAAGGGTTGAATAACACTTGACCACTGTATCTGCACATAATCTAAGAGGAAAAAATTCACTATTCAGGCACCATATCAAATATTAACCAAAGTTTCTTGAGGCATCAAGACTTCTAAAACACACAGGAAATATGCTCCCCCGTCCCTCCCCTCCCCCTCTGTTGTTTGCATGTAGAAAATGAAAAATAATTTCTTACAAGTTCAAAGGCTGAGGTGTAAACCTAAAGATCAGGATACTGTCACAGTGCTCCTGAAAAAAGAAAAAAACCAAGAAAATATTACTTATTGTAGTTCAACTGACAAACTCTTTGAAGCTACCTCTTTTACCTTATGGTTTCTTAGAATGACTGTTGGTTACTGAATTTAGCTAGAAATAATCATACACATATATAACACCACACCAGGCTGGCCTTGTGAGTAGGCCTGGTAAACCTCTTTTGCTGATTCATGAGGGTGCTTGCTTTGTGTCTGTGATAACAAGAATCTGAACCACAATCAGTTGAAGTGAAAGTTAAAAAATTGTTCTATCAGGATGACTAGTCAGATATTGATAGCCTAAAAAAATTGCAAAAACAGTCATCAAACTATTCCAACACTTGGCTGATAACAAACATGTATGTATTGCTACGATCCATATCATTAATGAGCAGCATTAGAAAGATACACTGTAGCATAGATTGAAACAGTACAGTAGATAATGCACACTGAAGCATGAATTTGAAATTGTTGCCTATTCACCTGTTCAAGAATTAACACTGATGTGGCACATCCTCCAAAAATTAGAACCTCTCCAGGAGAAGTTGTACAACAAGCTGTATGCCACATTCGAGTCATGGGTTTACTGAAACCAAAGGTAAGCAAGTGTCACTCTTCTCTTTGAAAAACCCTTGTCCCCATCATGCTTTTATATTTGGTTACATCACACAAGTTGTTGTTACCTTGGCCAAAAAGTGAAAAACAAGGGGCAAAAAGAGCAAAGAGAAGCCCTGGTCTTTCCTCCTAAAAACCCAAACATTCTGTCGTCTGCTCATTCTTTCATCTTTACTGACCAAGAATCATCCACAGGCTGTTGACAACTGCTGTCTCCTGCTCTAGCCTGAACAGTTGTGGTAATGGTTTTGCAGTCACACTGATTGGGTTTGCAAATAGTCTTTATTTGATAAGTTTGAGCATGAGATGGCATTATAATGGCATAGACTTGGGATAATAGATTTCCTCTCTACATGTGAGAACTTCTAGGAGAGGTGAAACCAAATCAAACAAGTAAACCAAAAAAGTGAACTTTGTTTTTCATTCATTTTATTCAAGAACTTTCCCAATAGGCAGTGAAAACCCTTTTTTCATTGCAAATACCTTTGTATTGAAGGGACACTGAGTTGAAACCAGATCATTGTTGAGGTGTCAAGAGTATAAGCATCGCCTGAAAATATTAAATGTTATTTGAAAAAGAATTCTTTCATTCTGTCAAAACTTTCATCAAGGATTAGATCCCAACCATGTTAAAAAAGGTGGGGGTTGTGGTAAATCATGCTTGCCTTATCTAAATAAGAGTGGTCCTAAAATCAACCAATAATCCAAACATCAATAATGCTGAACATGTCGCATTAAAAAAAAATTTTTTGTTTTTGGAGTTTGAAGTTCTCTGAAGTCTCACCTAATGCTTCTCCTTGATTGTTAAAGCCTCCATAGAGAAATAAATGTTTGTCACTGACAGCAGATAGGGAATGCCATGTTCTTCCATCTGGCACTTTACCTGTTGTTGGAATACTAATTAAACCATTAATTATAAAAGTGTCATTATAATGTAATTTATAATCATACAATTGGCATAAGGCAATGAATTCAGTAAAAATATAATCAGCATAGATAGATGATTGGATTTAAGCTGTATTCACCTGCCACTCCATTCCATGCTGTCCATATCAAAGGCATGCAAATCATTACGTCGTTGTTCCTACCAGTCGAAATAAACAAGTTAACAAGACCTTACACAGCACATGGACAAAGTGTTTTTGTCTTTAATACTTAGTAATTCTCAACCTTGTTTTGTCCTTGTTTAGGAACTAATTTGTCAAACAATGCAGAGGTCTTTGCTGGAACATAGACCTGTGAAGTATTGACTTTAAAAGCATTATCTCTCCACATATATCTTCAAGTTGAGGAAGACTAAGTTCCAAATAAAAGATTTTCAAATACTCCTTGACCAACTAGTGTGCACCTTTATAACCTATTGAAAAAAATTGCTATTTGTAATTTGCACTTGTTACCACTTAGCAAATTCGCAATTTGTTTTATCTAAAAAAAATGCACTCATTTTCAGCCATGTGGAGATACACAAAACAGAATATTTTTTACTATAAACTTTACTACATGATAAATCCTATGATGAACATTAAAGAGGGTATGTTTGCTGATGTCAACTACAATACCATGTATCTTCCACCAAAGATATAAGCAATATTTCCAAGTTTAGCTGCAGCCTGTGCTGCTCTTGGTGTGGGGGCTCTCCCCTACAGAGAAAAACAGCATCATCAGAAACAATGCAACTGAGAAAAAAAATGCTATGTAAGTTGAGAGTATCTCATTACATCACACATTTTATTTTATCCTACTGACCATTTTTATTGGTTTTTGTCAATGTGGGTTTTTCCTTGAAAGTATTAACGAAGCTATTTCAAAGTTACACATATTTATATAAAACTTATTTTATGCCACAGATTTTCTAAGTCCATCATTCTAATTTTTTCCATTCCTGTGCTATTCTGAATCAATCTACCCATAACTTATTCACTTCCTGTCCACCCTGGCTGAAAAATTATTAATGAGAGAGGTTTCTTTCTTTTCATTTGTTTTCTTCTTTAAAAAAGTTACAAATCAGGATAAAAAAACATTTCATACTGTCATTACACATACACATACTGTCGACCAAAGCAATTTAAATATTCAAGCAACACAAATAAATGTACTCAGTTTAAACCCACCTTTGTCTGTGGTTGGCTCCATGTTAAACGTTCTGTATCCAGAACAAACATGTGACTGTTCCATCCTCTGATGTCCTAATGAACCAAAATAAAAGAGAACGTGGAAATCAGCTTTCTCTTCTTTTCACCAAGGAAATCAGAGACTGCATAAAAAAATTTGAAGTGATACAAATTTTAGTTCACTGGACATGTTGTACAGTCTTTAGGGTGTCGCAGTTCCAAAGACCACTCTAGAGTGACCTAACTCTTCACAAATAGTCGCAAGATGTACTAAACATTTGAAAATGGATGGTATCATTTGAAAGACAACTTAGCAACCAATATGAACATAAACAGATACCAAAAAATGCTGTTTATAAACAGCAGAAGTTGTCACTGTCACATAAAAGCATTACAATTTGCTCTTCTGCGTACTGCTCAAACAGGTTGCCAAGAGATAGAATAAAAATGGCGTCAGACTGTAACACGTCACAAGGGAGTGGCCAGGTTTCTGAGAAATATCTAAATTGGCTGCATCCATTTCAAGTTTCCACAAGGTGAGCTTACAAACTCAGGAATCTCAAGTCATAATGCCTGCCATAGTTTCATAATTACATTGTAAAATCTTTGATTGGTAGGGGAAATAATCATTCTGGAGAATACCTCTCCTTGGAAATAATATGTTTGACACTAAAAACTTACAGTGAATTGGTCCTCAACACTGGTATTAAATGTGAAAAATCCGCAAGACTCATCCACTTTACGAGGATCTGGAGGTATTCCATACCCTCCAAAATACACTATTCTATACAAATGAAAAAATATATATATTATATAACTGTAATTTATCATCTAGCTAATTACTGTTTTTGGTTTCAACCCTCTACCTTTCACAATTACAACTATAACAATTCTGCAAAGTTTGAATATCTAGTGTCAAATGCAGCTCAGTTAAGGCTATGAGAGTTCTACTGGTGCCTTTCACTGAGAAAAGACTGTTTTTCATAATTTATTCATTTTTACTAGGCAGTAGATCCTCACAATGTTAGACTTAGAGGTTGCCATTAAAACAAACTGTGTGAGCAGAAGGCAGCTCAAAGGAAATCTTTAAAGTCAGGATCAGGGGCTCTTTGAGGCCCAAATGGGTGCCCTGACCAGCAATGAAATTGTGGATTGTAATTCCAAGTCAGGTTTCTTCAACATATTAAGGTACATCATGATCATGGTGAACATAAACATTCTCAGTATTTCATTATAGTTACAGGTTTCAATTGATACAAGCAGGAGAATGGTCTAGAGCAATAAGAGAATCTAAATATATAATATAAGGAAACAGGGTGTAAGTTTCTAAAGAAACTGTGGTGCTTTGCCAGTGTGGGAGTATGACAGCCTTGGTTTTATCAACCAAGCCGATAATGTAAACTGGCCACCCTGTGGAGTTTCTCAGTTAAAAAATTCAAGCATTAGCCCTTTGTCAGAGCAAAGGACAAAGAGCTTAATAATGCTTGATACATCAGCTTAGAAACTCTTTATGGTGGCCAATTTTCACTATCAACTCAGTTAATAAAGCTAAATTACCATTTAAACGTGAAATAGCTTGGGTGTAGAAAAAAATAGCTTCAGCATAGAATATTCTGTGTAGTAGCTGGAGAACTCTCTAATACCAAATAGATGCCCTGAGTCTATTTGAGGAGAACTGAAATAAAAATGAGGGATACAACAAGAAACACAAAGGAGAAATGGTAAAATTATTATTTTTTCACAATTTTTTGGAAACAAATGAAATGATGCAATATTAAATAACTTACAAATCATTGTGTGTCCAACAACACAGCTTGTCCCTGTCTGAAGGGGGATTACCTTCAATCTTTTCGGTCAAATTTTGCCACACAAATTTGTTCAAATCTAAAACAAAAACCTATCAAAGAAAACATGCAGTTCCAATTAACTCAAACATGAAACCTTGTCGTAGAACATAAAGGTTGGGAGACAGTCACACAATTTTAAAAAATAGTTTTCAACTGATAAATTATAACTCAGCTTTTGAAAGCTTACAAGATCCAAAATTAAGTTTTTCACCCTTTTACCGTCAGGAGAGATTCATGTGTAACTCCACCAAGTATAACATCCATACATTATCCAATAAACATGTAATCAGAATACTCAAACTAATCAGATAGAGGTTGTTGTCTTTATCCAACACCAAATTCTCCCAACTAATTTACAAGGAGATGTGTTGCAGCTGGAGGGAGGAATTACATGTAACAATCAGATCTTGCAAGTTAAAGGCTTCATGTAGGTGCCACCTAGGTACAATTAATAATAGGAAATTTTTTGTAGCCAAAAAGACTCACTGTCGAAGAGGGTCCTTCATCATGATGCCCAGCAAATATGTACATATATTTGCCACCAATCACACAAGCTGTTGATCCTGACATGGGTGGAGGTATGTCTCCACTTGTTTCAACATGTTTCCTAAAAACACAATTATTCAATGACAAGTGACTTGCTCTGAGAGTGTAAATGGCTTTCATTTTTATCTGGTATCTGCAGTGCCACTACATGTAGCTAGATATAGCACATCTGTCCAAGTTTCCCAAACAAGAACATGTTAATTCAAAGTCAACTATTGCATTCTTAACCCTTTGATCACTATAAGTGACTAGAATCTAATTTCTCCTCACAATGTCACTCCTGAGTCACACATTAAGGTCATGAAAATATGGAAAATGATCAACAACCAAAGAGGCTCATGATTGCTAAACAATTCTGCTTGTCAGCCCCTTAGGAAATGTATAGAGAACAATATGGAGAAAATACATACTGATGTTGGTATATAAAGAGTTAAAGTCTGCTCATCATGCATCCTTACCATGCAGAAGTCTCAATGCAGTACAACCAAACTTCATTACTGGGATGATACCTGTCGACAAGAAACTGCAATCCAGGAAACTGTTCAGGATCACCCTTAGGTAGAAAAGTTATAAAAAAAAATGAAAGACTGAAATTTTTTCAAAAAATTAGCAGAAAAGTTTATTAATACATTTCTAGTGTTGTTTTTGGTCACTCAACTCCAGTTATCAGCTTAGATTCCATCACCTTGTGTCAAAGTGCATTGTGCCAGCTGTTACAAAGCTGAAACAAACTCTACATATCCAAATGTTCAGGATTTAATGAAACTTAATAACACAATTATTCCATTCAAGCTTGTTGGGTTCAACATTGGTTATAGCCAACTTAGTGCTTTGCACCTCATTAGCTATTTAACATCTCATATCCAATGTCCACTCATAAAATAATTGTTTGTTCTCGCATGAGCTTTCAGTGATCTCAGACAATATTGACCTTTAAATATTTCATAAGAGCTTTCAGTGATCTTGTAAAATGTTAACTTGAAATAATTCACAAGAGCTTTCAGTGATCTCAGACAATTTTGATCTTTATTCTGATTGACTGCCCCCTTAGTTTGATTTCGATTTCATGACAGTAGATGAACAAGTGATCCTCAGTTTACACTTAGATTTCACAGGTTATCCCGGCCCAACTGGTTTTGTTCTCTAATAAGTCTTTTAAACTTGTGCCACGTCTTCAACCAAGAAGCTGGAAACCCAAAACCAACTACGATTTTATCAACTGAGTTGATACTGTGAATTGACCCATGTAGAGAGATTCTACAAATAATGTTTCAAGCATTAACAGTTCATTAGTGCACCCTTCACTCTTATAAAGGGCTAACACTCGAAAAATAAAATCTCTCTAAGGTGACCAATTCACATCATCTACTCAAATAAATTATCTTCTAACACCCCTCCCCACCACGTAGCACCACACTTTCCTTGGAAACTTACCCCCAGCCCCTCTCACCCCAAAACCAATCATGACTTTGTAGCTCAATTTCCCTTGTTGGTTCTGCATGATATTTTCCTTTGATCTAATCGGTACTTAAATCTATTTTCATTCAATAAACCTTGGGTGACAAAGTAAGATTGATTGAGTTCCTAATTAATATTCAAGCTCACTTACGTTGCAATAGCCTCCCCAAACTACTAGATAACCATCATGGTGAACCGCTACATGACCACTTCTTTCTCTTGGCTTCACCGTGCCATTTATGGACGGAAACACAAATGTCATGTTCAGTTACTTAGAATAAAAAGAGGGGAATCGCAACACCTGACATTCTAAGCATATCTTCTTTCGCTTTCCATGAAGGTACATAACATTAAAGCACGACTGCACTGAACCATGGGAAAGCTCGTATCTTTACCACGTGATTTTTACTGTTGGATTTTATTGGCCCATTCAAATGTGGCACGGAAATCGAACGTCGGCGAATACCTTGCAGAGAGCGTAATACCTGTGTACTGTAAAAGAACTGCAAATCTTAGGACAAAAAAGGCCAGATCCGATCCCGTTCTTTGTTCGTAAAATTTAACATACTGAAAAGAGAGTTATTTGTTTTAAGATGGTCAAAAGCAAAGCGCCGCAAGAGAAGAACATCCAAGTGGTCGTGCGTTGTCGGTAAGTGAGATGAAAATCGACAGATTTCATGCACAGAATTATTTTATCTTAAGTCTCTCTGTTCTTTGATTAATCGGTAGTCGTAGCCAGTCGATCTATGAACAGACAAATTAGATTTAGGTGGTTAAATAACTCTAAGATGTGAGTTAGCGATGGATGATTCTTTGGCGTCTTTCACTGCTTTGGTGATCAAGTTACTTGTAATCTTACGTTCAAGAAATCACAAAAAATTTCATATTTTCAAATTTCTCAGAATGAATCATCTCGCGTTCATATGGCTGTACATGTAAAAATATTTTTTTGTAAATAACGAATGGAAATAGCACAGGCATCCAGAGGATCGGGTACAGAGTCCGAATCCCTAAAGATTAGAGTGACTGAACTCAAGCTGTTTGTACATCCCTGCCAAACCCACAAATTAATGTTGGCAAATAAATGGAAGAGAGAACCTATCCGAAAGTAACAGATGTGTTTTCATTGATCTTTTTATTTTCACCCTGTATTTTTTTAGGCCACGTAATGGAAAAGAAGTCAAAGAAAGCTCACCATCTGTGGTAAAGTGCCAACCTTTGAAGAGGGAGATTGTCGTCAAACACGACGTTGGAAATATTTCATCGGCCACATCTACAACAAAGACATTTACCTTTGATCGTGTTTTTGGTCCAGAAACCAAGCAGATTGATGTTTATCGCTCAGTTGTTGTGCCAATCTTAGATGAAGTGTTGATGGGATACAACTGTACAATCTTTGCGTAAGTCTACTGTAGGTTATTCTGTTCGTATTTTTCCTTCTTATGTTTCAGTTGACCATAATTCCTGACAACTGTAAGGTAAATCAGCCTTATATATCTTTTTATAGCTATGGCCAGACTGGAACAGGAAAAACATATACTATGGAAGGAGAGAGAAGTCAAGAAGATTGTTCTTGGGAAGAGGTTTGTGTATAATTAACAATTAGATTTCATGTTTGTGTGGGTCTGTTTAGTAACAGATCACAGATAACTTCAAAATGTGGTAAGGAAAAAAAAAGTGGCACTTTGGGCAAAACTTAGTATGTCACTGATGCTTTTACCAAATTTTGATGTCTTCTGTGATCTATTACTGCACAGACCCATGGCGACATGGAATCTGTTTGTTTTATATCATAATGATAAAGAGCAAAATGTTTTTTTTATGATGATGTCATCTACATGTCTGTCCTCCATTAAATCATTAATAAGATTGAATCAAAATGCATGTTTAATTCAGCTTATCATATAATGATTATTATAATTGTACCAGTCATTTCTCAACCAAAAAGAGAATGAAATCAGCTGTGCCCTGGGCAATGCACTCACTGACATGCCCAGATAGTTGAAACATTTAACCCTCTTCTGGGGGGGGGGGGGGAATGCATCATTATACTGGTATCAGAGAGGATGATCATGGAAAGAGTTTAGGTACAGAAGAGGTTGGTAACAAGTTGCAGCTGTGATTTCTTTTTGTCTGAAATGAAATGAAAGGTATTCCTTTAAACTGGTGGTCGGAGTTCAACAAACATGACAACTTGAGGTGGTTCAGAAAAGTTTTGAAAAATTTTGGTTTGGTTTTTTTGCCCATCATCTAAAGAACAGATGCTTTCCTCATTTAAAAGGAAACATTGTTCCTTCATAATTTGTTGTTGAAGAAGCAAGAGTCTGTAAAAGGTTTTATGTGCATCAAAAGGGAAAACCTCCAATTTTTTTCCTTTACTATCCTTTACATTATGTAAGCCATCATGGACTTGGGAAGTTAAATCAGATACTGTATGTGTACCATATAACAATCATGATGGGCATTTGAGCACCAGTTTTGGATAAAGGGGTTTCCCTTAAAGAGAATGTTCAGTAACTAAACTGATCCATAGGAAAACAGCTGATGACTATTTCTAAATACTATATGTTTTATAATTGGAGGGCTCAGAGCAAGAACGATCCCTTGATTTTTCAGCCATTTTTGAAAGTGTTCAGAAGAAGTTGACAACTACTTCTGAACACTTTCAAAAATGGCCGAAAAATCAAGGGATTGTTCTTGTTCTGAGCCTTTCAATTGGACTCTATAAATTCATTATTAAATTCTTGACTCATGTCTCCAAAATTACCTCATCCTTGATTGTTTTATCTTTTTTTTTGTGAAAATTATCAGATTGTTTTCTTACATGTTCCTTAATTCTAGGATCCCTCAGCGGGAATCATTCCACGAACCATGCATCAGTTGCTGGAGAAACTCAACAGTCAAACTGTAAGTTATTTGCATTAAGCTAGGATTTACTTTGTAAAAAATTTAGAAAGGACAGTGAAAGCTAACTTTCTGATCAGTATTCCTCACACACATGGTCAAATCTAATATATTCTGTGGAAAATTTGAAACCACTTCTTTGAGGGGTACAGAAAGGGTTCAAGAGAAGGGAGGTTCAGGTCCAGTTGTCCTCACCAGATAAATCATATTTTAATGATGCCACCAATTGCATGAAACAAGCAGAAATCATTAAAACTATTCAACTTTTTGCATTCAGTAGTTGTTGATAGCAATTACTTTTGTGCAATAATTTGAATTCAATCTCCCATTTTTCATTAGGACTGTGAATTCTCTGTAAGAGTTTCATTTTTGGAGATCTACAATGAAGAACTGTTTGATTTGCTGAGCTCAAGTTTGGACAGCCAAAAAATGCGTCTTTTTGAAGACTCCTCTCGAAAAGTGAGTACATTACAATTAAAGGTGAAAGTTGAATGTGAAATCTTTAAGCCTAATGAGCTGCTGTCTTTAATTCGCACTTGACTGATTCCCTATCTTTTTTTATTACTACATTGTTCAAGTTAAGAAGTGAATTTTTACTGTAAAAAATGTTTCGCTCTTCAGCTTTGTAGCTGTGGGCCTTATTATTAAGGTTTACTCTTTCACCCCTAAGAGTGACCAGCATCTAAATTCTCCTCACAATATTAGCCCTGGATCAAACTTAAAGGTCACAAGAGTAAAGGAAATGATCATGAACTCAAGAAATTATTGATTATTAAACAAATTCTCCTTGTCAGCACCTTGGAAATGTGTAGAGAACAGTATGGGGAATATGGTTCATAATCATACCTCTCTATTCCATCAGGGGTCTGTTGTCATTCAAGGACTTGAAGAGCTTGTTGTTCATGACAAAGATGATGTGTATAACATTTTAGAAAGAGGCAGAGCAAAGCGTCAAACAGCAGCAACTCTGATGAATGCACATTCAAGGTAAAAAAGCCTATTAGGTATAATGAGAATGTCTTTGTTTTGTACTGGCATTAATTCTTTATGATTGTCTGATAAGATGAGTCAAGCATGAAGACACTGTGCTGTATAGGAAGATTGGTCAATTGATACACATGTTCTCCTTTTCACATTAAATGTTAGCTGTCCTTGTTTCATGTAAAAGGAAGTTATCTCTGATTTTCCTGATTGCTAACAGCCCATATTTTTTGCTCTAAGAGTGCACAAAATCTCATAAACCTGTCTCTTTGGAAAAAAAAGAATAAAGAGGTTAAGTTTCTAAAGAAAGGTGGTGCTGCATTGGTGGGAGAGTATAACAGGGTAATAAAGTATTATCAACTGAGTTGATAGTACTTGTAGTCTGATGAATAAGTATCAAACTTGATTTTTGCTGGTTCTTTGTGAATAAACTTGCATTTTTTTCCATTTAAGAGCTTATTACCAATTGTATGTTTCTAGTCGTTCCCATTCTGTGTTCTCTGTCACCATTCACATTAAAGAGAATTCTGTCAGTGGTGAGGAATTATTGAAGATTGGCAAGTTAAACTTGGTGAGTAAAAATGCAGTTTTCTATGTAATTTTGAACCTGATGATGAACCTTGTTATAATACATTGGCAATGTTAGTGGGGAAGCAAGCTTGTACTCTGCAGTTATGTCTTTAAATATACCAAACACTTAAAGTATATTGGTATATGATCATTATTAGAATTAGTACACCTTACAGTACTTTAATACCAAGTGTTTTTCAAAGGACATTGTTTGTGCTGAGAGATTTTCATATCCAGCGGGATTTCAAATCTGAATGTATTTTCTTTTGAAACAAACCTCTATAAAATTTACTAGATTTGATCCACTCCTTGAAAATACCTTATTATTAATGACCTTGAAGAGAGCACACAGTGTAGACTGCATCAAGTGACTGTATGGGTATTTGAATTTTATAGGTGGATCTGGCAGGAAGTGAAAATGTTGGTAGATCAGGAGCTGTGGATAAAAGACTCAGAGAAGCTGGTATGAATTCAGAATGTAATAGAATAACCTAAATAAACATACCCCATATTTAAAAGATATTTACTAATTAAGAGCAAATCAGAGGGCATGCTTGAACTCACAAGATATTTATGACCCCAACATCAGTATGTATATTCTCCATAATGTTCTACATGTATGCATTTGCTAAGGTGCTGACAAGGAGAATTTGTTTCACGATCAAGAGCTTCTTTAGTTGGTGATCATTTCCTTTATTCTCATGACCTTAATGTATGATTCAGGGGTGATACTGTAAGGAGAAATTAGATGTTAATCCTTATCCGGGTCTGAAGGATTAAATGCATGTCCAACTCTTATCATTTATCTTCAAATAAAGTTTGAGAGTATTTAACTTTTCATCTTGATTGTATGAGTTACTAATTTTCAGTTGAATATTATTGAAAATATCATTTCACCTTGTGCAAGGTGATTACAGCAAGATATGATACAAATCTCAACCAATCAGAGCATGTGCATCTCCACAAATTATAGTAAAGTAATATTTAATAAAACCTCTAAAAATATCACTGAGTAATAATTTCACTTTCCTCAGGAACAATCAATCAGAGCTTGTTGACATTAGGAAGAGTGATCACATCACTGGTGGAACGAGCTCCTCACATACCTTACAGGTAGCACAGTGTTGAGTTGCTAATTTGCCTTAAGTATGGACATTGTCAAGCCACAACAATAGAGCAGCAGCCTGTAAACAGACAGCTGTTGGAAGGACTCAGGAGGAGTTTGCCTCTAATGAAGTGGCTGGCAGGGAAGGAGGGATAAGTAAGAGGAATGGCAGATTATCTCTCCCCTCCCCCTTCCCTGTCCTCCTCCTTTTGTCCCCTCCTCTTTTTTCTCCCAGCTTTCATATTTCCTCATTCTTAAGCTTGCAAAACAGGCATAATTTTTTTTGTGGCTCTCAGGGGAATGGGAGTAAGTGCAGAGTGCAAGTCATTTGAAAGGGAAGAAGTGAAAAAAAGCTTGCCATGCCCTTGCCTCTGTTGCCCTACAAACACAAAAAAATTACTGCTGTTCTTTTAGCTACCTCATCCTTGTTTAGAGAGCCTGTTCAGAGGCTAATAGACCTGGCAAAAAATATGTGCATATACTTTATTGCAGCATCTGTTCAGCATGCTTGCACTGATTTGAAAATAATGCTAAAGACCTGTTTTCCCCTTTGATTTCCAAATTCATTTTTCTTTCCTTTTGGGGGGTAGTTGTTGTTTCCTCCTCACTTTGAAAAGACCAAACCATTTCATTGGATGGGGCAGAAGGGTGTCCCTTGTATGCAGACCTTGTAATTTTTTGGTGATTGCTTCCCTCTTGCACCAACAGGGAGAGTAAATTAACAAGGATGTTGCAGGATTCACTTGGAGGTCGCACTAAAACCTCCATAATTGCCACCATATCCCCAGCACTGTGCAACTTGGAGGTAGGATCAGTAAATACATGTTGATGTTTACCACTGTTCATAAATCCATTAGATTTGTAAGACCATCCACTTCCCAAAAAGATACGTGTATTCCCCTATGTTTCTTTGATGTGTTGTGTGATGTGGCATTTCATGGTATGGTCAGCACAAATAGAGAAAAAGAGCGTTGACTTTTATGATGAAATTTTTGAAATTCCATGGAAAGTGGAAAGCCCTAATTGACTAAAGTCAGTGTGCTATGGCCTCATTTGATTGGCAGTCACTATGACATCTGACAGTTGATCATTAGCAGCTGACTTTGGATCAAAGGAGAAGGACCAACATATTGACAGAAGCAAACTATGGTACATACAGTAATGCTTGCGTACACGTTAACCAAAAAATGCACATGAAATGCACCAAAAATCGCATTCAAGTGCCAATTTAAAAAATGCATGTATCAAAAAATTGCATGTGTGCGCATAAGCTTGATACTTCTGTCTCATTTTTATGTATGAGGTAGACCTTTTGTTTTTCTTTTGTTGGCGGTTTGTCATTTTAAAAAGTAGGCTACAGTGCAAGAGCACTAAAATACTACATGGCTATACCAACGATGGGTAAACTTGTTCATTTCAATCTCCGTTCGAACCGACCTTCCCAATATGCTGTCACATACTGTATGATTTGATCTTCTTATTAAAGTAGAACTGAGATTGAAGTGTGATCTTGTTTTGATATCAGCTGTGGTTACTGTTAAAGTTAGAGATTTGAATTTTTCTGATGTTGTAAAACCTTTTCTTTATTCCACTTGAGAAAGTTCCTGTCTTTTCATCTCACTCAAACCTCCTCTGAGACTGAAGGCTTGGCTCTAATGCTATCACATGCATGCTGCAAAGTGTTAGTAATTATCATAAACAGTATCAAAAGCACCAGATTGAATTGTTGATTTAAAAGTCATTATTCATGATGTGTTTTGTCTTTCATTGTTAGGAAACTCTAAGCACTCTGGATTACGCTCACAGGGCCAAGAACATTCTCAACAGACCAGAAGTGAATCAAAAACTTACAAAGAAAACTTTAATTAAGGTACAGCATGATTGCTTATAAATCAAGACAAACAGATCTTAATAAGTTTTGACAATTGTATAGCTATGTACAATGTGCCTGTGTAAGCAGCTGTCTCTAAAAACAACCTTGTATGCTTCACTACAAAAAGGATTGGAATTGATAACTCATGATATTCTTTCAGGAGTACACTGAGGAAATAGAAAAACTTAAGAAAGATCTTCTGGCAGCCAGGGAGAAGAATGGCGTTTACATAGCAGAAGAGAATTACCAGTAAGTTTCCCTATAATGACAAGGTTGTCAAAGGTAGCTGGCAAAAATCACAAACAAATATTGATTTTTTTTATGACATTCCTTTTTCCTTTTTTGAAGTGTGGTTTATTCTATTCACCGTAAATTAAGAAATTTCAGAATGAAGTTAAAAATTTTATGTAGTGTCTTAAAGGAAAATGAGTATGACTGTATTGAAAGATGTATCATTCAAAGCTTGGCAAAGACCTTTCTGTTGTGTCCTTCAGTCAACTGGTTCTACTCCCACAGTGCCTAGCTCTGTTTGGATAACTTGACAAATTTCTGGAAGGTAACCTTTAACTGATCAGCATTTCATCCAGAACAAGTTGTAACAATCCTGGGCACTGAGATTCTCTGCAGATATATAATAAGCTACAATTCTGTTTTTTATGCAGACATTTTAAAAGGCTTTACATTAGTTCTAGCATAAGATAATGCAACCACGATGATGTTTGTCTCTGAACTGTATACTTTTTTTTTTTTTTTCTTCAGTGCTATGCAGCAAGAGATCAAATCTCAGCAAGAGCTGAATGCTGAAAGAGAAGCTAAAATCCAGGCCCTCCAAGAAGAAATGCGAAAGATCAATGAATTGTTCACTGATACTCAGCAAGAGCTGGAAGAAAGATGCATGGAACTGGAAGAAAAGGAAACTGAACTGCATAAAACCAACCTTTCACTGAAGGAAACTAAACATACTTTAAGAACAACAGTCATGGAGAGAGATCAGAATCAGTATCTTGTTGACAATCACAGCAGAAATGAGGATCATCTGCACAGTCAGGCTTCTTCTCTTCTTCACACAGTTGAAGATAGCCTTTCTGATGTACATGGACTCCACTCAAAACTCGACCGCAAGCAAACTGTTGAGGCTCACAATGTCAATGCTCAAGATACATTTGGAGAGGATTGCAAGAATTTGATTCAAAAAGTGAGAAAGAATTTGAACCAGTTTCAAGGAGAGAACACTGTGTTCTTTGATGCAATGAAGAAAACCTTAGGTAGGTAATTAGAAGCCATCAGCATAAATAGAATTTTTAAAAATTTAAGCTGTTTACTTTAATTTTAACTAAATAAATGTTAGACTCTGAACATATTTTTAACCTGGAATGTTACTGGATCAAGAATACATGTAGCAATCCAATCCCACACAGTCTAAATAATGAAAATATCAAGTAGGGGATTATCAGTTGATTCTACACCAATATCTCCAAACTAACATGATAATGATTGTATGTCAGACAGTAAAGAGAATTGCTAATGAGATCTTGGAAGTGTAAGGGCTAATAAGTCTGACCTAGCAATTTTCAGAAGAACCTGTGCACAAATATCATACTCTTAACTTTGCAATTTTGTGTCTACAGGGAACCTTGTTTCAAAGAAGACTGATGAATCATTAAAACTGCAAGATCAAATGCAGAGCTTTAAAGACAACATGATTGTGCAAATGCATGCACTGTCATCCAGAGAGCAGGTATCACTTATTAACCAAATTTGAGACATTGCTTATTAAGTGGTAAACTCATTTATTCTGTATCACTGAATACAATTATTCAAAATAAAAGAGCAAAAAATTACTTTATAGCCTTATGAATAATAAGGATATTCATGTTGATAGAGGACAGATTGGCCAACGTTTTGGCAAAATACACCTGTCCAATACTTGTCTCTGTATTTTGTCAACATGTCAACAATGTTAACAATGTTATTGGTGAGTGGTACCATACAGATAGCACAATATGGTTTTAGACAAACCAGATTTATGTTGCACTGGTGAAAATGCATGAATTATAAAAAAGGTTATCATTTTTTTAACTAAAGGAAAAAGACAGTTCCTGTGAAACCTGGCATAGTGATGTTTCCAGTAAGGTTCAAGAAAACAAGGTAAAAGGACAATTTTGTGTGTAAATTAAATAAACTATAAGTCATGGACACCGGCCAAGAATGAATTATGACACATCCTATGCACTAATGCTCTTCAATGATTTTTTGAAATTATAATTACTTTAAATTATAATTCTACTTGCACACTGATGCCTCTTGTGGTATATGAGGCTGTAAATTAAAGCTTGGGGAATAATTATGGTAATCTAATAAATGTGAAACTCAAACAGTCAGGCAGCTGGAAGAATACTTGATTTGATTCTGACTGGTTAATTATGTACAGACCAATGGCAATAAAGCTCAGTATTCATGTACACAAGAAAACCTAGTGAAAAGCCGGAAACCAATTAACAAATAGATTCCAAATTGCCGTGCGTCTGTTCAGTAATAGATCACAGGTGACGTCAAAATGTGGTAAGAACAAAAAAGTGGCACATGAGGCACAGCCGAGTGTGTCACTGATGTTCTTACCACATTTTGACGTCCTCTGTAATCTATTACTGAACAGACGCACGGCAACTTGGAATCTATTTGTTTTATATAATAAAGAATTAAAAAAAGTTTTAACGATGACGTCATCTATGCGTCTGTCCTCCATGCATGACTGAGCTTATTATATAATTACCACTACTGTCTGTCATTTAGATTTCTGACACCTGATTTGCTTTTACATTGAAACACCTTCCTTGTTTTGCAATAAATGGCTGAGCTAAATCCCTCCACATAATGTTTGTTTTACTACATTCAGTTTTTGAGAGTTCTGATTTTTTGTTTCAGGATAATATTTGCTCTGTGCTTCACACCCTCAAGAATGAGGAGTTTTTGCCCAAAATGAGGGAACTTGAAATCTCAGTTCATTCAATGGCTGCCTTTCAGAAGCAGTTTGCCACATTTTTCAACGATAAGGTAGATGTGGAGCAATTCAGCTCCGAAACATTTAATATATTGCACACATACTGAGTGCCAAGCCAGTTTTTTTTTTTTTTGCTTTAAATTGTTGTTAATTGAGTAAATGTTTAATGGCAATTTTTTATATATCAATTGTAACATAATATTATTCAATGCTTCAATCACAGCCTTTTATATCTTTTCATCTGGGTTTTGCTATCAGAATCTCAGGAAAAAAATTTTCCTTCTTAACACTATCACCACTGTTGCACATAGAGAGCTGGTCCAGCTGGCATCAAATTTTATTAACAATGAACTGCTGCCAAACTCACATGAAGAGGCTTTAATCCATTGTTTTGATTTATTTAGATGAGTAATTTGTCTTCAATGGTGAAAACCTTTGTGGAGGGCCAAGAGTCCATGCTGGAGAGTTTGGATGCAATGGTAGACAGACATTCACAAGAGCAGGTTAATAAATTGTTTACAATATGATTTGTTATTTCATTTCATGTTCTGACTGACTATTTGTTTAGGTGACAAGACAAGTTGTTGCTCTTCGTGATGATGCACTTTGTGTAGGGTCCAAAATTGGGACAGTTGGTCACCAGTGCAGCATAAGAATTGACTGTTGACAACCGGAATGTTTGGCGATGATCTTCACGTCTCGTCAACGGTTTTCCTTTAAACCAGTCACCAATGCTCAAAAAAGATGAAACATCTTTGAGCAAATACAATCAAAACGTCTTTGAAACTTTACCCACTGTATTTTGCCGTGAGGTGAAAATCTTTCAATTGGCAGACTTTTGGGGACCAAACTGCTCCCTGGAGTGATTAAAACAAAAATGTCTAATCCGCACTGGTTACCCAAACCGAAGCTCAAATTGTTAGTAAACCTTAGTTATTTTGCTCTGACTTATTGTAAACATTGTTCGCAGTGACTGTAATTTTTCCGAAGGACTTAATTTCCTTCCGTTGCAGGTTCAAGCATTGGGAGAAATAATGAGTAAGACAGACTCGATGGTAAACAACCAGAAAACCCTTGTAAAGGTAAGACATTCAATCTAAAATTTTATGGACAATTTCTTTATCAAACCAGACTCCATTTTGTCATGTCCGGGTTCAGTTCAAGGTGTTAAACAGTGAAGTCAATAGCGAGTGAGAACAAGACAGGAAGTTCTGCTACAGTTGTGGAAATCTTTTTATTTTTCAAACTCATTTCCTTGTTAGGAGCTCCAGCAGACATTCTTCAAGCAGATGATGTCGCTATTTCAAGAAGTCAATGACAAACAAAGTGAAAAATTATCAGAAGATGCAAGCAAGGTAAGAGATCTCCTGTTACGTGAATTCAAAATAATTGAAACAAAATCTCTCAACTTTTAAACTAATTTTTTTTCCTTGCTTTATCATGATTATTTTTTCTTTTAATTTCACTTCTTCAGGTCACAGAAGTGACTTCAGAGGCTCGAAAACAAGTAGAAAGCGCTAATACCAATCTTAGAAGGTAATGTAATGAATGAAAGGTTGTATTGATTACGATATTTTATTTTCCCTTTTTTTTTCCTATAACAGGGAATACAAGTTCTTCTCTTTGTTATTATCGCCCGTATTTCCCACCCGTTGAAGTTTATGTAGCTCTATTTTAGGTTTCCTTCCTCAGATTGAGATAAAGCAGAAGTTAGGACCTATTCTGAACGGCTGTTCTGTAAATTTAAGCGCTACGATGCAATCGGGGCTTAAGTTGATCATATACAATATATGTAACATTTTTAAGTGTGAAGTACATCGCAAATTGATGTTTTACTAATGTAACTTGTAAGTCCCAACACTGATAAAAAAAAAAATCAACAATCGCATAAAACGTTTACCTTAATTGATGACAGTTTAAAATATGGTTTTGCTGTCTCAACTTCATGTTGAAGTACACGTTTGCGCATATTCTTTAAATTCACTCGAAGTCTACAGCTGCTAACATTTGTACATGTAGTTTCAGCTCTTTCCTAAAGACAAACTTTGTTTTCTGACGAACAAAGGCAGTTTTTAATTTATTTTAGTGAGAAGAATAATTTGTAAATGTTCTAAATTTCATTTTGTCTGTTTAATCTCTCGCTGTATTTCTTTGATTTTAGTTATTGTGACTCTCTGAGGAACTGTGCGTCACAATTTTCTGAAAGCTGTGAACATGCTGTCAATGACAACGTTATCCAGGCACAGAAAAGTTTTAAACAGGTAATTGGAAGTAGCTCTGAGAACTGCATGTTCCAATCCTCTCAGAGGGTTTAGATTTTCTTTGTTTTTCTCTTCTACAGGCTGCAGAACAAATCCAGGAAACTTCAAACATTCATAAAAGCGTCGAGGACGGTGTGGTAAACGCCTCTCACAAAGTTGACCAGGTATACGAACTTGATAATATTTTGTTTTAATAGTTTTCTTTTTTTCATTTTATGTTTTTGTTTCGCTTTGTTTGTTCGTTTTGATATTTGGTTTGTTTTGTTCTGTTTTTGTTTTGTTTTGTTTTTTCTAGCGGGAAACGCAAAAATAATAGACCGTGTTTTTAGTTAAAGCATAAAAAGTGAAGAAAGTATTTTGACATAGTAGTTGTGATTTTGATTACTTCTACTGAAGCTTGCGTTTGCTATTTCGCAGCTGGCCATGCAATGGCAAAACATGTTGGAAGAATCGTTCACACAGCATCTTGACACACTGAAGGGCTGTTCATCTCAACAGCAGAATTCAGTCAAGGTAACAAGATTTAAGAGTGTTACCTCTTATTTCTCTAGAGATTGTATTCTTTCCTAAGGTGGCCTTTTTACGAGTAAGGGGAAAAAATACAAACTCAAGCCTGTATCTTTTTTCCCACTCAGGAATGCGAAAAACAGATAAAGCAACATTATAGTGACGTAGAAAATGCACTAGCCGCGCATGGACACTCGCTCGAAGAATTCACCAAGACCCAAGAGCGTCTGCTGTCCGACCAATCAGAAGGAGTAGACACATGGTCACATGACCAATATGAAACTGTTGACCAGGTTAATACCAGAGTGACCCAGTTTCTACAGAGAGATTTGAAGCAAGATCTACCAACAGGTTTGTGATCCGTTCATTCTTGTTGCTGCGCGACGTCATTCCATATAGCTTTAGGGTAAGTCATTCAAATGAACTTGGTTCAATGCCCTCAGCACTCTCTCTTAGGTTAAATTTCGAGCTCATCGGCTCGTAGCCAGTAAGATTTAAAATTTTGTTCAGACTTGAGATTGTGTCCCCAAAATAGAGGTGTCCCCCCCCAAAAAAAAATAGTTGTGCCGCATGACGTTTTGTTCGGTGTCCACTTTTCTCACCGCAATCACGCAGGCAAACAATAGCGATACATTGTTTTCCAGGAGTCACTCCACAGAGACGTACATTTGACTACCCCACCAAGCTGATAAGAACAGAGCCCCATGATGTTCTGAGAGAAAGGTTCCAAGGCAGTTACGTTCCGCCTGCACTATCGCCTGAACCACAATCCATTAAGGTACATTGAAGTAAAACCATCATGCCATTTGAGGTGTAACCACTTGCTTCAGTAAAGTATGTCCCTAGATAACTGGCGGTCACGTATTTTCTTTGTGTTACTTTCTTAGCAAACCAGCACCTTCCTTTGCCTGCTTTTTCTTGTTTTCGTTTTCAGGAAGCTCTTTCATACTGTCATGTTTTTTTACTCTCGCGTCTTTTAACCCATGTGTCCTTGAAGTCTGATGCACTTCGAGGCGACAGGTCTCTCGGATAAACTGCTTCGTTTGTTCTGCTTCCTTACCAATTGCTGCGATCATGGCATAAATTCAAACCAGTTTTAAGGTTTTTGTTACCAATCCCTCAAAGGAAAAAAAATTCCTTGTCAAACGACGCGAATTGGTCAGCTGTTCCTTAACATCTTGCTAATGAAGCTTGTCACTAATACTTAGACGTCATCGTGATACCTGATCTGTTTTTTTCCCGCAGAGTGTATCAAGTGAAGACTCTGTACCAGTATTTGAGTTAAGTCGAACCAGCACTGTGAGTTCAGACAATGGCGTCTACCCACTTCGCAACAGTGAGGGAGATTTACTTGATGACGACAGCCTTGAGGATGGAGAAAATGATGCTCATACTACTGCTGATGAGGCTGTGTTTGCAGAACCACGGGTAAGAAAGATTGCACTGCATTACAAGTACGCTCAATCGAAAGGCCAAGACTAAATTATCGAATTAGCCAATCGGAATAAAGGAAAACTTCATAGGGAGCCAATGGGAGCTCAAAGTAAAAATACGCTGACTCTTAGAGCGCGGGAAAAAATGAGTGACTAGGGTGCGATTCATGAGGTTTGTCATCTGATTGGTAGAGAAGGTGGCGTGAGCTTTAAGAGAAGCAAAGCCAGTGAAATATTGGGACAGAGAACATGATGCTGGATTATTTTCGACAGTTATTAAACTTGAAAGAAAAAAAATCAAGAAAGGAAAAGCAAGGGATGGAGAAGATCAAAACAGATTCCCAATTCGATAAGGGCACTAAACGTGAGTTGGTCCTTAAACCACGCACAAGCTTTGGTTCCAAGTATGATAATAGCACTGCTGCACTACGGTCCCTTCAGACTATATAAGGAAGGGACCTCACGGGGGAACAGCATGCACTCTTCCGGATCAGCCATAGAGCTAATAACATAGAATCTGACGAAAGCGTTATTTTTATTAATGACTCTTTTTTTTAATCAACAGGCTGCTGTGCCACGCCCCAAGGTCTTGTCTGCCAAGAAGCCTGTAGACAAAGAGAATTTAAAGTCGACTGTGAACAAAGCGTCAAGTATTCCTGACCTTACTGGTGTCGGCAGTAAGATTCCATTAGTAAACAAGTTTAAAACTCCTGTGGACCGGATTAAACGTCCCCTGAGATCGATGAACACCCAGTAAAATGATATTTACAAAGTAGAAACAATGATCAATGTAAAGTTTATTTGCTACAATTAAGGTGTAGGTGATTGCAATTGTACAGGGTTTTCATTTAGTTTTGCTAGACCTAACTCCCCCACGAAACTCAAATTCGACAACAGTTTCAGATTCGATCTGAAACTATTAATCAAAGGGGACCCGTTTTCTGCTCCCGTTAAAGGCGCAAACATTTACCTGGTATTGTTTATAGGTTTTGAATTTTCTTTGAGTTATTTTCAATGTCGTATGTGTAAACCAGATTGGCCGAGAGGTTTAATTGTGATAACAAGGCCAATTTCATTTATATTATTTTCATAATTTTGTGTATAATCGACTTGTATCAATGGATAGTCGATGGGGGACTTCTCTGAGCTCTGGCAGCCAGTGATATCATCAGTGATGACCAGTGATAAAGTAAGGTTGAGAATTTCTCATAATTTTGTCAAAGGCTTTTGATCATCGTCTTTATGCAAGATTAATGCTGTTAAAAAAAATTTTGTATGAACTTCCCAAATGTTCTATATATTTTACTAAAGATAAGTTTGTTTAATTATTGTTTGTCGTAAGATGCAATTGTGATTCTGTGTAAGGAAAAATACTCGAAATAGTGCGAAAGTGCTATTGAGGCGTATCAAATGTATCCGAAGCGTATCAATTGTGACGATTCAAACGAATCTGACTTCAATGAACGCGTCCAAGTAAGCTTATTTTGATGGGGGCCTATTGTTCGTCTGAACCAACCCTTCAGGCTGTTCAATGTAATATAATTTATCTAATTGATAGATCCTAACTAAAGGTTGGCCAAATCAGTGAGAATGCGTCTCGTATTGGACAAGTTGGTGCTGTTATGGGTCGAACTTGAGTATTTGGGTAAACAAACACCAGATTTCTAAGATCAATAGGAAGACTGGTATATATTATGATCGTGTACATAGCTGAATCAAATCTTACAATATTCTCTGTCGACTGGCTTTAATAAAAATACCAAAGTTTAACCCTTATGTTGTACTACTGTATTTTTGCTGATAGCAACGCGCAGATAAAGGGTGACAAACACATTCCCGCTTCCCCTCCCTCTGCGTGTCGTTGCACCTCAATTTCTACCTAAAACTCCCTCTCCAAGCCAATTGATTCTTAACAAGATTAAATGTTTATGGCTTATTGGTTAGCGCGTTGAATTATAGGCTCAATTCCCGCCTTTTTCTCGTGTCCAGTCTTCGATCCTTCCAAGAAGAAACCCTCTCTTCGAGGAAGAGCACGGACGCTTTCTCCGAACAGAGGGTGGTAATCGAGCTAAATTGGATTCCGGTTCATGCAAGCTACGTTTTCATGGCAGCTCATTTTGTTACACAAAAATACTTGTTAAGCTCTGGTTGCATTGTCAAACAGCACTCGCTTGGGGGCTTGCCAACACCAATTTAGGATGTGCACGAGTTGACATTCCCTAATCTTCTTCCACCAGCCAGCGCATTGAATCCTGTATTTAATCTCACTGAGAATGTTAAGCCAAAAGTCGAACCAGATGAAGCGAAGGAACGCTATCAACAGCAAATGCGCGGGACTTAGGGTGTCACTCATGTGTTCCTTCAAATGTTCCAAGGCCTCAGCTTCACTTTCAGGTTCATTAAGACGAAATGAGCATCCACTGAATGGTGCGAACAAAGCCAACAACCAGCCGCGAGGATTGCGCCTCAGCAGCCTCCAGTAGTCTGGCTTTATTCCACACAGGCTGCCGATATCATCAATATAGGTGTACCCATCCACCAAGGTAACCAATCTTCGGGATGAGTCTTTGAAGAAGTCGTCCCAGAATTCCTTGTCCTTAGTAGCCTCCTGGTAACGTTGGTCTCTCGATGGAAGGCGACACTTTCCCGAGAACACTTTTCCGACGAAACGCGACTGAATCTCCGTTATTCCCGAGATCGAGCCGACTACAGGACGAACGTAGCCAACAAATGTCAATGTTGGGTCTTCAATGTTAAAGATGTATTTGTAGTTATCCACGAGAGAAACGTTTCGGAATTCTTCCGGAAGGAGGGGGAATTCTGTTCTGTACCCTGTGCATTGGATAATTACGTCAACAACTTCTTCAGTACCGTCATTAAAGGTGATCCTGTTTCCTTTAATTCTCTTAATGGCTCCCTTAGGAATGCAACGTTGGTAATCCACTTTATCCAACACGTGCCCATTTTTGTTGATGAAGAAGCGAAAGAATTTAGCATCATTTTTCCACTCAGCAATACCATGGCCTTGATAGGCAAGAAGAGAACCGTTTGCGGTCCATTTGCAGATCCATGCCAAACCTACGAAAGAGACGAGAAATGGGAGGTTTTAAAATATACATCAAATACTTAATGCATCAACGGCTGAGGAAAAGATCAGCGTCGTTAGAGTGCGGATAAAATTATGTCGAATCGCAAATGATCAGTGATTTCCTGCTTCCTTAAACCACCGTAAAAAAAATTCTTGCCTTCGCGAGGTCGCCTATACTCATCGCACGTACGTCCGCTTTCATGCAACGTCAATAAACAAAAAAAATCGCGACGAAAAGGCAATAGAGATCGGAGCGCTTATTCTAAATAAGTTGTTTAAAAGATGAAGATAAGTTACCTCATAGTAGTATATACTAGAACAGTGGATAGCGTTAAAGGCGTGTTCTGATTGGCAACTCAAACCCTGAATATCCTTTGCTGTTCACCGCCGACCAACTAGCGCGGGATTTGCGCCTGAAAATATTGCAGTCGTTGCAGGAATAAATAAGTTAAAATCATCTTTTTGCGCAATATTATCTAACTGTTTTAGTATCTACTTAAAGCAACTATTCACCTTTTGGCTAACGATGGATATTTACCTACGGTGAGTAGTTGTTAGTTATTCATCGAATCAATCATCAATCAATCAATTAACTGATTGATATAATCGATGATCGATCCATCAGTTTTTCTAACCTGGTTTACTCCTCGTGAAGGGAGCAATAAACTTCATAACTCTAGAGGAAGCTTTGTCCAGAGCCTGAGGATGACGATGAGGAAGAATTTTTGCAAACTTCCGGAAGAAATGCATCCCACGTGGTATACACCAAATTAGGCGTGAAACGTGATCGTACCATTCCTCGACAACATCACTTGCTGTTTCTCCACCACCAATCAGCATTACGCGTTTATTAGCATGTTCGGGAATAAACGTCTTGAACTCGGAGCTATGGCGAATTTCTCCGACAAAGTCTTTAAGTAACGAATGCTGAAGATCGCGGTTGGGCTTCTGAACGCTTCCCGTACACACAATCAGAAACTTGCTCGTGTACTGTCGGCCGTTCTCGCACTTCACTCGCCAAAGTTCGCCGTCTTTCGTTACTTTCGTCACGCAATGATCAAGGCGAATATGCAGCCATAAATGAAAAGTATCACAGTAAGACTTCAAATACTTGAGTACATCCTCGTGCTTTGGAAATTGGCCAATCTCCTCGGGCATCGGAAAGTCGGACATCTCAGTTACGGACGAAGAAGAAGTGGTTTTCGTGTTCCTCATGACGGTAATCACATCTGAATCTTCAGTGTAGCACCACAGCCCGCCCACGTCAGAGCGCTTCTCTAATGCCATTACAGTTAAACCTTCCTCTAACATGCATTTACAAGCCAAAAGACCCGACCAGCCTGCCCCTACCACGATCACATCCCTAAACACAATCCTTGATTTTGCCATGGTGTTATATGGATGAGTCGACTGTGAAAAATGAAAAAAATAAGACAAATCAGCCAATAGATAAGGTTTGAAAACAAGAAGATGTGAAGCACTTATAACCTGTAAGGAGCGTTTTCTTTCGATTTCCAAATCAGTAAACGTGTATAGTCCCCAATGTAAATATTAACTCTCAGAATAAAAAAGAACAAATGTAGAAAAAGGTCACATCTTTCAGTTTTTTAAAGAAATATTCATGGATCTATGTTTACAGTTCATTTTCATTTTTATTCTTCTTCGCTTTCATCTGAAAATGTAAAAATGTTCATGAGTTATTATTTACATGTACTGAAAACGGAGGCAACATAAACTGAGATGATGATGTAAATTGGCCTCTTTAAAGAGTTTTCAAAGCTGACGTCTCGAGCTTCAATACATCGTCAGACGTCGCAGGACTGTTACATGATGATGAAATTATACTGTCTTTTGCTCGCCTCTCATACTGTCAGTTCGATTGCTATTTCTGAAAGACTTTGAAATTTTTCCAGTTTCACAGAATCATTTACCTGGATACATTTATGGTGAAAATGCCAGCTTCATATCTATGCTTACCGCCCTTGTCATCAATGCGTAATCATTTTCAAAAAAATGCAATAGTTTTTTCGGAAATTATATAGACTCCACAGAAAACTGTTCTTGTCCCTTGTCAGTACGTAACCTCGAATTCTTCCCTTTTGTACAGCTTACGGAAAAAGGATATGCAAACATAAAAAAAAATTTCGAAAAGTGATCTTTTCCTTCGCGAAACGAGTGCTTTCGTATCAAGATTAAGTTAATATAAGATGGCTTTAATGGTTCATTACCTACTAAATCATTCAAGTCTTTGATGGATCGATACTACCGCAATTTTTTTTTCTTTCGTGAAAGACGTTATCAAATGATACCCATTTATTTCTCAACGAGATGTCATTATTTTTTTTTTCAGTTAATGTTTATATGACAACGTGACAACTTTGTACACTAGTAACTTATAGCCAGCCTACTTCTTCGATAATTTAAAAGTGGCCCCGAACTTGAAAGTGTTTGCCATCCTAAATCATTTTCTAAATGCTCAGCATTCGAAAGCTTAAGTGCCTCGCTTTTTGCGATTTATTGCAGGCATTTTGATCGCATCATGCTATTTCCGCAAGTGCCAAGGTTACGAAAGCTTCAACGGAAGACACTGTGATCCAGCGGTGAAATTAAAGTTACAACATTTCAATTAAGCCGAGTGTCGTTTTCTCAGGGGACAGTTCTTTATACACAGTTACAGAAAAATTGGCGAACGAACTGGCTCCTTTCAACACTGAACGTTTATTGGCACTTCAAGCGAAAGGAATGTCTTGTCTAAATCGTGGCTTTCCCATCATTAGAGGTCGGTTCCACTGTGACAGATATACAGCTCTAAAAATTTCGCGTTTTTTATGCATAATTTTTTAAAGCTGATTGAACACTCAGAAATAAATTCTTTTTTTTTTTTTTTAATATTCAACGGTGTGGCTCGGTCTTGGTCTCAGTCCAAAGGCCCTTTCATGGATTATGTTGCCTTCTGCGACCTCTCTCTGCCTCACTGGTTATAATATAGCAACAGTTTCTAGGAGGCGAAGCTAAAATAGGGGTGAGGGTACTCTGCCAAAACAAGTAATGCCCGACACAAACTGTAACAAAAACGCAAAATGCGATAACTTTTGACGCAAAACATAATTACACTTTAGAATTTCTGAAATTTTCATGAACAGATCACGTTAGAAACTTTCAACAACGGAAAAGATAAACCATTTCATGTCTAGAACGTTATCTCCAGAATCTTTCCATTTATTTCTTGAAACAGTCTCATGGATTTGCCAGAGCAGAGTGTTTATTTTATCATATAATCTCAACCCTACATTACTTTTAGCCCCGTTTTTTTTCGTGATCATTGGTCGAAAGGCATCATGCGACCGGATATGCCACAGTTAAAACTGGGATATATCCGGTGATATACCCCAAGTAATATTCACCAATTTTCAAACCCAACGTCCTGGTTTTTGTCACTGCTTCCCGGTGCTAAACACCCGCCTCTGCGGCTGAGGGCTTCAGGCCGGATAATTCGAATTGGCACGTGGATGTTTTAATCGGATGGTTGAAATCTTCTCATAGTTGAGTTATTTATTACTGTGTCGTCTAGTTTTATGGATATGTGCTAGTCTCATTGAATGGAATACAGCGGACAAAGAGAGAGAGTTCGAAAATATGGCGTCTTGGTAGTAAAGTTAAAAATTATAACAATATCGGAACTGATCTATTAGTCGGCCATTGAGCAGTCTAACAGTCATCCAATAAGCTATTTAATTCAGCGTTAGCGGGCCAGCCAGCCAGTTAGCTGGTCAGCTGGTGAGTTAACTTTACCTAACTAGCCCACCGCTCACCAATCAGTCCAGTGTCAGCCAGTCAGCCAGGCCAAAGGTTTGCCAGTCAGTCAGTCACCTTGTTAGATTGCTGGCTGTCTGGCTGCTGTCTGGCTGCTGTCTGGCTGCTAGAGAGAAATCGAGAAAGTTATATAGCCTGTGAGTCAGTCAGTCAGCCAGCCAATCAGCCATTTAATCAGCCAATTATTCAGGTGGATCACCAGCCATCTCACCAGTCAGCTAGGCTTCCATTCAGTCTGTAAGCCTAATAGACTTTCAGCAAGTTAGTCTATTTCTTAGCGAGTCAGTTGGCACCACAGGCATCAGTTAGCTAAGACAAGCAGACGGATCACAAAGCAAATCAAACAAGGGCACAAGTTTTTCTTTATTTCGCTGGCTAATATGGAAGGATGATAACAGCATACCCACTCCTCTTATAAACACAAACATCAGCATGATTGAGTCGCACAGTACACCCAGAACTCAACCTTTAATCTGCATCAATTCTATGCCGACTGCTTTCAATTTATACATTCATCTCTAAAGCAAGTTAACCTGTGTACCTTTACCAACTTGACGAAATCTTTCTTCTAAAGCTTTGTTGAACAATTTCATAATACAGTATGGCGACGCCTCGTGTACAACAATCCACTTAGAATTGTATGTACAATGCTTCTCTTCACTGTACGTTATGAATCCTGAATGATTGCTGGGGGTCACGCCAATTCTTTCCGCCAACATTCCCATGTACACATCCTCGAGTTTCAAAGGTTTCTTCACGTCAAATATCTCTACAAATCGGCTGACAAGGTCTTTTGATAACACATAGCCAGGACCGAGACAGAATTTTGGAAGAAAATCGCTTTGGTATTCCTGGAGGGATAAAGCCCATTTTCCTCTTCTTCTCGTTTTCTGTCGTTGTGCGACATTTCCTAGGTATAACTGTCTTTTGGAAGTCTGTGGTCTCCTTAAATAATCTACCAGTTTGTAAGTGTTCACGAAAACGTCGTCATCTGTTTTTAAAAGGAAATCAAAATCACAATATTTTACTGCCCATTCTAAGCCCATTTCTGTTTTTAAGGTTAAATTGGAATACGAATCTGTTTGGAGACCTTGGATGAGGTCACCATAAATGATTGCCTCCTCAATCAAGTATTTCGCTTCCATTGGATGTTTTGCTTGCCCCAATAAAAACATGGTTTTCCAAGTTTTGTCCATGGCATAATCTGTCCCCCAAGTTTGACGAATCACTCGTCGCTGTTGGAAGTTTAACGGACTGGAAAGAACCAGGATCAAAAGCGGAAATTTCTGAGGGCATCTTGTACGAGTTTTCAAATATGTCCGGTGTATGGTTGGCTGCTGTTTAGTTGTAGAAATCCATGAGCATATATTAATTGTAACGATACCCGCAAAACCAGTAATCAGTAACAAAAACACGATCCTCCTTCCTTTCGAAACTTTTACAAATTTCATCTTTTATAACAAACGTCTCTCACTCTTTTCCTTCCCCTGTTCAGTTCTGTAAATAATATCAAACAATTGAGAGAGAAAAATATTCTTCGACAAGTTACTCTCTCGTCTCCGACAAGTCATGCTAGCTTTTTACTTTCAAATTTGTCCAGCCTAATTATTAAAAAAACAGTTTCAAGGTCAAGTTGTAACCTTTGAGTAAACAAAATAAAAATAATTTCTCAGCGGGGTTGGCATTTGAATAAACGAATAAAAATTCAAAATAGAAGATTTAGTCACATTCTTGTATAATATTTAATTGCGAACAATTCCAATTGTTTTTTGAAATTCTGTGGTCCGTTTTTTCATGAAGAGATAGAGCGCCAAGCAACATTAATCAACCACGGGCCCCCATTTGTAAATAAAAAAGATAGATTGATATCACTCCACCAATTGAATTCTTCGAGCGAGTTTAATTTGAACAAATTATTTGCAGTATTAGTTGCACAGGTGGATTTGCGATCGGAACGGATAAAGGAAATCTTTTGTATTTTGTGTACAGACGTTGAAATTGAGAAAATTATAGTCGCAAAATAACGGAGGAGAATGCGTAGTTTGTACCAATCTTACAAAATTCATAAATGATTAGACTTTTTATTAGGCTTCGTCGTCTATATCTCTAATGCAGTTTGAATTGCTCGTGGAGGGACTTTAAAAAAACCGCATACTATTTCCAAAGATTAAGGCTTGGAAGCGTAGGTGTTGTCGTCTAGCCTTATGATACTCACCAAATATGGACTGATAACTGTACTTTGCGGCGCCAGTTAAGCTGATTTTCCATCTAACCGACATTACAAGCATTATAATTCGGGATACGTATGTCTGCTCACTTTTCATTGACCACGCTTTGAATATGAACGATGTTTCTTTTCGATATTCGGCAATCTTTGAATTACAAAACTGATACTCCTTTCCTTGAAACAAAAGTTGAGAAACTCTTGCCTGGGATGCATTAGAAAGTTATGCATTGATTTGAAGCTCCAAATAAAATGAAAGATCTTTCTTTTAGGTCTTGGGATGAACTGGGCCGCAAAAGACTTGCAGGGAACAAGGAAGAAAGATAGAATTTATTAACATACCCTAAGTCGGAAGACACAAATTTATAACTAGCGTTATACGAAATTCCTTGGTAACTGATTTAAAAGGTGCAGTTAGTGGGAACTTACAAAAATGATAGTATTGACTGGGAATATGGTATTTTGATCCTGAATTGTCGAATAAAAGAGCCACTGTTTACTTCAGTTGTGGTGTGAATGAGCGATGTGGCAAATTGTAGGTGTAAACGCGCAAACACATGCCTTTTGTATTCTTTTAATCACAATCGTCTTTGAAAAGAAAAAAAATTCCTCACCCCGTGGGCACCGAATTGGCACAACCATAAGCGCTATATAAGTGTTAAATGTTAAATGTTAATGTTAAATTTTACTCTTATTGCAGGAATTCTCTCCCCAACCCCCCTCCTACAGTTACTCCGGTTTCATTCACTAATGAGGATAAGCACCGTGCGAGTAAACTGCTGTCTTCCCCTGGAACAGAGCACAATGACCTAGTCATGTCTTCAAACCTGGAGTCCCGCCAGGGCCCGTTTCTCGAGAGTCCCGGTAACTTTAATGACGATCCCCAAGGCTTTTTTCTTGCATGAAAATTTAAAGAATAGAAAAATAGGCTCTGACACCCTAACCAGTCTAATTTTTTTTTCTTAAGCTGATAGTCTTATTGAATAATTTTCAAGCCTTTTAAAACTCCCATCTTGAATGAAAACAGTGGATCGGCTTTTTGGTTTTGGTGTTCATTGCGGTTTGCGGATTTTCCGTTTTTTAGCACTTGGTTTTCGGTTTTCGCGAAAAATACTAACGGATTTTGGGATTTGATATCCGATGCGGTTTTCGGTTTTTGCTATTTGATCTATTTGGGTTTCGGTTTCTTTTCGATCTGAGCGGTAATTATGCGCCTCCACTTATCTCGAATAGCCGCTAAACGCAAATGTTATCGAGAGGAATGCGTGACAAACCAATTCAATATCGCAGTGGGAGAGGGGAGGGTACAGCTATACTTAGGGTACGGCTAAGCACGGAACACTGCCAGAGTTTCTTTATCAACGCCACCTCGAAGTTGATGACCAAGTTACAGGCCACGCGTGACTGATTAATTCAACATCAAACGGTTGTGAATATATGGAAGTCATATGTTTGAACTGCGGATAAAGACGTGAATGTGAAAGCGATCTTCTTCAGGTCTTAACCGCAGTTCAAATATATCACTTTCATATATTCACAACCGTTTATTCACCACTTCACGGGTTTATTTGGAACCAACACAGTGACTAGCTCCCAGATGGCTTGTTAGCTCAGTTGGTAGAGCACTGCACCGGTATCGCAGAGGTCATGGGTTCAAATCCTATACAGGCCTGAATTTTTTTCAGGTCTTCTTTTCACTACTATTTAAGTAGTGTTCATTACTGCGAAGATCACTTTCACATTGATTCAACATTCCAATAGAATCTCCAAACTGCCAGGTCTTAGTTCGCAAACGGAAATGTTGGATTAGGGATTTACGATGAAACTTTTCAGGGCTATAGCTTTTTGCGACTGCAAAATTGTAATCCTGCAGAGGACTTTTGTGCGAATTTCCTTAATTTAACTAGGCTCCATTACCAGCTGCTGAGTCCGCAGAGATCACGTTCGAGGTCCTCGAGAGAGCAGCTGTTAATTTAAGCAGATACAAGAAGATACGAATGCCAAGTCCATGGCATTCACAAATCTTGTAATGAAATTAGTGTAGTTTACTCTGTATGCTCCACTTATCACCACTGTATCGGATCGATCAGGGTTTTAATAACTGGGATGTGAAAATGTATCGGTTTAGATAGTTTTGCGTGCGGTTTTCGGTTTTGATCGAATTTTTTTTTCGGTTTTTCGGCTCAGGATGATTTTTTCTTCGGTTTTTCGGCTCAGGATGATTTTTTCTTCGGTTTGCGGTTTCTAATAGGCCCCAATGCCCCCCTCCTTAACGGGCTAGTTAAGTTATTTGGATCTTCAAGAAATGGCTCCCAACTGCACATGGATTATGCAGTGATTCATCGTAAGGTATCTTATCAATTCTTTTGCTTTTATTATGAAACGGTCAGTTGAATTACAATCAATTTTGCGATTATTTTCTTGTTCGCATGATTTACGTCAATTTTGACACTTGAGTTCATTTTTTTTTTTTCAGTGTACGAAAGACGATGGCAAGATACGTCGGAAACGAGAGAAACTGCTTCATTACACGTTTCCACGAGAAAATAATGGGACTTTTTTTTTCTCTTGGCGTTTCCTAGGTGCCACCCAGGAGGGCAGTGTAAGGGTACTTCTAAGTGATGTTTTATTTTGTAGAGCCACCTGCTATGGTGCTCTGGTTTAGAAATTAGCGTGTAAAATTTGCATGGGAATTTGATATCGTTGTAGAAGAGTTCTCAGTGACATGCTAGACTACGTCGTGTTTTTAAGTATTTGCTTTAATTCTATTACTCAAGAATATCAATCGCTGGTATCTTCGTTTTTCAGCGTACATCTGCATAGGACGGTTGACTCGTTAGTGTCAATTCACCATCGTTTACTGCCTCTTTTGTCGAATATTGTCATGTCCAGTCCTTCAAATATCGAGTTGATATCTGCGTCTCTTGTCACCATGTAATTTCCTCTTCGACCTGGAAATAAACAAGAACACTTTGAATTAAAAAGTAAGTCTAAAGTTACTAATTAATCAGTTTGCATAAACATTTTTAAGGAGTTGCAATTCAGACAAACCTGGCGAAGTCCCTCAGCAAAGATCATTTTTTTTTATTTTTCAATATAATTGGGAAGTTCACTGTCGGTTTTCAAAGACTTCTCAAAAATTTACCACTGAATTACAATTTTTGTTTACTTACAGTTTTCACACAAATAATTCACTTACTTGCCGTTAACTCCGTCAGTCTCCTGAACTCTGTGACTTTAAAGGTAAAATGAAAAAGGCAAGATGTATCAATCTCCTTTTGTTCTATAATTCTAAAATAACACAGTTTAACAAAAGAGAACTTTTGTAACTTTGTCTGTCTTTTGCCAATCCAGGCTTCACTTTTAAACTTATCTGATTCATTCTCTGTTTCGTTCTGTTTCGTTTAATTTTTCCTAAAATCATGAGTGCAATGTGCAAGACGCAGTCCTTTTATGCATTATTAGTATTTACCCCACAAGTGAATAGTACTCTTCGTGCGCGCTGATTGGCTAGTTCGAAAGTCAATATCTAGTATTATTTACCTCCGTGCAGCCAAAGAGACACAATCACTCGTCGAGAGTTTAATTTCCGACCATTTTTCGGTATGTTGAAAGAAATAAACTACTTTTTTTGTATCTTTGTGGTATAAAATAAAACAATTATTCACCTTGGTGTCGTTAAAAGTGTTGGATATTTACTTCCACTTCGGTGAGTAATTGTTAATTAAATGTGAGAATTAAAATTAAATTTTTGCCTTTAGTTCTGCACTAGTGCCAACTGCCTTTAGGATTACCCGCTCTAGAAACAAATTTTTTTGGGTGCAACAGATACATTTGGGTATGATGAAAAGTTAACAAAATGAAAAAATTGAAGGTCGCTTTCCTATCTTTTTCCCCGTCTTGTTTCATAAAAATGTGTGAGGGAGGGATGCCAAGCAAATTATCACACGTTTTCCCCTGTAGCACAAAAGTTACGCTGCCCACTGTTCCTTAAAAATCTGTAAGTAAAGGGGACTTGAATCAAGTTGACAAAATACTGCAAAACTAAGACAATATTTTAGGATCAAAATAGATCGAAGGAACAAAATTAATAGAATCGATTTTAGCTATCACTCTTGGGAAAAAAAAAGAGTGCTGTCAACTTAAGTATTTGGAAAGATGTCCTAACGAAAGTCAGAGCCTTTAAACGCCGGACATGGCTCGTGTATTGTCACACGGAGAAGGTTTACCTGTGTCTAGATTACCACCGTTCTCTCTTCTGAACTCCCTGATCTGTTTGATATGTTTTCTTCGTAAAGCAAGATACCTTCGTCGAAAGGATGCATAAAACTCGGCGATATCTTGTTTTAGCTGCTCCATTATATCTTGACGAGTTATTGGTGATTCTCCTGACCCGTCGATTACCACTGTGTCTTCGGCTGACAAGGAAATGACATGAAATTAAAATCACTGGGGACTGGACACCATCACCACTGCTTTTCCATCCTTATTTGGGAACCAATCAATAGTATCCCCCTCGCGGGGGGAGTGTCAGGAGATTTTTTTTAGGTGGGGTAAATCACATGGTTTTCAGGGAGAAAAGACGGGGGGGGTCAGTCATCGCAAACAGAGTAGAAAGAGGGGGGACTGTAGAAAACTGACTACTAATAAGGGGGGGATCATTCTAACACTATGAACCTTTAAAAGAGGGGAGGATCAAGTAAATGACATTGTGACACGGCTAAAATCCTCTGACCACTTCCCCCAGGAGATAATGACCGGTCCCTGAGAGGGGCATAACGTGATGAAATCTGTGTGAAAACTTACCAGAACGTAACACTTGAGACCGAGGAGATCGATGCACTCTTTTGAAAAAGTCTCTCCACAAAATATCATTATGCTCTTTCATATGCAGTTCTGAGTAGTGCTTGGGTAGAAGGGTTTTTTTTATACAATATTCTGCATTGTTAGCATAAACTACACGCTGTATGCTTTAACTTCGTGATACTCAGCAAAATCCGCCGTGCTAACTTTCGCTCAAGTAAAGGTTTCTGTGATTCTGGTTTTAGAGGCTCACTTCAATCTTGCCTTGGACACTGATTCTTAACCTCACACGATGTTACGTGCCAGCGCAAGTAGAAGATGGGGAGGGGGGGGAGGGTGGAGCCAAAGTACATGAACACCTCCTCTTTGTCAACAAAAGTGATAATTTAAAATGACAAACCGCTTTTCATATCTCCAAATGCCAATGAAAGACTGATGCAATCATATTTACCTCCCGGAAATGAGGTACTAAAGGGAAAAATATATTATGACACTGCAGATTCCAAGAAACTTGTGGTGCGATTGAAGGAGAGTAATCCTTTCTCGTGTTACGACAAAATAAATCGCGGAGAATTAAATCGGTGTAGTTTCATCATCTTATACCTGACTCAGAAGACTTTGGTGGTAGCGTCCTCTTGTAGAAGCAATAATGCCACAAGAGACCACATAGAGTGAAGACACCTAAGGATGCACCGAGGATGATGACTGTATTGACATACACGTAAGACTCTTCCGTCAGCAACTCTGAAGATGTCTTCACGGCGAAAGGAACATCACCTGCCTGTAAAATGGAACGAAAAGTTGAAGTTGTTTGTCAATGGTTTAGCTGTGCTGTTACTGGTCTGGCAAGTTATCATGGGATACCACTTCTCCCACACGCAGCTAGCTTGCAGAAAAGATGTCTTTTTTTGCGTTTATTAGGCGCGTGAAGGCGAGGGCGAGGCGATTGCTAGCTAGGGGAAGTCAAGAAAAAATTATGCGCAAGAGGAAGAGTTTCTCCAATCCTCCTCATGTCCGCCTCGCGCTTGCCTCCACCCGCTTTAAAATGACTACATAAGTGCAAGACTGTGTATGACTGATGAGTTAAATATGAAATAACTAAAGAATTTTATCAAGCCAAAGTTGTTCCTGTCCTGATTACCCTCACCTCAATTGATCCAACTTTTTTCTGTATAATTCTATGAATGCTGTCTGTTTCCGATCTCACGTAGCGCCGAAAACAGCGCGCCAATCTAGTGGCATCTCCGGTCAGTACCAGGCCATTAGCAGATTCGTATCTGACGGGTATAATCTCTATCACTCGGATCCAGTCCTTGCTGAACAACTTGCTCTCACTCGCTGTCGAGTACGAATCCAAAAGTGCTGCATGTACCCGGTTATTTTCAAGGTCGTCATAAATATCATACAAGTTCCCGTATGATCGGTCTGAAAGAAGAAAAGTAAGTCGTTGTGACTTAAAAGAGGATTAGTTAGACGTTCTCACACTATCTTTAAGTATTTTTCCTCTTGGATGGGATGCACGTCCATTCCAGAATGCATGCGAGAATTTGATTCTTGACAGTTTGTTGGTACCCACACATACCTGATAACATGGAAAGAGTATGAACTCAGAACCTTCGACCCAAAGTCCAGAAAACCAATCACAAGGTCAAGGGTCACAAGGTCACGAGGTCACGGGGTCTCTCCCTAAAGCCACCTTTTACACTTCCATTGTCACTCTAAGTTTTTCAGCGAGAGCTGGTCTTGGTGAATGTATCATAGATTAAGTTACTTTAACATCTGCATGCAATCACAAATAGTTAAACTTATACGCAAATCAGTAGCAGTAAACCCGAACATTTTACATAACGACTTTGAGTCGCTGAGTCTGAGTTTTTTTTGGGAGGGTGAGTTTTTTTTAAAGCTAACTTATCATTTGGTAATATACTCTATGAGTATCAGTCTTGTATTCAAGCTAATGGCCATTTATCGTGTGACGTCATGGATGCCGCTAAATCAAATTCGTTGGAAATATTACTTGAGCCAAAAGGTACGGCAGGAAAGTGGCTAAACTGCCTAAACTGTTTTTTTCTTTTACAAACCCAGTTAACAATATTGATATCGGTGCTGCAGGAGTTATTCCACATTGGTGTAACTACACTCACCTGTGTCTAATATGGCATTTCGTCTGAGTCCCAGCTTGTATTCAGTGGAGTTAGAAATGGCGGCCAACTGAACAGATAAAAGAAAACAACTTTAGAGACGTGGGTTATTCGGGTGGTTGAAAATCATTTACAGCAGCCGCTTTTCGCCCAGTCCTGTCTTTAAAGCGGAGCTCCATGTGCGCAGCACATAAGCGCAGCCCCATAAATAAAGGAATATGGTAATCCATTGAGCAAGAACATTTTCTTGACGTTAGAAAGAATGACTCGCGCTAAAAGGTTAGGTCTTACTAGCCAAGTGGCTCATCAGCCGCGGAATTCATCCCAGTCTCAGTATCCTAGGGTAATTAGAAGTGTTGCCATTCTTTCTGAAATGGAAGCTTTCCCAAATATAGGTAACTCAGTCTCCTCTCTCCTCCTCTGAGCTGATTGATATTAGCTAATCTTTTTTTTTTTTTTTGTTGGAAAAGGCATTATTAAAAAAACATTCCCTGCGTAAGAATACCTCACGATGACTTGGATTAGAACGCAGAACAAAGCGCTGGTCTAAATTGGGTGTAACGGATCTCCTATCTCTCTGTTTTAAGTAGATCTGGTTGATGTGGCCTTAACAATGGCTGATTAAACCGATCTGTGAGTAGTATTGACTCTGACAATGTGAGAAGACTACATCGTCGCCTGCTGAAAACTGCTGATGTGCCTTTTTGAAGCGCGCTGTTCTGAGAGCTAGAAGCTGGTTAACACGATGACAATCAAAGTCTTAACAACATTGTAACACTTTGCCTCTGCCAGCTGTCAACTGGAAGTCTCAAGCTCGAGAAAACACGCAATTGATTAAACTCCAAATATCTTATTACATAGGTCATAATGTTCCACGTAACTGTAGTAATGTTATTTTTTTTTCCACGTTACTGAGATCTCTATTCATAACATACTCTTTCAAAGTTTAAAATTTAAAGATGTTACGTTCGGCTTGTCCAGCGCTCCTACCTTTGTTCCATATAGCATCTTTTCTGACCGGAACACCATACTCATTAAAGAAGCTGTAATGCTGCTTGTAACAACAGCTATTGTGGCGATACCAGTCCAAGTCCACAAAAAGGCAAATGACCGCGCGGGAATGGACTTTGGAATTCTATCACCGTACCTAAAAGAAAACCATCACCACAAAAAAAAAAATTTGATACAATTTCGTTCACTCTCATAGCACATAAATGTTTTAACAATTTAAAGACAGATATGAAAAGTGTTAGCTTTCTGAAATAACCCAATTTCTTTGATAACGCAAGACAGCCAGGTTTTTGAGGCAAACAAACATAAACTAATACCCAAAGATAAAGTATTTGATATTAGGTAACAGGTAGGTAACATTCTATTTGTTCAAAGCAGCATTTTTGTCTAAGGGACGCAATTGGCAGAAACTAACAACCTTTGACGTAGCGGTCATTTCTTTTTGTCTCTAGCTACATTGACGGGCCTTGAGATCCAATGTCGAATATTACATAATTGAAGTAGTATTCACTTTGAAGGATTATAGAACTATTAGGAATCAAACCTTGAGGAAAACAATAATCAAGGGGTAAGTTTCTAAAGAAACTGTGCTGCTACGTCGGTGGGGGAGTATAGAAAGGTAATTCAGTATTATCAACTGAGTTGATAATGTAAATTTGCCACCGTAAAGAGTTTCAAATCTGACGTTTCGAGCCATTCTTTACGGTGGCCAATTTAAATTATCAACTCAGTTAATAATACCAACTCAACTTCTTAAGGAAGTCATTTCATGGGAAATATTTACTTTGCCCTTCGATAACACTCGCACCGAGGTAGGGCTTCCCCTGCTTAGTCCTCTTGTAAGCGAAAACGGACAATGTATGTGGATGCGGTCATTAATAATGCGAGTAACAAACTGATATCAGGAGCACACTTTGAGTCAACTATTACAAGCTGAAAGTGCTTACCCAACTGTTGTCATAGTAACAAACGACCACCAGAATCCTTCCAGTGATCCCGCTAAGAAAGATTTGGGGAAGTCAACATGATTCCAGTTCATGTCCTGCACAAAAACAAGAGCGCCGTGAGAAGACAATTTGACCTCCTTGTACAGTGTACCGTTTTACGCACCACCCACCAGGAAAGTTTGTGTATTTGGGAGGAGAAGTCTCAAGCTAACTTATTTGTATCTGTTTTTTTTTTGGCTAAATTTTGTTGTTTATATCCTTTTTGGTGAAATCTCCTTCACTTAAGCATTTGGAACGTTATCTGCCTTGAGGTTTCTATTTTGGAGGAGACTCTCACAGTAGATTATTGTCTTTTAGCGCAGTCTCCGATTCCAGGAATTTTATTGGGTACTTAGCTAGCACCTTCTTGCCCAGACGGTCTGCTTTTTATTTGATTCATATGAGTAACTTACCAAAGCCCACACCACGATTCCAGCGAGGTATGTCATAAAACAGGCAATAACTACAGCAGGCCAGCAGCTGAGGATCGCGAGTAGGACTTCCTTGTGAATATCTCTGCACAGAACACACAGGAATATGTATACTGTATTTAAAGCTACTACAAGATGTAAATAATTTAAAACAGTTGCAATGTCGCGATAGACTACAATGATATTTCAAACTATTTTAAATTTACTAATTTTATGTCATTCTTTAACTAAACGACAGCTCGTCTCTATTTCGGTCCGGAGTTGTTGTATTTGCCGATCGATGTTGTGTATGAAGGCATTTCAAGTAAGGAGATGAGTCGACAAAAAAGTGGGGAGAAACTAGCGATGGGTGCTCTGCAATGACACAGCAACGAATTTTGAAATAACGACGACAGAAGCATGGGGAAAATGTAAGTTGTCATTTGACGCCGAGTTAGTGGCGTTGATAAATGAAAATAAGATGATCTTAGCATAGATGATGTCAATGTACATCAATTTTCATGGAAAACCCCTTTTGGTTCCGAAACTGGATCGGGCAGAGAAGAGAGTTCATTATGAAATGAATATTTTGAGTGGTAGTCTATTGACGCTCTGATGTCAGCCTGTGATATTCAAGAATTTCTCACGGGCCTGGCCCACCTTCTTTCAGCAATGATAAACGCCACGCCTGGTGTCTCCATAATTGGTATATACTCGGCATTGCCATCCGGACTATGGTAGATCTCCTGTGGCATCACTCCAGCAATCCCAAAAGAAATCATCGTCTTGGTGCTGATAGCGTCCTTGACCTCTATGACGCCATATTTCTTGGCCTCTAACCCGTCCGCATCAGTGGTGAAGTCAACTGTCGTGGAACCAAACTCAGCGCAGGTTTGGCAGCAGTGAGTTACTATTTGCTCCAAGATGGTTGGTATAATGCCACTATCCTTACTGCTGTTGCTGTTAGGTTGAGAGCTTACGTATGGAGGATTGTTCCACCAGTTTGTTGGAATGGAAGAGCGACATCTGCAGGTTCCTGGAAGAGAGACAAAGGTTTAATCACAGCCTCACTGCATCTTTCCATCTTTCCATTTGCTGAAGTTGAGTGCAGGGTCGGTGGAAAGACTATTGTTACAGTTGTTTGTGTCGTTTTTAAAAAACGACACGCCTCCTCAACCTAAGACTAAATTGTGGTTAGTTAAAACGGCTTACAACTTGGATGAAAATTATGAAATTACTGTTTGTAACCTTGCGTCAAAGTAGGACCAGGTGGTGGAGTAACATGGAGGTGATAAAATCTCATAGGCGAGCTAGGAAATAACTTCAGTTACAGAATAGCATTAGACGACTAGAAGCAAAGCTTCTGCCCCCCTGGGTAAGATTCCAGTCCATTTCAGTCCACCCACAGGATTAAACCCCCATGATTAACCCCCAGGATTAAACCCCTAGGATTAGACCCCCAGGATTAAACCCCGAGGGTTAAACCCCCAGGGTTAAACCCCCAGGGTTAAACCCCCAGGATTAGACTCCCAGGATTAGACCCCCAGGATTAAACCCCGAGGGTTAAACCCCCAGGGTTAAACCCCCAGGGTTAAACCCCCAGGATTAGACTCCCAGGATTAAACCCCCTGGGTTTAGCCCCCAGGATTAAGCCAGGTTTCCCAACGATTCGCCAATTCCCATCTATACTCACATATAGAAAAAGCAGTGTTGGGTTAGCATCCTCAAAGAAGATCAAGGCTGCAACCTGGAACCCTCGATCTAAAAACGAACGCCCTTACTATTTGGCTACCGCGAAACTCACTTAAAGTTACAAATAGAAACAAATGATACTAACTTGTGGTTATGTCTTTAGTGGGTCCATGTCCTTTGCTAGTAAAAGCTGCGATTTTTATGTCATATTTAGCGTAGCTCTCTAGATCAATAAGTACGTCGTCGTTCGAAGACGCTGATAATTGCTTCTTGACGTAGTCATTTGGAAAAACTGGTGTTTTATCATTAATGCCAAGTCTAATGATGCTATACCATATAAAGTAGCCACGAAGAATACCGTGTAGGGAGGGCACGGGTGGACTTTGCCATGACACGTAGATTTTTGTGGCGCTCGCCTCATCCCTGGCGTAAACGTTTTGTGGCGTCTCGCTTGGAACTGAAATAATTTTTACTGAGTTTACTGAGACGTGATCCACCTGTAACATGTAACACGGGGGGGGGGGGGGGGGAGAGGAGGAGGGTAAGGTGAGATAGGGCCTGATGTATTCCCAACCTATCATTATGAGAGTTTCTGTTTTTTTGCGAGCGCAACTGGTTCTTAGGGAAAGGATGTTCTTACGGGTGAAGGAAAATTTAAATTCTAAGTTCCCATCGAGGATACAAAACTCACGAAACTATTCTTCCTCACTTTAAAACTGCTAAGGCTGATCTGAAGTAAACTAAGAACCAGTTTCTTGACCAGAAGCCTACTGCGTCACAACTACGGTATTACAAAAGGAGAAACTTTGTATAGCCCTGGATTAAAAAAATTAAAAATGGTAAGTTTATGACGATTGTAGCCAAATTAAAATATCTCACTGATACTCACTGTCTTCGTCTGTTGAAACTTTGATCGTTGGAGACTGAGCACCATCTCCTTTTATGGTGAATGCAAGGACCATTATGCTGTAGTTAGTAAATTTCTTAAGATCTTTTATTTCTATGTTTCTGACCCTGGGAGGAACAGTGATCTTTGTAAACGGTGCTGAAGGCTTGTTCGTTTCTTTATATAGTACTCGGTAACCTCGTAATATGCCGTGAACAAATCCTGTTGGTACTGGGTTCCACGTGATATTTAGAGCTGTTGAACTGATATTGTTTGCCCAGAGATATTGAGGAGGACGACTGGGAACTAAGGAAAGAGGCAATTTCATTTCAAGTGAGTGTATTGACACAAAGAGCAAAGTAATAAATCAATAAGCCAATCAAAGCAGAGTAAGTATTAAGTAGCATATAGGAAGATGAAGTCAAACATTCAAACTGCATGGAGCTCGAGAACATGAAAATGTCACTTGGCGTTGACCAAAGTGTAACATTATTTGGGTATTATGTTACACAATGAATTTTGTTTGCTTTATCTTTAGTGTTCCACGATTAATGTATGACTTAAACGCCATTGGTTCTAACAAGGGAATATCAACTGAGAGAACTTATTCCACATAAATACCTCTTTTCCAATGATATTTTTTTAAAATCTAATTTTAGTGCGCATTCCTGTTCCTGATATTCTCTTGGTTCTTGTTAATACTTTGTTTTATCATGTAAATTGACCCATTTTATAGCCGGCTCTTTCTTTGCGTGTAAAATATCATTTAATCAGTTTGCATCATACAAGAGAATATAAAGTTCATATTCTCTTGCATTAGATTGTTTTTGAAGCAGCTGTTAAACCAGTTTACACTTTTGATGTATTTCAAAATAAAGTACGTGTGCTTTAATCTAAATAATAACACCTAATATACGGGAACATCGACGTAAAACAACGGAAACGACCTTGCTGTAGAAATTGTGAACTTTTTCATACCATCTTCATCAGTAGAAACTATGAATGACGGTGACTTTGTTCCGTCTCCAATCCTGGTATAGGCAGCCAATTGTATCGTGTAGTTAGTAAACTTTTTCAACATCGTTAGTTCCTTGGACAGTTTGTTGGCAGACACAATGGTGTAAGGAACACTTGTAGGTTGGTGTTGGGTTATACTGTAGAATACTCTGTAACCCAGTAATATACCGTGAACAAATCCGGTGGGAACCTCCAGCCACGTCACGTTCACACTTGTAGAGCTTGTGTTGAATGAGCGGACACTTTGAGGAGGAGAGCTGGGAACTGGCACAAACACAGTGGCGTGAAGGGGGGTAGCAAAGAGACATTCCTATCTCCCCGATGTAAACCCCCACCGTTTATTATCTTGGTTCTACACTCTACCAAGCTTTATTTACCTTTCTCTAAATTGTTTCTTACACAACAGCCCTTTCAGGAAAAGGCCATAAAAATGTGTTATCCACATGAAGGCATAATTATTATGTTTTCATCGTTGGAATGAAGCAGTTTAATGGCTTACAGAGCACGTGTAATAACTTTACGAAAGCCTTGTACTAGGGAATTAAGAGCAATTTTAGGTTAGGCGAGTAGAAAGCAGGCTTTGTCCACAACACACCTACGCCTAAACTATTGTTTAGGTTTTTCGAAAATTTTGCAAATTGGATGGAAGCAGAGGCTTAAGTTATATGCTTTCAAACATTGTGTAAATGCTTGAAAGATGAACTTGAATCTTACCATCTTCATCTGTCATAACAGAAATGTTATTGGACACTTCTCCGTCGCCCTTTATTGTGAAAGCCAACACTTTCACTGAATATTCCGTGAACTTTTTCAAGCCTGTGATGTGAAGTTTACGCTCGGTTGGCTCTGTGGTGGAGTTAAGATAGTAGCTTTCCTCATCATCAGTCCTCCTGTGGAAGACTCGGTACCCCCGGAGAATTCCATGAATAAATCCCTTTGGTACCTCACCCCAGGTCATCAGAAGGCTGGTAGAGCTGGTATTGTGCGCTGTCACTTTAGATGGGGGTAGACTGGGTACTGAAATATATAGAAGACACAAGAAGATTTGTTTTTCTTCGGTGTTACATAAACAGCTGTCCTGTGAGGATTTGATCTGACCAAATTTGGTTATGACCATTTACAGTTTTTCATGTAATGAAATCAATACATTAATTGCAAATTATGTACGTATAATTAGTCATCATTATGTATGTCACTAATCAGATACTGTTAGCATTGGCTGAATGGAATAAACACAAGATTATATACAGTTCAGTCTGATTGATCTCTCCGAAATTTCATTGCTCAGGTATTCTACAAATGAATAAGGGGTAAGTTTCTAAAGAAACTGTGGTGCTGCGTCGGTGGGAGAGTATAGCAGGTGATTTAGTGTTAACAACTGGGTTGAAAACGTAAATTAGCCACCGTAAAGAGTAAAAAAAGCTGACGTTTCGAGCGTTAGCCCTTCGTTAGAGCGATACTGATACAACCCATTTAAAACTAAATTACCTATTCTACAAATGGTCTAAGTTTAAAAATTAGGGGTTCGTTCATCTTGGGTCATAAGTAAAGGCACATGCGTGAGTCCAAGTGCATGAGTGGGAAAAACGCATGGTGTGTGCTAAATGCAATGTATCTAGATTTTCTGTTATTCATTCAGTCTGCACTCCATCTGTATAGGAGAAGGAACAATGAATAGCACGTACGTATTTTGAACGAGCTTTCCAGCTCATTAAATGCTACGTGGGTAAATAAACGATTGATTGATTGATTGATACTGAATAAATGAAAGAGTTAAGTTTTTAAAGAAATTGTGGTGCTACGTCGGTGAGGATATTACAAGACAATTTGTCTTTGTCAACTGAGTTGATAATACAAATTGGCAATCACGAAGAGTTTCCCTTGTAAAGCTGACTTTTTGAGCGTTATTCTTTCCTCAGAGCAAAGCAACAAAGGGCTTGACGTAATCTTCAAAAATATATTTGATGTTATTTTGCTATCCATAACTTACTGTCCTCGTCTGTTGAGACGAATAGTGCAGTAGAGTTGATTCCGTCTCCAATTCTTGTAAATGCTAAGACTGAAATTTCATAGATGGTGAATTTTTCTAATCCTTGCAATTCCTTTGATTTCACATTTGCTGAGATTGAAACAACGCTTTGATTCTTTGATCCATTAGCTTCTTTGTACAGAACGCGGTAACCGAGTAGAATGCCGTGGACAAAGCCATGGAGCACCTCATGCCAGCTTACACGGATACTAGTCGAGCTTGTGTTGAAAGAGCTCACGTTTTGAGGCGGAAGACTTGGAACTACAAAATAAAACCTTAACAATTAGACTGAATTTCCATGCAGCCCTGATAGTGATAAAGATTTTCTTGGCTTTAACCACATTGCAGCGGTCTGTTGATTGCTTAGGAAACTTACGACCCCTGAGCCGACTCGGTTGGCTAGTTGGGACTTAAAGAATCAGATAATTTTTGTAAAGAGAGAACACCAAATAGATGCGAGCTCATTTGTAGGAGGCTCTAAACCAAAGTCATGTAGTAGTGAAGTAAAATAACAGCTGGGTGGAATCGAAATTTTACAGAATTAGAAATGTGGATTCACCACAAGCATTTAATTTTCGTATTCCAAGGTAAGTTAGATTCATTCTGATGAGCGTGGTATTTATTTTAGAAGAAACTCTCTATCTACTTGCATCAGTGAAAATTCACTTAGGGTGTTATTAACAGAACAAAAATCAAATTTGTAGCTTAGTGACCGAGGCGAGTGATTGAAAAACTTTTCTCGCGTTTCTTCGACTTCTCAATTAATTTTTTTCTCAATAAACTGATAAGCAGTAAAGTCTATTGCTTTTACGAAATACCTTTAAGATGTTTGGGCCTTTTAAAAGCTTACTATGCAATGATGATCGGTTTTTGACTAATGAATGCGTGCGGGTATCTACCGTGGCTATTTTGTAACAGCATACATACTCTAAACGATATGCGTTTATTTGCCTAAGTTTGTAGATTCATTACCCAATGAGATTTAGAGGATTCTTACCATCTTCATCAGTCGGCACGATGACAGGGTCAGATTTATTTCCATCACCAATGCTAGTAAACGCCAAAACCTTAACAGTGTAATTAGTGAACTTCTCAAGGCCTGTCAACTCAAAGCTTTGATTGCCTGTTGTCACATTGCGGTAAGAAATTTCCTGATCTGTTTTAAACAGCACACGATAACCCCGTAGGATGCCATGCACGAATCCGTTAGGTATAGGTAACCACGTGACCGATAAACTGGTTGAACTGGTATTTTGAGCTGCAAGTTGTTCGGGTGGTAGACTGGGAACTATAAAATGGAATAAACCAAACTGTTGATGGATTCGAGGGGTGTAAATGTATATCATCGAAAACGAATCACATACTTTTTGCCTTAATGAAGTAATCAAACAAGATCAAAACGGATTTTAAAATATCCATTTTCAAATGAATCACACATTATGACTTATTCTAAAACTGTTTCCATGCGGGGGATATGTAACCGCTCATTACGCATGTACAGTTTTAACCTCCAGGCCACCGTTGGTCGAAGGGTGGATAATGCTATCCACTTGATAAAAATCTATCCAGTGTATAGTGCAGCAAGTTTTGTTGGCATTTATCCGCTGGATAGCGATTTATCCTTCGGATAGCGTTATCCTCCCTTCGAACAACTGGGGCCAGGAGTATAATCATAACGCAAATTTATAAACAGAAACCGCTAAACAACCTAACTTGTGTAAAACAACGGGATTCAGTGTTCTGTTTTGATGAAAATACTGAGAGAGATTGTGTTCTTGAATTCATCTGTGCATGTAGATACGAAGAACTTATGAACAGAAATGTCATAACATTTGAAATATGGAATATTGTACTAACCATCCTCATGTGTTCTCTCATAAGTGTAATTTGTCATCGCTCCATTTCCTTTGATTGTAAACGCCAAAACTTTGATACTGTACATCGTAAATTTGTCAAGATTGGTGAGCTGTGCAGAGGTTACCACGCTTGTTATATTTGAGTAACTCTCATTTACATCTCTCTCTCTCTTGTACAACACCATGTATCCCAGAACAATCCCGTGAGTGAATCCCTGTGGAACGGGATTCCAGGTCACCATCAAACTCGTCGAGCTTGTGTTATATGCTGCAAGGTTGGTTGGTGGAAGACTGGGAACTAACGAAAAAAAATCATAACCACGAAAAAAGTTTCGCATTAGCTTGAAAAGACTCATAAATGCTTATTGTTCTTGTATCAGTGTTTGGCCTTACTATTAAAACCTTAAACACGTCACTGACACGATATTTATTGTCTCTTTCACCACAGCACCCCCTGGGACTTGAAAAATGTCCCTGAGGAGTGGTCTTCCATCAAGAAAACAACTCCAAAGGTTATACAGTAAAACTTCCATCCAGGGGAAATTCTTGGGACAAGAAAAAGTTGCCCTAGTAGAGTGGTCCTTCTTCAATCAAATCAAGAGGCTTTTATGTTGTAGGAGAATTTTTTTTTAGTTTGGACCAACGTTTGCGTGTCTTGAATAAAAAGTTTCAAACTCGAAACTTCCAGAGACAACGATTTGTTCCAAGTGTAGCTGCACAAACTTCAGAGGGCGAGGTGTCCTTACTTTTCACAACGTGACTGTTATGAATTGAAACAAACGAGAGTCACGCTAAAGTTGCGTTTCTGGTAAATCTTTCTCATTTGATCCCTTCTCCAAAGTTAGTTTTCCTAGGATCAAACTGATGAACATGTCATGATATAAAATAATACTACAATTTTTTTAAAGTACTTTTTATACCTTGCCAATGTTTAATGACTAAAATTACTTTTTCTCACCGTCCTGATCTGTCGATACCGTCACATTGGCTTCTGGTCCGTTCCCAACACGAGTAAACGCCGAAACATTTACATCATAAACTGTGAACTTTTCCAATCTAATGAGTATGGTGAAATTGACCGTCGCGTTCACGCTTTGCTCTAAGGCGTGTATTACCTCGTGTTTCTTGTAAGTCACTTTGTAACCCAACAAAATGCCATTGACTTGACTGACAGGAAGTGGTTCCCAGGCTACTTGAAGGCTTGTCGAGCTTGTGTTATGCGCGCGAAGATTTGTTGGAGCAAGACTGGGCACTTAAATTGAAATATAGGAGACGTGTCAGTTCTGCATAGTGTCAAAAAAAACCTCACATGATGCTGATGGATAATTTGCCATTTTTCCTATTAATGGCTTTAAATTTGAACGCTAGGCAGAAAATGTGTTCTCTTTCTACGGGGTGGAACATGTTGGCTATACAAAACCCATATGAAATGTACAGCTTAGTGGGAAATTCGAGTTTCACTTTGGTCTGGTTTAAGTTTGATATCACTTTTTCACCTAATTCCAGCAATTAATGCTTGAAACGATCTTCTTCAAATGTTGCTAATTACTCCACTGTTATATTTAGAAATAAAACAATTAACTACATTTGCACAATTGTCTCAAGCTGTATAAGGCGGGCGCAAGCGAGCTCGAGAGTCCCGCGGGTGTCTTTACATATAGTCGTGCGGGTGTCCATCGAATAAAATCCTGCAAGCGTCTATTATTATGCCCTTTCAGGTGTCCTTTAAAACAGTTCTGCAGGTATTCATTTGAAACAGTCACGTGCATGCCTATTTAATACAGTCTTGCAGGTGTCTATTCAATACTATCCCTTAAATTGCAGTCCCATCAGTGTCGCATAGTACTTGTCCCGACGGTGTCCTTAAAAAAAAGCCCCACGAGTTTCCTTTTAACACTATTCAGCGGGAGTCCGTAGGTTTCTCTACACTTACCATCTTCTTGTGTTCGTATAGACAGTCGTTCATTCGATAAACCCTGTCCCCAGATCGTTATACTGGTCACGTATATCGTGTAGTTTGTGTACTTCTTCAGCCCAGTTATCAAGAGCTCTCTTACAGTCCTGTTCACAGATCGACCTACTGTCTGGTTATTGCTATTAGGTTTATAGGATACAAGAAATCCTACAGTGAAGTTGTGTTGTTGACAGTCGATACATAGCCAAGTGACTTCGATGGCGGTGGAGGTTTTAGATTTGGCGGTAACGTTGGTTGGCGGTTTACCAGGCACTGAAAGAAAAAAAATGAAAAATTCAAGGAACGAGGTCAAGTCCTGTTGAGAACCGTCCTGTATTTTCTCAGGATACAGATACAGTTCCTATCCTATATATTTGCCCCCAACTTCAATATTTCAGAGCAGGGTAGGTCATCTTATTTAGGATTTTATATTTGATTATGGCCTTCATGTAAAATATTATGTACCATTGTCGCTGACCGGTTGAACGGACAAGTTTCCTATTCCTCCATCTTGATACAATGCTTTGTAAATAATACCAAACTGTTGGGGTCCCACATTTTGACCATAAACGATAGTCATATCTGCCAAGACACTTCCATTTCTGAAAAAATGTAAATAAATGAATACTTTCAGTATTAATGTGCTATTGCTAAGGGGGTGGTAAATTTATTTATGATATCATTTCAAGCGAATTTCGAGTGATTGTCGGAACACAAAATCCAAGTTTCATCAGGGTTAAATCAAAGGGCAAAGAAATCACCTCAAGGAATTTATGAAAACTCAAAGTACACGGATGACAATACCGCACTAGGCTGGAGACTCGATTAAAAATCTTCCCTACTAACGATTATAATCAAATTTCTCGTGAATGAATCAAGGTGCGAGATATTGTTTGAAATATCTTGCCACTTACGTAAACCGATGACATTGCACATCTCGTAGATAGCTCGACTCCTGGCCATACAATACAAATACCTGAGGAAGAACAGCGTATTTGATCAACTTAATCCCCATTTTGCCTTTCTTGTCCCTTCGTTTGAATGCATGAGCTAATTTCATCGGGAAATATGATAAAATGTTGAGAGGCTGTGACTGGCCAAGGCTTATACTAATTCCTTCAAGTCTTTAATAAGCTTAAATGGTGGGGTGAAAAATATCTATGCATCTTTGATGCATATCATTAGATAAAACTGATAGGCTAGAAACTCCCTTCCGCACATTTCGATTGGGGTTACCGCTGAGACTGAAAAACCCTGACCTGTTTTTGTAAAAACGTTTTTGTTTCACTGCTTTGTTCAAAAGATTGCCAAGGAGAGTATAAAAATGATCCTATGTAGCCAATTTAGCCGATTCAGAAGGGGTATTTGGGATTTGACTAAACAAAAATTGTCAATAGGTCATATGTCGAGTGTGCATGCAACATGCAGTACTTATTCTGTTTAAAATGATAAGGGCCTTTTAAACGGTGTAATCTTCGCAGTAGAAACTAAGCATAGCAACTTTTCTTACACTTTCTCGTATTATTTTAGACAGGTTGTTGAAGTTATCACTCTCTGGATTGGAAAGATTTACATTCCATTTCATGCTGGTGAAACGAACTGTCAAGTTGATTGGGACAACTAAATTGAAAAAAAAAAGGAAGAACAGCAAGACCCATGTTATGAATACAATACTTATTTCGAACTTTAAACTCTGTTAAAAACATAGTTTGTGGAATTAAGATAAACAAATTTCAAGGTAAATGTCTCCTGTGTTCGTATATAAAAAAAAGAAAGAAATAAGTCAATCAGTTTTCTCCATCAAGCTGGGAAAAGGTTTCACGTGACCGGAAAGAAATCTAAGAGGACAAGTTAAAAATTAAAGAACGGAGACAATCCTTGCCATCTTCCAATGTTCTGACGTAGATCGGAAGGCTGGAGACACCAAGACCTTGTCTTGAAACACTTCTCACCCAGACGGTATAGTTGACGAACTTTTTGAGTCTTCCAATCTCCACGCTGTCTTCTGTTACGTTGACGTTAATCATTGAGGTGGTTTCATTTTGACTGTTTGCTGTTTCGTAATAAACCTTAAACTGTATGATATCGGAGTCACGTGGGACCCTGTTCCATTTCACTCGAATGCTTGTTGTACTTGAGGCAAGAGCTAGTACGTTTTCTGGAGGTTTTCCTGGAACTGAAAAAAAATCATGAAAACTCATTTTCATAATTTGGAAATGGAATATCTATGACTAAATGAATAATTGAAAAAAAGAAAAAAGAAAACTAACAAAGAAACAGAACCATACAAAAACGTACTATTGTCCCATATAGGGTGCACTGATAAGTCCCCAACTGAGCCGTTTCTGTAGAGTGCCTGGTAAAGAGTTATAAACTGTTCCATTTCCACTTGTTGACCAAAGGTAATTACTATATCAACCACGACTTCACCACTGTAATTCCTAAAGTGATAAGAGATAGGTATTAACTCGTGCCTAGAGTAATTGAGATAAATTTTGAGCCGTAAACTAAAAAAGGATAACCTTTTCTGTTATTACCTGTCATTATTACAAACCAGAAGGCAACAACGACACCGTGATGATGTAGGGAGAGATCTATCAATTTAACGAAATGCAAACGAAAACAAACCCTTAAAACGACTGACTCTTTGACTTAATGACTCAAAGGATGGCTGAATGGAGGAGTGTGGGACTAAATGAACAAAATTACCTATGGCAGGACCTGCTTTTGGGACATCCCCATTAAGGGGGCACTTACATTCAAGGGACACAGATACTGTTCCCGACTATATCTGTTCGCCTCATTGAAGGAGCCTCTATCCAGGGACACTTTTTTGAGTCTCAAGGCTGTTCCATAAACGGAAATTCTATTGTTTGGTGATGGTTGGGTAAGAGAGTTTTGCATGTAACAAGGTTACCTGAAGCGATGAATGACTATATCTCGCAGATGTATTTCATTTGGATAAAGACCTGCCACCTGTAAAAGAAACAAACAAGGGCTGATCAGATTTTGCCAAGATGAAAGCGTAGGTAGATTTTCTTTTCATCAGAAAATCTGTTGTATAAGACGCTCCAACCTTACTTACCTGAGTTTGTAACTGCTTTGTTAGATTCATGAAGAAGATCGATGTTGAATTTAACAACTCATCTGTCCATTCCTTGTTAATCAGCCGTACTGATGCGTTGATAGGAACAACTATAACAGGATTAAGGGCAAAAGAAGCCTTCAGAACTCTTTACATCGGCTCAGAACTAGCAAGTCACATATTCTCTAACTTTTCATACTGGAATGTATCTTATCACTCTATTTATTCACACTTAAGGTTAAAAAGAAAAGCAATCAACAGCATCGTGCAGAATGCAACGACATCATAGATTACTTAAAACCGACGCAGCAGAAAATTTTAATGCGACCTGTATCTAAATTGGGAAAGAATGGGCCACAACTGGCCTATCGGACAACGATACAAAAATGACTTGAAATGTTGTGAGAGAACTTCTTATAAAATAATTCTTTTGCTCTCTCACCTTTTTCTAACGTCCTCGTTAACCCTGCTGTGCTTTTCGGCCCAAGGCCTCGTGGAGTTATTGTCTGTACCCATAGCAAGTAATTTTCAAAATTTTCCAGATTTTGTATGACGATATGATTTGAAGGGCTTTTCACGTCCACGAATCGAATATTAGTCAAATTTGTTTGTAAAGAATAGAAAATACGAAATCCTTGAAGTGGGAAAACCTCACAGTGGTTCGATCGAGGAATTTCCCAGGTAACGCTGATGGCTGACGGACTTAGCGGTTTTGAAGTGACATTTTGGGGTGGCTTTCCTGGAACTATAGATGAGAAACGAATGACAAAACAAACTTAGAAAATTCCAACGTAGTAACTGTGCTTCATTTTTAGCAAAGATATGATCGCCTAGGTGAACTGCAAAGAAGAGAAGCCTGAAAAATTCAGGCTACGATAGGATTGAAACCCATGCCTCTAAGACATTAACGGGGAACTACGAAATCAGCTTCAAAGTCATATGTTGGGAGCCAGTCAGATTGTAGTGCTTATCTTCGTTCTCGTTAAGATGTCTGATCACAATCAACTCATAAGTTACTTCAGTCGTTGCGATCCTAAACGATATGCCTTATTAATTACCTCACTTGTTTCCGGGTTCAAAGGGAAGGGTCTGAGGGTATAAATAGGCACTGACAAACTATCGAGTAAAAAGCAGCGAGATGCGTATGCTAGCGATAACCTCCAGTGCCTCTCATTGAAAAATACATTTTAGCGGGAAATACATAAATGCAAACTGGGATAAGCTCCAACAGTTACTGAAAAAATTCCCTTAAGAAGATGTTTCATTTCCTCTTCTTGCCATATTCTGGATCGAGTCTCAACTAATTGTGCATTTGAGTATATTTTAGGAATGTTACTCATGACAATTAAATGCATTCAGTTCTTTACAACTTACACACACGCGGATGTTGCGGGTTTAGCGCAACTCAATGGCGTGCTTGAGCCAAGCAAATTATTGATATCAATATAAATCAGGTTAGGACTTAACATAGAAAGAAAAAATAACATGTTTCAGTTTTAAATACGTACTGTTGTCATCAATCACTTCTATTTGCAGGTTCAGCAGCCTTTGCTCAATGTAGAGGGCCTCATATATGGTGTGAAAGTCCCTCATTTTGCTGTTTGGATCGTAAAGGGCCTCGATGGAAACCATAGTCTCACCACTGTAGTTGCTGGAAAAAAAAGAAAGGAAAAAAAATGTATAAAACACGTGCATCTAATTTAAGTTTCCCTTTTTTTGATCAGGGAGAAGGTAAAAAATGTGCTAAATGGCAGGTCTTTTGTAAGAACAAAATTGCCATCCCGAAAACCACTCAGAAAGACGTCGCGGGTCTCAGTGGGCAATCCTACAGTTGCATCTTGCGAACTTTTGCAAAAGACCTTCAAATCATGTAAGCGACTCTGTGCAATGTTGCTCATAGAAAGAGCTGATCGAGTGGAAAAAATGCGCTGGGCTCCAACACCAATTCTATAAACGTAACAATTAGGAAAGTTGTGATCATTTTCGCTTAGACTACGCCCTCTATATTTACGTAGTCTGTTTTTAACAGAAGATATTGATTACAACCTTTGAGAGTTGGATCTCTCTCTTAATGATCTATCCACTTTGCCTGCAGCAAGGCTAAATCTAACCAATTCAATAATACTATGTACCTGAATAATACACTTGAAACGTTGTTATAGAATGAATCATTTTGATGTGAGACTCTAACCTGTGGAAATAGCAAATGACTTAAGTAGATTCTCTGTCTGCCTACGAGTGCTGAGAAAACCGGGGTAGGTGAAGGGCAGAAATGCCTTTAGGGGGATAGTAAAACGGTGTAATAGATTAATCAAGTCATAAGCACTTCTACTTTCCATCACTGTAAACCTATAGAGTGAGAGCGTACATAGATGTACTGTATTTCGCCTTGGTAATACTTCCTTAAAATGATTCCTCCCTCTCTAATAAACAGAATCTTTCAATATATTAACAGCTACTGTAAACTGATTTCTCAGTTGATCAGTTGAGGCAATAAATAGATACAACGGTCCGTAGAATGCACTGATCAAGTATAACACGCCCTTTTCTCTGTTCCATCTAAAAATGGTCTAGATATGCGATACATTTTCGACTAAAGAACGCAAAAGTAAGTAGTTTAGGAAATTCCTGTGTGCGTTGGTCAGGGCCCTTAACAACATCTTTGTAAGGCACAAAAAATTCACAGCTCTCTAGGATTTTCTTAACATTGCTTACGCTGTTTTCTATGACGGATGACAAATTCCTAAAAGTTTCGCTACTCTTGTTTCCAAGCTGAGCTTCCCATGACACATTTATCAGTAACACTCTGAAATGTATGATGATATCCTGTGGAGCTAAAAACAAACAAGAAATTTTATTGAATAATTTTTTTCCGCAAGTGAACTGGGAGAAAGCGGAAGTAGTGAGAGAGTGGTTAGAATGTTGGACACGATATCTGGAGGTCGTGGGCAACTTTTGTAAACAGCCAGCTGGTTTGACTCCTGCCCACTGGGATTTTTATCATTATTATATTCCATTTGATTAAACACTGATGCTGGAAAGCAGAGATATCACATTGATATTTTATTCAGTGGTTACGATGAACAGTTTTTGTATTTCAATGTATTTGTGGCCTCTGCTAAACTCCACTTATCCCATGTTGCAAATTCGTTTCGATGGATAAATGTTGAATGCGATATTAAACATAGGCAAATACATGAAAAATTAAAACGTAAGATATAACCACATCATTGAAAACTTTGAATCGTAAGCGCCACCAAAATCATAAAAAAGGAAAAATGCACACGAAAGGAAGTTCTTTGATCTGAAAAAAGGAAGACAATTTTCTGTTTTCCAGTCGCAGGTGAACCTATTGTAAGGCCGAGTTAGCTGACAGGCTTTCTGTCCGCCTACGAAGCCCTCTTAGAACTGGCTGGGCCTCTCAGAGACTCGATTATTTTTCTTTTCCTCGCCTGTGAGAATTGGTTGACATATTTCTTAATTTTGTTTTCATTGTTTTTCTAGTTTCACCTTGATGTGGTGTGGTGATATTGCGGGCTTTAGAGGGAAGCCCGAACCCTTTTGAAGTCACGCGTACGGTCCAAATTGTGTACGTGGTACCAGGTTGTAGTTTTGATATTTTAACTTCTGATTGGTTATCATTCACTATGACAGAGCGTGTAATGTTATCAGCGGCTTTGTAAATGACCCTTAGTCCCCAGTTCTCTATCATCTGTTGTGTTCTCTCAGATGACCATGAGACATGAAGCACCGTTGACCCTCCTACGGTGACGTTTATTTTCCTGGGCGGCTTTCCCGGAACTGGAAGAGGAAATGATCGTCTTGTTATTTATTGATGCAATCACCTATTTAACGCTGTATAATTATCAAAAAACATGGACATTTATAGTGATTTTTCTCACCAATTGAAACTTGCTTTGTAATGGACTAATGAGACCTTTCTTGATACTTAACTTACTTGTATCATTGATGACACTTATTGGCATTGACCCTAAGCGTTCATTTTCGGAGAGGAAACTGTAAAAATAGTTCGTATGACGGATGTGGAACTGCTCTGAAAACGTTAGACGAATATCTGCGGAAACCAGGCCACTTGAATTCCTATTCAGGAAAAAAAGAGAAAAAATTTTTCTTGAATTAACATATTCAACCTGGTTAAAATGATATCTCAGCAAAATGAATGAGGATGTAGGTAGAATGATATAATGATGGCGCCCTTGATACTAATTTATAGTCGTTAAATTTTTCTATCTTAGCGAAAATTTGTAGTTTTGTTTTCTTTTATTTTTGACAATAACCCATTGGGTAATGCATTTATTAAGTTAATTGTTTTCGTTTAAAAAAATATATAAAATAAAAAATTAAATACTCTTAAAGAACAAACGGAAACAATTATACAATCATGCTTTTCCTTGGATTGAAAAAGAATAAATATTCGCGAAACCTCTCAGGGAGAGAAATATACCTTTTTTTTTTTACTAAGGTTCATATTTTGTAATCATTTGATATCTTTTACCTTAGTTGAAGAACTAATACTTGCAGAATGGAAGAAGCATTGCCCAAAGTTAGCAAGACCTGCAACCCAAGAAAGAGATTTACGAAAAACATATTCATTCAATGATTTAGTCATGATTATGAATCACATATTTTACCATTGAAAAAATCTTTAAAATTGTAGATAAACAAGAGGCGAGATAAGAAATGTCAGCTTAGCGCTAAATTAAAGGTATCTAATTTTTTATCTTACTGTTAAAAAGACGTCTTACACATACACCGTATAGGCTTGTATCAACACACCTGAACTGACGAAATTTTGATTTAAATCAATAGTAAATAGCTCAGTTTTTATTCTTTGGACAGTTCTAGACGTTTTGCAGCTTATTTGCACAGCTTACTGTTTAAAAACATGTGCATGAAATAACTTACGTTTTGCTTCACGGTAGAAGATATGTCCATGAACATATCACTGCTTCTGTTTTCATAAGAAACTCTCCAAGACTCATTTTTCAGTAGCAGCTTTACTTGAAAATATAGATTATTGCTTCCTAGAATTTAATTTCGTTGTTAGCGTTAGAAGTAATCTATTTCTTTGCTATAACATAGTTTAACGAAGTATCAGGCTTATTTTTGACAGCACGACCTACATGTATAAATATTTCAGGAGGAGGTAACCCTCTTTAGTTTGGAAAACGTTGCAAAGCAATCCATTCTTTGTTTACATACTTTAGAGTTGGAAGGAATCTTTACTCCTCTCTTTGGGAAAAGTAAGTCTACGATCACGACACAGACTTTTAAATTTCATCACAAGTTTTTGTTTTATTTGATTGATGCAATTTTTTGTGTAATGAAACAAAAGATTCGTTGAATTTCATAAACACATGATAACTGTGGTAGTCAACTTGTGAAAGCAAAGGTGAAGTAAATAGCTGTAAAGGAGGACCTTCAATGTACTAGCCGCCCTGAAATCTTAGGACATTAAGCAGGAAAAATGAACTTTTTCTGTGATGAAACAAAAGATTGTTGAATTTCACAAACACGTAGTAACTGTGGACGTAGGCTTGTGAAAGTGAAATGGAAGGAAATAGCCGTATAGGTAGATATATAACCTTACTAGCACTCCTAGAAGCTCCCAGTATATTACGGAGGAAAAATTATCTTACCATTCTTTAACTTAGGTGTATCCTGAAAAGTCGCTACTGTGCTGGTAAGAGACGCGATTTGAGAAGCTGTGGATGGTCGAATGAAGCTTGTAGACAAAGAAGTCGAGGAGAGAACCGCTATACAGGACATTGTCTCATTTGGGCCTAGGAAATATGCAAATTATATACAGTAGACATTTGGGATCGGGCGAGTACAACACTAATAGGCCAAGAGAATTCCTTTTCAATTGCCAAAATCATTTTCGACTTTTTCTCCTTTCACCCTCCTTCTTCTGTCGTAATCAGATTTTTCGTTTTTTTAGGAAGAGATTTGATGGGTAAGCTCCTTTTTTTTAATCAAAAACTAGGGGCCAACTGCTAGATCTACCAAATCACACGCGAAATTGAAACTTTGGGTTAAGGTTTGAAGTGTCGCGAGAAATAGATTTTTTCCTTTTAGCGACGCCGGTCAGAAGTGTACAATAAGTATAATGAACTTATTAACTAACGTTAAGTAAGCACTGTCCTTTGGAATCGGAGAAAAGTTCTTTGGCACTCACTTTGTAACAATTCTGTGGGATGACTGTATAACCTTTTTTTTTTTTTTTTTGGCAATATGTTTTTTGTAGCTGTACTACCTAACAAAAAACAAAAACTACCTTTCAGTTGATAAAAGGATCTTGAGTTATCGATCAGCAGTTCACGATCTTTACAGGAGAGCTTCATCAAAAGACAATCACGTGTAGCTGTTATGTGTTCAAAGGAACTACAGTTGTAGATATTTTGTCGAGCCACTTGAAGACATAGCTGCGCACACTCCCCGACAGACAACTGCTGAAAAGATATTTTGTGGTGACCAGAGAGACGAAGGTCAGGATAAGGAAGAAACTTCGCCAGAGAGTCATTGAGGTTGGATGGTGCTGTAGCTTCATCTGAATAACACAGAAGGTCTTCTAAATATTTTATTCAATATTATTGTAATTCTTTGTTTAATGAATGAATAAATGATACAATTTTGTCGCCATAAATAACCGTCAATTGTTTCAACGCGCCAAGTCATTGACGATGATACCAGCACGACTTGGTTGCTAGGAAACCAAGTTACCAAGGAATGCAATTTAAAAGAAATTGACAAAAATGTAATATCAAAAAAATAGCATTAATCCATCTCATAATGACTTTGCATTAACGCGAATAGTGAAAACAGTGGTAAAACTACTTAAATGACCCAAGCAAAGCAAAATTAAATACAGTATATGCAGTAAATAGATTACCTTGAACAAAAAGAACGCAAAACGAATAGAATAAAATGCTCATGCAAAACAAAACTGTCATGTGTGACCTGTAGGCATGTAATGCATTTTTTCTGGGAGAACAACCGTAACAAATAAAAATGTGTGTTTTAGTGAAATTATTAACTTATTCTTATTTTTTTGGTTTTTTTTGTATCCGACTAGATTCTCGTGTAGAGTCAACGCTAGTGTCATCTACAGTGGTATGATGCTGAAAACGAGTTTACAATGCTGTCACTAAATTCTAAGGAGTCGTTTCCAGGCTCCTTTGATAGGTGCTTTGTAGCTCGGACTTGTTATTATCACATGGCCTGTTTTAATAACGTTTTTTTAAAACTAACTGCAATGGGCTGCTAAGTAACCAGGACATCCAAACTCCTCTTCAAAATATTTTTCCTTTTAAAAGTTTCCTTTTGTTTGAAGAGGATTTCCGGAGGTAGCAATATTTTAATTTTGTTCACCCGTAAACTAACTCGGTGTAGGTGAGAGGCAATCCCGTATATAATAAACACACTGTATTTTTATTTTTGAGCTCCTATTTCGGAGGTGAGGGGGAAATTGGACCTCGTCCTTCGGGGGGTAGGGAAGGCGGTTGGCAAGGCATTGCCTTGCGTGAATACGTTAATCGCGCATTTTACATTTCCGTGTGATTATTAAGTCCATGAAGTATTCCTTAAGCCGCGGTACAAAATTTCAAGTAAGGTCTCCTTCCAGCTCAGATAAATATTTTGATCTAAGATATAAACTGATGAAGACTTAGATGTGGAAATGCATCATTTATATCGAAAGATCTCGAATAACAAAATAATTAGATGATTGCCAACCTTGTGATTCATACGATATTCACGTCTGAGCGATATTTATTGTCAGTTCCTTCCAATATTCCCTTTGATAAATTTCTTCAGGGGCTTCCTTTGAGAAATCTTTTAACTTGGGTTTGATAGTGTCAAATCATTTACAAGTATTTCCCACTGAGCAGCGTTTAAGACAGGTCTCTCACTGACTTAACCGCACAGGACAGACAGTTAAGTTTTTTTTATCTTCAAAATTTGACTTTTTTAATTTGATTCATGTCGTTTACAACGAAAACAAGGTTTAAAAATCAGAACTGTTTCCTCTTTTAACCCCAATTTTAGGTTCAATTAAACCTCTGAATTGTATTCCATGAAAGTATACGAAAGAGCTAGATTCAAATTGTGGTTTCCGTGGTTCTTTCACAGAAACAGAGAATGTATATTTTTTGACATGCAAATCACGCCTACGGCAGGTACCAGGCGATTATAATGAAGAGTGTACTCATTGGAAATCGTTTCAACCTCGAGGCGCCTTAGAAGTAAACAATTATTCCATTCCATAGGTTGTGAATGAATTCACAACTTCAAACAACACTAGATTGCCTATTATTATGTGATAAATTAATAATATCAGCGTAGTTTTATTGTGATTTCGTTTTCTCGCATGAAAAATTGTATTTATACTGAAAAAATACGCACTCTATATAAAAACTTCAATTTCACTTTTTAAACAAAAATCGGCTTTTTATTTTTAAAACAAACACTATTCGAACGATTTTTGTTTATCCAACTTGCCATATTTATTTTTCTCTTATAAAGAAATCCGTACATCTGTTTTGGCGAAGTTCTTTCCAACATTACCTTCATTAGACGATTTCTAATTAAAAAAGCTAGCTTCAGTTCAGGCTACTATGCGACGATCCTAAACCTGATGTTTTGACAATTTTCAAAAAAATATTTACAAAAGGGCGAACAAGATATAGAACCTCAAAGAAGAAAAACAAGAACAGTCGAAAAAGTATTATATACCTTCCTTTCCATTCAGAATAAATGCATTATTCACTGGAAGTTGTATCGATTTGGAATTCAATTTGCCTTCTCAACGTCGCAATATCACAGGTTCCCGCGGCGCGAGAAAGCCCTTCGACAATACTTATTGGGTATATGTGAAGGAAGAACTCCTTTATTCCGACTTTAGAAAGATTCCTCAATTCTTTCATCAGCAATCCGGCTTAAAAAAGGTAATATATCCCAGTTCATGCAGCATGCAGCCTTCCGACTAAAAGCCGTACATTTTTACGAGTGTGTTAACTAAAGGGTATTTTGTTACCATTTCAGATTAACAAAATTGTACAAATCAAAACAATTGCTGAAAAATTATCTCAGAATGAAACTTACATTCGCAGAGTAAGGACTTTTGCTCCCGGACCAAACTCAAACAAAGGACCAGACATAAAATCTGTCGCAAAAGAAAAACAAAAGGTATATTTCCTTCAGTTTTGACTCTCCGTACAAACTTAACGATGAGCTGTACACGAACCTGTTTCACCATTTGAGGAACAGACATCCTCAATCCATCTGCACTGGTCCGGCAATTCGTTGCGAGAACATTTATGCGCAAATTTATGTGCGCCTTTTTAAATACCAATTCAAAGTGTCAATCTGTCGGGCACATTGCACTCTGACTTAAGAGGTTGTCTGCTGAAGCAACATCTACTATGCGGCTCAATTAAATATTTAAGATTATCCTGAGTCGAATTTTTCCAGTTGCGCATATTGTGTGTGCAACCGGGGTGCACAAATTTACCCGCCAGCGAGAAGTATTTTCAAAACATCCTCTTCAATCTTCTTGTGCAACAATACAATTCTTTGGCACCTAAAGCCAAATGCTCTTTTCTCACCAAGATTCTATCGTGCTCACAGTTAGCTGTTTAGTAGCTTCAGACTGTCAGCTGTTAAAAGTATCGGCTGCTTTGTTTACGTTTAAAGGTGGTTTCTGGGGGACTTACAGATGTGTTGTCCATAATTAGTTGATACGATATACCTGTCACAAATCCCATTTTTAGGCCCTCAAGATTTGATAACTAAGTGACAGGAGCCGATGGTTTTAAACCTCTGATGTACTTATGGATACGCGAGGAAAAAAAAGAATTCAGAATGCTAAGAATAAGCACTGATAATTACAATCAGTTACGACACCTAAGAGATTATTTTGTTCAATTTACATATTCCTATTAAAATACAATATACAATATTTAATAAACTATACGACAAACCGCTATTTTCCTATTGTTTAGATGAAATGAGGAGACCGATTATTTGAGTTTGAAATATTCTCGTCACGATTTACCGACTTTTCAAGCTTGGCGTGCTTACAATGAGATATGGATAAACGCGTGAAGGCTGGAGAGCTCGAGATAAACGTTAAACGTTGCTAGAGGCGAAGCCGAGAGCAATTCTGGCTTCTTGAGCTAGTTTCGTTTTTTAAGAGCTATGTGTTCATTGTTTTTCAAATCGGGTATTATTTAGCGTATTTACTTTTTGTTTTGAGCTCTAGAAGGTTTATCTCAACAGGGTTGGAGCGGAAAACAATCTTATAAAATTTAAAACATCGATGCTAACCTGGACGGGAACTTTGCAGCTGAAGTGAAACTGCACACGTCATGTTATGTTTGTGCAGCATTTTATGCGTAGAGATTTACACTAGAATGGCTCATTAGGACTTAGATAAGACTGTAATAATTCTCCAAAACAGATAGATTAGTGTGTTCCGGCTTAGTCTCTCCCCTTTGATGTACAGCCTGAGGGCAACTTGTGTGATATCTAAACAGTGGTCATTTGGTTGACGTTATTTAAGAAAATATTTCTCTGTTGGATGTTAAATAATCTCAGCTGAAAAAATCTGAGAGTCTAGAATGAAAATGAAATAATCGCGCATTCTTTATCTCTCGTTTCTTAAAATCATCTCTCAACATTTTTACAAAGGATACTTAGTGGGGCTTGTCTAACCCTGCCAAAAGTGTTCTTAATTTAGATGGAAATTCTTTGTTATTTTGGCTATGATGTTATGAGCAACTCAATACTTTTCATTACTTAAGTGTCACGTTTATGAGATAAAAGGAAATGCTGGTCTGTAATTGGGTTTTTCCCACCCATAAATAAGAATATCGCATTGTTGATAAGTTCTGGTGAGCGAGCAGTTTGACAACGGTTTCGTAGGGAGCTTCTTTACTCTTCATCTATTCTACATTCATGGAGAATTTTTCTTGAACAGGGATCGATGACTATCTATCGCCTGTGGGGAGGGGAGGGGAGGGGAGAAGGAATCGGAGGATTTTGTTTTTTCGCCATAAAATTTACCTGATTTTTACCCCCCCCCCCTTCCAGGCCCTTTAGTATACTTAGGATCCCCCTGATTTGCAGTCAATTTCTGTAATCCCCCATTTTTGTTCTGTTTGCGACCACTAACCTGTTCCCCCCGAAAACCATGTGATCGGGGGGATCACCTACGACCTGAACCCCCTGCCAAATTCTCCGACCCTCCCAAGGGATAGATAATGACCATTCGTTGATGGGGCTGTGCCCACCCATAAATAAGAAGATTGGATCGTTACAAAGTTCCGCTGAACGAACAGTTTCACAGTGTTTTTGTAGAGAGCTTCTTTGCCCTCCCGCTATCACACAGTCGGGAAAATAATTCATGTAGAATTTATTTTTGTACGGAAAACCAGGTGCTCAAAATAATGCTTTTAATATTTGCACATGAAATTAAAAAAACTGAAATGAAGACCACATAAAAATTGAATAACAAAAAATGATAATGAAATGGAAAAAATAAAAAAGATACTATCACTTAGAGTGCGCCTTACGTTTTGTTTCGACTTATCCGCAAGAAAGCGATTAATCCGTTGGATAGCGTTATCTGCCCTTTGAACAACTGAACCTTGGCTCTTAAGCGAGGGGAATTTAACTGTACTGAAAAAAGACCTGCATTCACAGTGTGCCTTCATTAACTTTGCTTCCTCTTTTTAAGCAACATTACTATTCAGGGAAATTTTTGAAGGGTGTCCTTCGATCGGAAGCCATGAGTCCTTCTGCAATCTCTTACCAAAATGCATACATAGCATTTTTCGTGTTCGTGAGAAATGTCTTTCTTGTCTTTCCTCTTCAGTTTTAGTTCCAAAGGAACTAACTACATTACACATGTAGTCATTAAGAATGTCACCGAGGAGTACTTTCGCGGAGCCAATCGGAAAAATTTTAAAATTATGATGATGAACCGAACCTTTAAGTTTAACGTTGTGTAGTTGTAGATCGCGGGAAATTCTATCCCCTGAAAATATGAATGGCCTTTACATCCACAGGTGATATAAATCATTCGATCAGTTATATTGTAAATCTAATTTGAAGGCCCTGAAGAAGAAATGTGAGACAAAAAACGACTTTTCGATACATTTTTGAAAATATCTCCTCCACGTGCGACTCTCCGGTTTTAGAACAAATAGGGCTAAACTTTGAGTATACAACCTCAGCAGCGGTGTATCAGCGAGCAAATAGGGCAACCTCACAGAAATTTGATTACTTTTGTTACAATTGGTGAGTGTTTCATTGTACTTCTGTATGTGAGTAGTATAGTGGCACAGGTGAACATAACGCATCCATGAAACGGTGACATGTAATTTGTTACCAGAAGATAAATTCCCTCCTTCATGACGAGAGTATACCAGTGACAGAGTGCGCTTAAACCTGATATCAGAAGAAAACGAAAAAATAAAAGTGAAAAACAACAACAACAAACAAACAAACAAAAAAATAACAAAAAAACTTAAGTATAGGGAAAATATAATCTTGAATTTTCATTTGTGTTTCTTTGATCATGTGTTTGACTTTGCTCCGAGAACTACCGAGTTTTCGACAAATTTCATGCCGCCATGCAGTGACGCAAGTTTCCTTGATGAACTCAAGGACAAAACAGTGTCTGGAAAACTATCAAATCAATTTATTCCGAGTGTTCACCACGAAGAATCAATTGTTTTTAAACGGGCGTTTATATACAAACAACATTTTGAAATCTGTTCACATCAATTCATTTTAATTTTTCTTTATCTGTTTATTTTGTTTTTTTTTGTTAGCAAAACGTGTTGAAAGGAATTGTGTTATTGAAATGGAAACTAACCTAATCAACATGCTTAGTTATATTGTGCTTTGAGACACTTTGCCTTGTTATCAGTAGCTTTTATCTCAAGCAGCATCGGCTGAAATGTAATAAAATTTGAATTCTGTTATCAAAGATATTTTTTTCTATTGGAACGGTGATGTGCACGCAAAATAAAACAAAAAACGAATTGGTGCATCTTAAAAAATTTACCAGAACAGGTGGAAGTTAATGTACTTGATACAATCCACTGTATAAAAAACGCACTTTAACCGCTATTATCATCACCTCAATCTTATTTGGACATTTCAAAAATAGCAAGGGAAATTTGGAAGCCTTTGAAAAAATGAAATATTTCGTTAAATCCCTCGTCTTCTCAAAAAACGCCCACAAGTTATAAAAACTTGTCGCGAGATCCCGAGAATAAATCCCTACAATTTGTGAGAGAAGCATATTTTCAATATTTTTTTTAGGCCGTTGCGGGCGAATGAATTATTAACAACTAAAGTTCTGTAGTTCGTGCAGAAGACTGTTATCTTTATCATGTTCTATCGTGATTGGCAGCATGGAACTGTTTTTGTCTTTATGATCCAGGTGATTGTAGCGTGTTATTGTTTAGCTGAGATTTCGGTGGGATGCAACAAAAGATTCTGTTGTATGCTAACGCTTTCGACAGCAATAACTTAAAAAGTATTCATAAGAGAAGTAGGAGTTTCGCTGTTACGCAAGGAACAGTAAGATCATTTTATTTTACTACTTTAATAAGTTTCACTTTCGTATGAGGGGAAAATGCAAAGCTGTAATATTAATTATGAATTCTCATCTATTTCTGTTGATATCTCACTTTTTCTCCGTATCGACCTAAAACGTTTCCGTTCTTATTTGAAATTGAATTTTCGATGAATGTTCAAAACTGTCAGGATTTTATTACTCTAGAATAGTTTGTAAAGAAATCTGGAAATTTCCTTCGTAAACGTACATGTAGCAGTAACTGGTATTGGGTAATATGCATTTCTCTCGTATAAGTACATAGAGTTTACTTTTAATCTAATAAGTGTACAAAGTAATATATTATTTGGAGAGAAAAGTTTGTCGGTGGTACCGAGTGTGTAATTCAGCTTTGCTCCGATCTTCTTTCATTTCTGACTTCAGCCGAATACTCGAAGCGTTTGACCGTTAATAAGTGTATTGTTAGTAAACAATCCACAAATGAGAAAGTCAAAACGTATCCTATAATTGGCCCAATTTACAAATAAAGCTCATCTCAATGCGGATTTAAAAGTGATACTTTTGAAAGACGGTAATGTTTGATCGCAAAACTGCTTAATAAAACTCATCTTCATGGCCTGCTCCTCGGGAAAATGTTGTTGAAAATGTTCGGTTGTACCGTAATTTTGCTATCCTTATTTTTATACTCTTCTTCATTATTGATGACTTTTCTAGAACGCAATACTTCAAATGTTTCTTTAAAGAACCATTCCATCATTAAAGGATTTTCATCAGTCGAGTGAGTCCCTACCGTGCACTGAAGCTTATCAATAAAAAGTTCGACATCTGAACAAACTTTATCGTCACTTGGTTTGCTATTGAAAAGTAAAACCGGTTGGGAACTAGTATACCTGAGTAAGAACTGCATCACACAGTTTGCATTTCATATTCTTGCACGTACCCGAGTAACGTTGAAAGTTTGAGTGCCAAAGAAACAGTCGCGATTATTCCAAGCTTTACGACGTTTCCCCTTCTAAACGAAGAAATCAGAAGTATGAAAATTAACTTGAAATTGCTAGAACTTTTTTCGTCAAGATCTATGTTTTTTTTTCAACTATATCAGTCAGTTTTATATGCATTAATTGGAACAGAAAAGTACTCTGATTGCAGTCAAATTAGTTTTAAATCTTATTAACACGCAGTGGAGTTCTCCGTAAATTTTTCATGCTTTAAGGGAAAGCCTGATGATTTCTTCCTTATACTTAAAAACACTTGGTAGACAAAATCGGAGCGCAGTTTCAATCTTACAAGTTATTTCCATTTAGTTGAACAAGAAGAACAAAAGTTTCTCTTTGTTATACACACTTCAATGTGGGAAAAGTGAAGTGTATCTTTGTGAGAAGGAATGTCATTCCAATTTTGAATCTAATTTGTTATCGTTTTTTCAATTATTTCAGAAAATTTCAAGGCGTACACCTCGGTTTGTTGGATGATTATAGAGTCTTTATTAAGGAACTTGCTCTTTGATAATTGATTAAGCAGCAAGAGGTAAAGTCATTTGAGGTTACAGAGAAACCATATGACACACCTTACTATGCAGAATCGAGCTTTATAGGTCTTGTACACAAACAGGGTGGACATATGAATGATCACCTTTAGCTCTCGTAGCAGGTGAGACCCATGACTTGTAGCTCGTTTACTTTTAGCTCTCCTTCCTAGATATCACAGACCTGTTATAATGGAATTCAGACCAACCTTGTTAGCCGCCTTCAGTCTTGCTTTAATGTTGGATTTCGTCAAGAGCGAGGATCCAATGTAAGTATTTTTTTGATGTCTTACATATTAAACCTCATCTGCTTGGAGAGGTTTATTTCATTCAAATGTTTTACTTTGCATTTCAGTTGTAAAAACATGATAAGTTTTTCACTTACAAATCCCCTTATCAGTGTGCGTGCACGCTAATTTTTGAACATAGTAACTCGTCACAGAAAAACCCGTCAAGAAAGAAATTTTAACAGCGCACATACGTCTGAGTGTTTGTTTGTTAGTCCACGATCGTTATCGTTCCTTTAGACCAAGGGTAGAAGCGCACTTTGATTCTTCGAAAAAGCGCTTTATCCTTGCAGTTATCACCTCGATCGGGGAAGTTTACAAAATTTTCGTACAGCTGCCGCTCGAAGCAATGCAAGGATTGTGCAAGTTTAGAATAGTCTTGTGCTTAGTTAATTTCTCTACTTCAATCGAGGTGATGAAAACACTCTACATCTAACACCACGCCTTCTCTTGTATCTGTTTCAGTTCAAAATAAATCAGCCACCTGCACTCCAAATAAATTGTTATTTAAACAGAGTAAACAGCAACTATCTTTAAGCGAAAAACCGTAGTCGTCTTCTTTTGGTATTCGTTACAACAATATAAAGTATAAAACCCGATAGATATTTTGTTAAGTGCCATTATCGATAAGAAATTTCGAAAACGCATTTTCCACATATTAAACCTTTTTGCTTTTGTGCGATGTATTAAATTAACCTATGAGCACACGAAATTATTTCTCTCAGGGAAAAGTACAAGAAAACGATGGAAGAGGCATACAATTTATCGGTGGCGATCAACAACAATTTAAAGAATTACGATAGAAAGTTGCGGCCTAATGCTGGGGGTAAGCGTTGAATTTGTATTTGAATTTTTAACTTTGAATTAGTACATGGTAGTTTACTTCACCTCGAATATATTCAACCATGCATGCATTTCTCATCTTGTATCTTTGCCCTCTTTTTGAAGCTTTCTTGATTTACAAACTGCTGAGAATACAGACAAGTCTTTTGTAAGATTTTAACTGCACATATCATCTGAATTGAGAATAAAATTTATCATTTGCTAAATATTCGTGCAGGAGAGCCGGTCATGGTCCAAGTAGAGTTCAAAGTTATTTCATTCGGTGAAATTAAGGAAGTAAACATGGTGAGTTGTTGTTGACTTTAAAGTTTCTCCATTGAGGATAAGATAGTCTGTTCTGATTGCTACGCGTTGCAATGTCAGCGTTTATTTTGCCCTTCCGCCATTCATTTTGAACTCAGTGGTTCGTCTTTCATAGCATCGGATTACATTGTAAGCAAATCACCGGTCAATGGATACTTTCTAGTATACAACCCAAACTTAAAAATATGCAAGGACCACTTTTGTAAAACAACCTTGAGATAACGTACCTGTATGGTACAAGTTGTCGAGGGTCGGTACAAATTGGGATATCGACTCGTATCGGTTTCTTCAACGTAAGATATTCTTTGTTGGTAAGTGGATACAAGTGGAAATCCTGAGCCGTGGAATTTGCTAGTAAAGACAGTTCGTCGCGAAAACATAGACAATGCGAGATATACGTACCATAAGCAAAAGCAACTTGGTAAGAATTGTCCTCAGAAAGAGATCCATAAGGGGCACTTATTCCCTCGGCTTTGGTCTCTCTCACTTTCAAGTCATAAAGCAAACAGGCAAACAGAAATTCTGTCACACTCCGTTTATTGACCGGCTGTAAGAGAGCACATCAAGAGCTAAAAAACTATATCATGTTTAAGTAATATAGGGCTTAATGACATATACAAAGGAACTAAACAACGAAAAGTTGATAGAATCAGTAGGTCATTTGACTGAAAATGAAAAAAAAAGGTTAAATAGAATATGATTTTAAAATAGCATCCAAATGTTAATTTATTTTCTATAAATTTTATCAAAGAGGAGCGGTTTCACTTCAAACTACTGATGGTGGTGTTTATAACAAATTTTAGGAGTACAGCATGGACATATTCTTCCGCCAGTGGTGGAAAGATCCCCGAATGAGGCATAATTCTACTACTCCATTTAACATGGCGTTTGACCCAACAAATGTCTTCTGGACACCGGATACTTATTTCTGGAATGTTAAGCATGCAAAATATCACTACGTTACCAGAGAAAACATGCGGGTCAGAATTTCTGCAGATGGAGAGATATACTTCAGTACGAGGTGCACATAGAGTTTTTGTTCATTATTTATCAGAGCACGTGTTTTTTGTTAAGAGCTATACGTATATATTGTCAAAATTAGTTTTGAATTTTTTTGGAGGGCAGTTATTATCGTGTCGAAGGAAGAAAGCAAAGTCTGTTCTTAAGCCCGGTGGCCCTCACTACGTAGCAGCTAATTCCTGTTACCATCGCATGAAGCGGCTGGGATTATTTTTTTCCCAGTGGATAGTATGCTAGTCCATACATCGAAGCTAAGCCCCTCACGCGGTTTTTTTTTTAAGGAGGGGGGGGGAAGGGGGTAGATACGGCTTTTGCAGTCGACTGGTTGTGGGATAATCACAATTTACCCTCAGAGTTGTGTTAGGTTTTCCTGAAAATTTACCAGCATCTGGTTACGCTCTTTATTCACCATGGGTGAATAAAGTATCTTTCACAAACACAACTTTACGACTTACTAAATTGCAAAGGGCGATTGAAAAGTGACAACATGACGATCTCAGCCAAGGCTTGATCACGTCAATACTTCCAAGACGAGGAGTAGGAAGAGAAAAGCCCAAATTAAAGAAACACGTTTTTCATCACACAAAGGTTCAACTGATGAGGTGAAAAATTGGCTTTTGAGCGCTCTCAATATAGTCGGTTGGAGCGCAGGAAAACTGTTTATATCCACGTCCAACAAACTCAGTTTTTATTTTCTCTCATATTATGTTCTGTTGCAACACCCAGAGGAAAAAGTTTACTTGGTACAATATCTATGTTATTTGTTTTGTTAGGATAACGATTGTGGCTCAATGTGACATGGATCTGCGCCTGTATCCAATGGATACCCAACACTGTGCATTGAGAATCGAGAGCTGTAAGTATGGAAATGGACCAGGTGCAAAGTAGCGGAAAATTTGCCCATTAACTTTCGCTACTGCAAAGTGTTTAATTTTTTTCCATTTGAAAACATTTATCAAAACATTTATAGCAAACTTCGGTTAGGGGCGAAATATCAAAGGTAATCACGTAAGATAATTAAGAAAAATGAGTCAGATGATGAGAAATCGAAAATATTAGAAAAGATAACATTAAACTGCCTTACTCTTGCGGAAACGCGCACACCAGATAGCAAGTGGTTTTCTTTTGTTTCTAAATTGATGAAAGTGTATTCACGAGGCTCAAGCGAAACATATGCAAAAATGCAGTACGAATCTTCCTTTCACCGATTGCGGTTCTCGCCGATTGTGGTTCTAAAAACATTACCAGGCCAATCCTGTTTCTCTGTTTCTCCTCAGATGCCCACACAGTGGCAGACGTAGACTATAAGTGGAAAATTGGTAAAAATAAAGGGATCGAGATTGTCTCCTCAGAGTTGGCTCAGTTTGATCTTCTTCGCGTCGTGACTGAGAATAAAGCAAGCACTAATAGCAAAGGTGAGATAACACATGTATTCTTGGCGCATATCCCCTTATTACCTTAGCTTTTCCCAGTGAGGACCGAGGGGAAGGGGAGGGGGAGGGAGGGTCTAGCCTTCTCAGCTTATCATTGTATCCTCTGCGTGAAATACCCAGCCAGGAGTTCTGCTTCTACCATATGCGAGACAGTGGCATCTCTTTACCCACCCAAAAATCTATTTTAGTGCTCAGCTCTAATCTATGACAAACCATTTTCCACTGTTTAACTTATAAAGAAACTAAACTTGTGATATTTGCTCTCTATCCTTAAAAATCTTGAATCGGTATATTGGAATTTTATCAATGGCAGCATGGTTACTTAACGCATATTTGACTCATTCGAATAGGTCTCTATAGTGCCTCACGTATTCCACGAGTAACAAAGTTACTGATCCTCTGTTATTCCTTCTCCACTTCAAACAACTCTGTTATTTCTAACTATTTTAAGTATTTTAAGTATACAACAGAAGTAGACTTAAATGGCGTCCATGGTTTTCTTCGCTCAGGTTCATTTGCCAAATTAGTAGCAGTGTTCTCCTTCAGACGTCGTCTTGATTATTACATTTCATCCGTGTACGTACCGGAAGTCATCTTGGTAGTGTTGTCATGGTGCACGTTTTTCATCACACCTTCAGCTGTTCCGGCAAGAATATCTCTCAGTATCACAACTATTCTGACCACCATCCTACTATCCAGCACCTTAAATTCAAATATTCCAAAGGTAAAACGCACGGAAATTGCTTACTCGGGGCTGTTATATAACCGTGTTCTGACCCATGCTCATCGAGACGTTGATTTTTGCCAACAATGTCAAGTATGCTTATCGCTAGCACGAGAAAAGAATGATTCATCTCAAAAAGATATGCATAAAACATTTCTATGACAATCGTACATCTTTAAATAAATCTCGTTCAATAACTGGCCTTTAGCATCTAGAAGTTAAGCCCTAGAAAATGTTAGATCATACGACCAAGGGTGTGTGTCGGACGAAAGTCGTTCCCAGGCTGTAGTAATTGTTAAACTGTTACTTTTAAATTTTAGGTCAGTTACATGAAAGCCGTAGACTACTTTATGCTAACGTCCTTCGGCTTTATCTTCACGGCTCTGGTGGAATACATTATTGTGCTGAACACCCCTGAGGCATTTTCAGATAGTTTCAACTGCTTCGAGAAAAAGCAGAAGAATGAACCAGTTCAAGTTCAGGTAACTTCTATTCAATGCTGTCCTTGAAATAACATCAACGAGTTAACTCATTGGCATAAATTCGGGGTCAGACAGTTTTATTGTGATCTTGCGTTACAAACTTCGTCTTACGCAAGCTAGATCCCCGGATTCTTCTTTTGCTGCCGTTTTGAAAAAAGCTTTTATCTAGCACGTGTAAGGAGGAAGGATTAGCACATTTTGTCCTTGTGCATAGTTTATGACCTGTTTAGTAAAAATTGTGCTTATTGCAGGACGGACCAGAGGAGTTGATTCTTAAAATCAATGCCTCCCCGAAGATGCTGGACCTAAGCAAGCCCAGGAAACCTCCTGAAACTAAACCGAGCCCTCCCAAGGATCACTGGGTCGACAAATGTTCCCGTATCCTTTTTCCCGCGTTTTACGCTCTCTTCCTCATGGCATATGTCATACATTACAAGAGAAAAGAGTGAGGGGAGGCTCCTGGGACTGGTCGTCTAATGGAATGTTGTCAGTCCAGGAGTAATTCGTGGTTATCTGTCTTCATAACTATACGGAGTACTCTTTAATTATTTAAACAAATCAGCATTACTTTGCAGTCATATTCGAATCTTACAGCTTACAGTCTTCGCGACGTAAAATGACGCGAAGAATCATTACATCATAGCATTATCTGTTCATATACATATGATATGCAATATTTATTTTGGTAGCTGAATTGAATTGCGTCGAGGCTTGCGCTCTTGTATGAAAAACTCAGTTAAAAATTGTACTTTCTCTGATGACAAACTGCAGCCTTTGCAAGTGCAAGTGCGACAATGCTAATACAGTGTACAATGAATATATAATTATTGTAATAAAATGATTAGAGTAATATTACTCCTATCAATAAGGAGGAATGTTCGGGAAATCGGCCAGAAAAACTTGAAAATGATGGTTATGGCCGCCGTAAATAGATTATGCAAATTTCAGCTGATCTTAATTAGGCGAGAATGCGACTTTTGGAATCAACGTAAAAAGAGCTGTCGAAGATCTTATTCCTCTCGCAAAGCAACATTGAAATCCTCCGTTCGTCTTCAATCATAAATATCTGAAATTCAACAACGAACTGCTTCGAAAAAACCGCTGCCTTTTGGAGAGTGGGAGTTAAAACAATTTTTTTTTTCTGTAGCTTAACATATATTTAACACTAGTCTTGGTTTCTCTCGACATTCGTAAAACAGCTTTAAGCCCTTCAATACATTGAAGTACCTCTCCCGAATCAATAGCTCCAAAATAAGCATTTACTCTATATACGTAACACTAAATTTTCCTACTGAGTGGGTTTATGTGTCCATCGTAATGATGCGGTAACAACCAGATAAACTAAATTCATATCTGTTATTATCGCTGCCAAAACTCTCCTTATCGTGTTATCAATAAGGACTATTTAAACCAAATGATATTTAAAACTTCATCAATCGCAAATCTACTTACCATTGTCGCATTTACAAACCAAGACCGGTGGCTGGCAAATCAATTTTTATTAATGTCATGTTTTTTCTTTGTTAACATGATAAGAATTCGTGCGCTTTTCTTCAACTGGGCATACTGTAATAATTATATCAGGAAGAAGCCATCTATTTATCATGAATACATATCTTGATTAATGATTCATCTTATAAAGAGTAGAAAGTCTGGGATAGATATTGAAATTGTTTATAAAAGGGTTAAAAAGGCAGGAACAATAATGTCAATTCCTTTACTCGAGGAGATGATTTGGTATTTTATCTTTGCTCTTTTTAAGCTTATCCAGAACACCGTGAACTCAGTGAAAGCCCTTTCATCATCTTTTTTCCAGGATGACAATCTACGCCATGCGTAGAGAGTCTTTTTATCAGCAATGAACTTTTCGGGTACTTGTTTATCATTTAAAGATACGTTTGTAACCGATGATTATTCAAAAAAGAGCTCAGGAGGTAGGATCTGTAACATTAATTGCTTTTCTTGAGAAAACCAATTTTCCTTTACATTGAATGAAAAAAATTGGATTCCTTGAGCTAGCCCTACATCATAAATTATCAGTCCAGGCCCCCTACATCAAAATTGCCTTTTTCTATCAATCCCCCAATATTCTTCTATAAACCATATCAGATTCTCCGTGTTAGACACCAAATTTAAAATAGGACACTCATCACACGCAAAGAAACTCTGTTCCTCGCTTTTAAGAGTTCTAATTATCTTATCAATTGTAGTGGAAAGAAAGGTAGGCGAGCGGATTGGCTAATATCAGTATGATAACTATTCTGATTCCCAATAGAAACCTTAGCCAGGGTGACCAGGGATTTGCTTCGGAATCCAGATAGGAATCTAAGTTTTTCCCAAGAGTGTTTTACCCTAAATTCGTGCTTTTCGAAACTGCATCGTAAAACCTCGTTTTTCAAAATCGGCATTGTTTTAATCGGTTGGTTTTTGTGCTTTGTACGTCAAAGTGGGCCGATTCTGATACAGAAGGAATTATCGACTTTTATCTCATATCTACAGTTGTTCAAAAATGAATGGAAAGAAATTTCTTCATATTTTATAGATAAATATCGTTGAAGACTCCACCGTAACTTTCTTGTTGAATTCTCTAGTCCAACACATGTCCCTTGGAGTCGCTCTCCTCCCTGAGCGCACTGTAGTATATGGTGTACGAGACGAGAAATGTGACGTACAAAGTTGGGAAGAGAAATCTTGACAATCGGTCGATCCAGTGCGCCTTAGTTTTTGTTGCTACTGGCGGCGTTAAGGGAAGTTGTTGTTTTGGTTGTGGCTTCAGCTTGATATTTCCCTTGTTATTCCTGATTCTACAAACTCCTTCATCCATCACTTGCACAATCAGATCAACACTTCCCTTGCTGTGTGCCTACAAAGAACAGAAATCTCTCTTTACACTTTGATCACCGGGATTTTTGGTCATTGGGATAATCACAACCAGGAGATGTGGTGTCAGCTTATATGGAGTGATACTTAAAGCGCTATGATTAGATTATATGAGGAAAAAAAAACATTTGACGGTCAGAAATAAATCGATATGACCAAGCTTTCGAAGCCTTCAAGGCTAGCTCAAGAGTTTCCTTCTACTATTCTTTTAATCCCTTCATAAGGAAACTTTTTCCAGCCACCTAATTGATAGACAGAGCTCATAAGAGACCAAAAAAGCCCACAAATTACTTCAACAAAACAGTCCACGTTGGACAGTCTGGGAGTAAAATTACAAAATATTTGAAACTTCCGACAGCCTGATCTTACGTCACGAATGATAATAGGAATCCTCTGTACATTTGCCAAACTGAGGGCAATTGCAAATTATTCAGCCGTGCCGTAACCATTCAATAGAGAGATAAGAGAAAATAATCGTTTTTAAATGATTGAAGTTGAGGATAATCTTTTCCTCCACCACTTACTTCACATTCCATCGCAATTTCCTTTTTGTCTCCTCTTTTGTCCTTCTTGAACCAGGAAGGTGGAGAAAACACTGGACTGGTGTTGAGGACGATGATGAATTCGATTAAGGCGGCGAAGATGAAGCCAAAAGAGGTCAGCAAGAAATAATCAACGGCTTTCATGTAGCTGACCTTAGGCATGTCTCTGTTAACGTTGCCTTTGAGTAGAATGGAGGTTAAAATAGTGGTGATACTCAGAGCCACTCTGGCAGGAACAGCTGAAGGGGAGATGAAGAAGCAACACCACGACAAAACAACCAGGACTACTGCTGGGACAAATATGGCAGAAACAAAGCTCTCTGTGCGCCGTCGAAATGAAAACACCGCCTTGAGACTTGCGAAGGAACCTAAGAATGTTTGGAGGAAATAGAGTCGTTTGATACGCACTCGGGCTTCGCTACAATTCTCTAAAATTGGTGCATTTTTTCGTTTGGTCGTTAGTCTGTTAGCTAGCATTATTTGGCACAGTGAAGAGAGCCAAACTTAATTACTTAAGCCTCGCTCTCCTATTCAAAGTACGTTTTTTTTATCTCCTCATGTCGTTCTCCTCAGGGAACTCGTTGGTGAAATAAACGTTCCAAAGAATAGTTGTTAAACTTGAATTTCTACTTTTCAATTTCTCAAGCGCAAATCAACGTTTTATCTCAAATTTTGCGAATTGGATCACTCCTCGGTCCAGTTCTGAGGATGATCCTATATTTATGTCTTGAAAAGCCCCCTTATCTGTATCATTTTTCGTCCAGTTATGTAAAAGATGTTGTAAGAAAGAATTTGTGAAAGATAAAGTACGGTTAGTCTCACCTTGTTGCCTCGAGTATTATTTATACTATTTAAAAATTACATTAGCCTCAAAATAAAACGAAAAAGAAAACTCTGTACAACGAAGAAAAAGTACAGGAAGAAAGTTTCTAGAGAAACCTCATTATTACACTGGTTTGATACCGAGTGAAGCTCGTTGCTTTTGTTCGTACAGATATGAGAATTACGGCCATTCCACTAAGTAATACCGTCCACTAAATTTTGCTCATGATTTTATCCGCTTTATTTTTAAAACTCACCTTTACTGTTCGTCTGCGACTTGGTGTAAGTTTTAACATCAGTCAGATCAAACTGAGCCATTTCCTTCGACACTATCTCTACACTTTGTTTATCTCCTCCCTTCCAGCGGTAATCAACGTCTGCTGTCGTATACGCATCTAGAATGAGACGAAATAAAAAAAAAGTGAAAAAAATTACAGTGGACCTTGGCACAGTCCAGTTGATCTGTACGGTTTCGATTCGTATCAGAAGAACTGTAGGACGAATTTCCACATATAACAATTGTCATAAAGAGAGAAATGGCTCGGGAATCCGCACTAGCATGTAGGAAGTTGCATGTGTTCCAAAATTACTTCGGATTTTGTGGTTTTTTAACAAAAAATCTTGTCTTTGGTTGCTGTGCCGTTGAATACTTACAGCTTTCTATGATAAGAGGACAATACTGAGTGTCCATTGGGTAAAGGTGCAAATCCATATCACATTGAGCTGTTAGTGTTATCCTGGGAGAACAATAACAGAAATGGTCTCAAATAACAATGTTGATCCTTCTGCTCTAAGGAGCGACCCAAAAGTACTTTCTCCTTAAAAAATCAGTACAAGTTTATGTAAAAGAGAACTGAGGGGAAAAGAAACGTATTGACATGGGGACATCATTCGATTAAACTTCAAACTTAGGGGCTAAAATAAAAGTTAATGAAGAGGTTTGGCAGATAGAGCGGGAGTTGAAAGAGTGTATTTAGATCTTGCGATTAAAATTGAGGCGGACATAGAATGAACTTTTTCAAGACTGATATGAAGTAGTTTTGAATCTTTCACTAAGAAAAAGATGCAGAATCGTCAGATCATCGTTGCTGCGAGTTGGAATTATTTTTCTTTTGTTTTTATTAGTGCAAATTTACCTTGTGCTGTAATAAATCTCCCCATCGGGCGATATTTTCACTCTCATATTCTCTCGGGTGACGAAATGATATTTAGCATCTTTTACATTCCAGAAGTACGTATCTGGAGTCCAGAAAAGCTTTGTGGGATCCGCTGCCATATTGAACGGTTTGCTATAATTATTCTTAAACCTTGGATCATGCCACCATTGTCGCATAAAAATGTCCATCGAGTACTCCTAAAAGACAAAGAACGTACACTTCACTTTTCAATCAAGACTTTTTGGGAGCAAGATTTTCTTATTCCCATAAATCATGCTTTTGTTGTATCGAAAAAGCATAAATTGTTCCTTGATTTAAATCAGGAGTGGCTGATGTCATGGTTAGTTACCTGGGGATTTAGTCGCTTTTAGCTTCCTCGGCTTAGGTTTACTTGTTTACTCGGTAAAATGGTGATCAGTTTTCTTCACCTACAGGAATACGTTATATTATAAACTTAACTTAAATGCACGATCTTTGGATCTGCTGTTATGTAATTTAGGCCCTTAAGTCAAAATATGCGAACCTAGTGAGGATAATACAGGCATACCATATTAGCTTCCTTGATTTCTCCAAAGGATATGACTTTAAATTCTATCTTCACGATGACGGGAGGTCCCCCTGCATTTGGCCTGACTTTCTTGTCATAACCGGTTAGACTACGGTTTATCGAGCGCGACAAGTTATAAGCTTCAATCATGCTACTTCTCACTTCGCTTGTAATTCTGAAATCAATAAAAAATAATTTTTCAGGAACATTCTTACCTACGAAGGTAACAATTTATTACACCTGGTCTCAGTGAACCTGATAAAGGACCAAATCCTCTGAGAACTTCAATAATATTTTCCGTTAGCACTGTAGCAAATTTTATAATCCCAAATAGCCTCTAGGAAAGTGTTCTTGTACATTCTGATGATAAATAACTATTTGTTGCGTACATTTCCGTGTTAAGAGAATCAATATTCATTATGCTAATATGCTTAAACTTATTCTTTTAAATAATTGAGTTTGGTATTTTTCATAAGCCTACAGTGTACTATTTAGCTGCTAAACTAATTTTGAGGCGGTGTGGTACTCTGCAAGCATATTTATCTTTGTGATAAAAGCTAATAGAAAACTATTTTATTTTCAAAAACGAGAATTATAGGACGAGGTAGATTCATCCTTAAGACTTACTCTTTACCAAGCCCGTAAGCAACAAGACTGAGGCACATCAGAAGAGCTGCAGCTATTCGAAGACATGAGGTTGCCATCACGGATATGTCACTGCAATGAGTAGAAAGATGTGAACAACCTTTTCTATCAAGCAAATTGTTTGCGTTCGAAATTTCGTTTGTTCAAGTTATATATTAGTTAACTACCTATTTTGATTACTTTGAAACTTTTCTCATTAGTTTGAAACTCTTAAAAATATTCTTCAGATGGATGAAATGTATTTTCTCGTGTGTAAGCCATTTTTTAACCTTTGTCTTGGCTACGGAGGCAGCTAATGAGCCACTTCGTATGATAGCGTCCCAAATTTTTTCTTTTTGTATTCTGTGGTATTGGGACGAGGGAAACAACTTTTAAGTTTCTTCTTATTTTTCTTCATATAATCCTGAAATTACTTCTAATACTTACATAATTGATTGAACCAGAAAATCAGTCAAGATTTACGGTAACTGTAACAGCAAAGCTTTCCTCATCCATGATTTCTCGGACTAAAAACTATCGATGAATGGGGTATTTTCGTCGTTTCTTCTAATTCTAAATGTTGCCAATTATCAAGGTGAGTATATCCCCTGGAGATATATTTACGTTTTTGTATTTATCTGGAAATTTCCACCTGCTTTTAACCCGCAGCAACGCGGATGGGGTATCTGTGGTCTCCCTTTGAAAACAACTTCCTTTCTTTAACACTTTTGTTGATAATATTGCTTTGTATTAGATAAGGTATGGTTATAATCGAGCGTTTGGGTGCTGCAGTAATAAATTTAAAATTTATTTTGCTAATGTTATCTTTATTTCTGTCTATGGATATCTTGATAAGAGATAAAACAAAATCGCGGCTACAGGTTTTGAATACGATGCGGGTTTGCGGGATATCAAACAATAACTGTGAGCTTCAGTGTTATTGTTTGGCAATCATACTAAATGTTTCGTGCACGTCTTGAAAGCGTCTGCTGCGTCTTTTGCTAAAAAAATTGATTTAACGCCAAAAAAAAAAAACATCTAAAGGCAATTTTAATGACAAGACAAGAACTAACGTGGGGCGAAAAGGTAACATCGATTTCACGCTGAAAGACAGTGAAGATGAAATATGAAATCAAAGTTCAGTTCAGTTCCAAAAACTCATTTCATTTGTTTACAACTCTTTATCAGGCTGGCAACCGTGCTCAGTGCCCGCACAATCCACTATACATTCCAAAACGAAAATAATAGAAAATGACATATCTATCTAAGATTGTTTCTTTCGAATTGAGCACAAAATTACCTCTGTTCTTGATTATATCAGCTAACTTTACAACTTGTGCATTTTTTGCTTTTAATTTACTTATATAACACAAGATGAGCCGTTCCATCATTTTTTCATCACAACCTCATCTCAAAAGTGTCCTACATTTGCATCTCCACATCCCCAGCCACACCATGCTGATAAGGCCTAATATGGCCGAAAGAAACGGTTGTCTCTGGCTGCGAACTTGGTGCCTTACGTTGTATATCTCACTCTTTTAAATAGCGGCGTTGAAATACCACCAGCATTGTGGCGTTTCTGTGCATTTTATGGCTCGTCATCATCATCATTTTGTACCTTTTACTTTGGAATAGCTCATGGAGATCTATTTGTTTGGAAGTTTTTAATGATACTAAAAATAAATCCTCTTTGTTTCTCTATTTTCAATCCTTTTTTAACTTCTAACGCACTCTTTAATAGCTTAATATATATTCTGCGTGAAACTATCTCTAAAATGTAAACCACTTCATCAAAGAAGGGAATTCAATCGATTGACATAAAACAAACACAATAAATTCAACATTGAGAGTTTTCTTCATATATGCAAATTACAATTGTAAGGAAATCTGTTTTCTAGCAAACACAAACCGATTAAATAACTGAAAACACGCTTTAATGTCACATTATGTTCCTGTTGTAAACTGATGACAAATTATTTTTATCTAAATCAAGAAGAAAATAATGCTCAACGCAATGAGGTATACTCATTCCGCGAGATTAGCATTTCTGTGCAAAAAGTCTGATACCCAACAGAGACGAAAAAGTTCCAGAAAAATGGATATTTTGAAATTAAAACACTGAAAGTTAGTAGCAAACCTAAGAGTCTTTTAATCGGTGCGTAAATACCTTGACGAAGTCTTAGGCAGATAGAGATGTACCTTATATTCTCAATGCAAGGTTTGCCTCTAGTAAAAATAAGCGTTTTTGGCATAGAAGGTATCCGCAAAATATATTTTGTCTATTTTTAACCTGTCTATTTAAATACGTGTAATGGTTCGGCCACATATATATATGTATAATTCAAGCGGTTTTTAACTTGCCTCAGAAGTTAGAATATAGTTACTTCTATGTTGGCTAAGCACTGAGGAAACTTAAACGAAGAAATCAAGCAAGTATTTGGCCGCGTGCGTTCAGCAATCGCTATGTGGCCCTTGGTTATCTCGGTCGCGAGAAAACATGTCAGTAGTCGTTTGCACCTACATTGCAGATAAATGAAGCAAAATCTACCAAACCATTTAATAGATTTTTAAGAGGATACCGTCATTATTTTCAGTTCTATGTAGAGCCAACTCGCTTATGTTGTTGAATATTCTATCAAATACCGGCTGATTGAAAACAGATTTTAATCAAAGGCGTTGGATTTTTTATTGATAGTGATGAGAACCGACGACGAAAAACATTATATCTAAGGTAATACCCTAAATTAATATTGTAGCTTGAAGTTTTGAGATGCGTCTTATATCGTAAACGAACAAAGCAATTATTCATGAAATCCTTACCTCGGTTTCAAGCGCTCAGAGATTTCCTTTTGTAAACCAAAATCTCGCTTCAGTCCGCTTGTGCCAGTCTTCACCGTTTCAAACCATTACTATACAGTTGGACATGATTAACTAATTTCATTTTACCCGAGGAACAGTTTGAGAAGAGCTGTTTGTTGATAAATCTCGTAGAACACTATTAAGCTGGAAGCATCGATAGTGTAGTCTCAGGAGACAGTGAATAATTTATGCGATTCGATAATCGACTCAGCCTACATGATACAAATTCCCCTGTCACCTGCAGCTGCTACCGAGTAATACCAATTGGTCTGATATCAAAAATTATTTGTTGGCACGGTGTTATTAAAGTAGAGGGAATGATCCGCAACTTTTTGAGATTATTCAAGTAGCATGAAATAAACTAATTTCAGAAGATTAAAAAGTTTAGTTCACCCATCGTGGCGTTAAACTTTAGAATACTTGTTCCTCAGATGAAGAATGTTTGTCAGCACGGCGTTATCGAAGCAAATAGAAAATGCTTTTTGCAGTTCTTTTAAATATGTTAAGAACGAGAAAATAAATCAATTTCAGAAGATAGAGAATGTTTAAGCTCACCCACCGTGGTGTTAAACCTTAGGACTTTAGTTTCTCAACGATTTCCATTGCTACTGAAGCAATCATTGTTGGTTTCGAACAAACTGGCATGAAATCCATGTATTCATGAAAATTCTCTCGAAAAATTTCTCATTTGTTTAGACGTTGATCGAGCTCAGAGTTTTACTCGAACAATGCACAAAATTAAACGACGCAGCGCCATGTGGCTAAAGAGTCTCACGTCATTGTACACACAACGAAACCAAATATATATCAACGTAATCGCATGCAAATGAGGTTCGCGCACAAAGTCAAGTTTAGTCGGTGCGATCAGGCCTAAATTCTTCAACCAAAAAGATTGATATTACTCTCTTTAAAATTTAAGGAGGTATTTTTCATTAGTTCTCACAAATAAATGTAACAATTTTGCTTACATATGAAGTCAGTTAGGAAGTAAGTCCGTTTTTGAAGAAAAAGAAACGGCGCGGAAATCAATTTTAAGATAATTTATTGTTTTCCACACTTTTTCAGTACATAATTTCTGATTAAAAACTGCAGAATAATTTACAACCTAATTTATATAGAGGAGAAGAAACATTTTCATGTTTTCTTGAATCACTCTGACATTGTGAAAATTGTGAATCGAGTTCAGGTTTTTTTTCCAAATATAAAAATAATATTGTTAAATTTCCAATGCCCTCATCAGTCTTTGTTTCAGTTCAAACCTTACGGCAGTCTACCAGTTCTTAATTGTTATAGATCACTTCTTAGCCAAACTGCAATTCAGAAACAGGAGACATGCAGAAAATACGTCGTTTGATTTTGCATAATCGTGTCTCTTATAGACTGAAATTTCGGGTTAATCAGAAAAATGAAATGCAAACCAATTACATAATAAGCCAAAACAATTTAAATTTTAGAGCAATTATTTTGCGGGTCATATATTACAAAATTCCTGGTATTTTGAGATTAATCAGCCGAATCATATCAAAAATAAACAACTTTCTGAAATTCAAAAAAAAAAAGGAAAAAAATAAAAACTTAAAGGACGTTCAGAGTGAGGAATTTGTAAATATTTCTGGTATTAACAGTAGTTTTATGCATTTTGTGTTCAGCTACGTAAGAAATGGTTTGTTGCCTAGCGACGCTTTTTTAGTGTTTTATTTCCAAAAACATGTAGATTTGGAATTCCATTTTTTCAACCTCTGTGTTATCACCAAATATGTATTTTATAGTTTATATTCTTATCATGCATCAAAATTTTTTTGTCCAAATATTCCTTGGAAAGATACCTTCCAAAGTCAAATAAACGATTTTCACATCAACGACGTAGATAATCGATCTTAAGAAAACGCCAGAAATCATTTTTGTTATTAGCAATCATCTAGCTTGTAAATCATGTTTTAGATAATAATCAATTTATCTCGCTAATAAAAGTATGCCATAACAAACTGTTTTGAATTTTCAGCTTACCTTCGGAGAATTTGAATTGAGCTTCATGTAGAGGTCGGCTGTACTTAAAATTTAAAGACGAATGCAAAACAAAATTTGGTTTCTTTGGTTACTACTCATAATTTTTGGTCAGGTTCATTTGGTGACCAGTAGATATTGAACACTAATTTTTTATGACCCTGTGTCGGACAACAAGTGTTAAGTATTATCAATCATTAAATGGTCACGGTACCAAAAGAGGCCATTCTGCTCTAAAATATACTATTAAGAGAGAAGTTTTTGTTGAAGAAGCTGTTTTAATTTGTTTGCGAAGAAGAGAATGCATATTAAATTGCCTGTAAAAACAATTTCTAAATTTCAACTTTTTTTGCGGTTTTGTGCTTGTTTTCAACGCACCTGATAAAGGGTTATGTCGAATGAGTTATCTGATCATTGTGTAGGCGTTCTTTATCGTTAGCGTTCAAAGACTTATCTCCGCAAAGGTGAGTGATTCAATCACTCCTTTCACTGACTCCCATCCTGAAGTGATCTCTTTTTTAGTGCTGTGAGCAATGAACCAATCCAAGCTAATCACGGCAAGATTTGAACTTTGGTTAAATATTTACAGCGATGAAATATTTCTTTTTAAACCGAAACAAAACCACTAAAGGAGATAATTTTTCAAATAGTTTGTTTACGTTTAAGTAGAGTGCCTTTAGATCCGCGACAAGATGCTGACGTCGTTTAGCCGATGGAAAACCTGTAAATTTATCGCCTCTTGCTGTGTGTCAAATTAAACCGTATAGCACCTCATTCAATATTTAGTAATACAGAATGCGTTTTAATTTCTTTGGGTCATCATGAAGTAAGTATTTGACACCTTATTTCTTCACTTTACTTGCTCGAGAGAACAATATTTAGTAAGATCACTGTCCTTTTTAAAGTAACTCTATGTGGCACTTCTTATTCATCAGAGGTCCGACAACAGATGTAAGTTATCTTCACTTGTACATTATATTTATTTCAAGGTCTTAAATTCATAAAAAAACCATAATATCAACTTGACACTAACATCAAAAACTTTACTATTTTGGTTTTTAATATAAGCAATCAATTTTGTACGAAACTCTTGGACCAAATTCTTTATTAAATGATGTCAATGATATGCTCAGACTGGGAATTTGACCGAGCGGAATTTTCTGAATCGATCTAACACGTGACAGGTGGTCTGATTTCAAAAGCTTTTTGTTTGTTGCGATCTGTTTTTAAACTCCGAGATCTGAATGCGGATAATCAGAGTAACAATAATGAATAACGAGACAAAAGATCGGTCATAATCAACTGGCTTTGTCGTGTGTGTATTACCAGCGTGAGACAGTAGCCTTAGCTTTGAACAAACCGAAGTGTTCTTTCTTCCACGTTTGTGTTTTTACCTCTGAACCATTTTTTTAAGCCTTTGTATTAGAAGGTGGAAATCGGAAGAAGGGGTAAATGTTTTAGGGTAGAGTAAGTGGGGATGGAAATTTATAATCCCCTTTCATAAGCATTTCCAGAATCTTTGTTGACTTGACGTGTGTTTTCTTCTCTTAGGGACGACAGTGCATCGTACTCAACAAGATTCCTTTGCTCAGACGAGACATTGAGCCTTTAGGGAAAATCAGGTATATTAAAATATCACTTTTTTCAGTTTTTCTCGTGAAGTAATAAAATAATTTTCTTTTCCATGAAGCTAGCCATGTGAGACAAAAACAAAGTTTTAAACGGTTTCTTTATCCTTAATTTCTAATCAATTTAATTACATTTTCAAAAAAAGCAAAACAGCGCAGTAAATAACCATTTGGATAATTCCAAATGTGTCGAAGTAGTGGAACCAGTAAGGAAAAAGATATCATTTTTGCACTTGCTATTGTATGGAAAAAGCAAAATATCTTAGCACACTTTACGAGGAAGCTTTTCCTGTCTGCGATTACCTCATCGTTGAAAAGTGAACGAGAGAAGGTGAAGTATTTGATTGCCTCCGGTTCATGGTGATCACATCAACTTGTGTTTTGTTAGAACAAACCTCAATCCGTGATTTGAGACATTTAGGGGTAGTGACAATTCTGTGCGGTATTGGGTCAAGCTTAAGCACTATGGCGCCTCAATTCATTAACATAAAGGACTTTAGATTTGGAATTATTTTCAACTTTTGAGTCTAGCCGTCGGATAACTTAACATGTTTGTCGTGCTTGTGTTTGATAGACCCTCAAAACGTTGTGGGTGGGTCGACCCGTTTGAAACACCTGCCTTAGGAGATCTTAGCCAAATTCTTCATGGGGGTAACAGATGAAAGTTTATCGACCACGGACCAGGAATTGATTTGAAGTTAATGGGAGTGATAATTCAGAAACAATTGATTTTTGTAAAAGCTTTCAAATTTATTGCATAATTATCTTAGGACCAACAAACCATACGCAGAAAGTAAATTTAAACTTTTGACCTTTTAAAGATAGGTGAGAGATCACGTTCAACAACACTTTACAGGATTAGGAAAAATATAAACCAGGACAATTTATGAAAATCTCTCAACTGAACATACATTTAATTACGATGTAAACCAAGTTAGAAGAATTTTATGAATTTAGCATGAACAATTTCAATTTCAGAAGCCTAACGAATAGTTTCTTATTTTCCATCGCGAGTAATTTATGCAACTCATTTCAAAAGGATTTTTTTTTTTATCTTCAAGGCCACTACTTGCTACACAGTCACCTTTGACCACTTTATTGGTATAATTTTTGAGTGGCTATCTTATTGTAGTTTGTCGCAAAAATGTTGGGAAAAATCAAAAAAGTTGTTTTCAGAACTTTTCATTAATGGGCTATAGAACCACGAACACTTTAAATTGTTGAGTTTTGTTTCATTTTGGTACCTGTGCTGTTAAAGGACTAATGTTACAAAAATGGTGAAGTGTCTTTTTTTGGTTTTCTTAGCTAAGAGAGAGTCTGCCTTGCTCCTAAATTTAGATTCAGAAGAGCATTGGGTCACAAAACAGCTTCAGTTTTTAAAAACTATCTTGCAAAGTGATTGGAAAAGATTGATGGCTGTCGTCGTCCACGCCCATTTTTAAAAACAATTTCCTTGCCTTCGTCGAAGCGTAGCCAACTTTCCCTTAGAGGAAAGATAGCGACCTTCCAACCACGCAAATGTTTCATATATAAGATAACAACCTAACCAATCCGATTTTTTGGATATTTTAGATTTAACCAAGTTTAAAGTTTCGAAAATTTTCGCGGTATTCTTTGTAGTTACTGAATCGATCATAACGCAGTAGCTCTAGATTTCACTGAACTACAAAATTTAACAAACATACGTGGCTAGTTAGGCAAGAATGAGTTAGGAGCAAAGTAAAGTAAAAACTAGAATACCAGGTGTTAGAAGTAAAGCCAAACTTTATAGGCAGTTAGAAACAATTACACAGCAATCTACGAGTTATGACTTTTGCAAAGATTTGAACTTGCTAGGTAAAAAAATTTCACATCACCTTTTCAATTTAAAAACTTAGAATTAAAGCAGTCAAAACAATTAATTATTCTTTGATTTTCATCCACTGCAAAATGTTATTTTTGTGTGGTTTCTGTGGCCGTTGTACAAACTTTCTTCTTTCTTTATCTCTACTTATGGACATTATTTACTGGCTCTGCTGTATCCAATCATACTCTCAAGTCAGTTTAACCTTAAAAAAGGGAGATGCTTACAGCTTTCACAAACACGCTGATATCGACTCAGAACAAGGAGTGGTTAATATTTTGCTTTGTAATAAGGGAGACGAAAAATTAACTGTATTTCTCCCTGGTTGAGTTTTGAACTGAGAATTTTATTTCTTATTTAACTTCTAAATAAATTTAAAATGTCGCATCGAAGAAAGATTAATGCGAAAAAAAAATGGAAAAAATTTCATGTGATCAGATAAGAATTCCTCATAAAAGAATACTTGACATCAAAAACTATGTTTACTTACTATTTCTCACCTGAATTTAGAGTGCAAGATCTTCCTCTTACGTATTCTTCAAGACGTCAAACCGTTGCTCAAAAAGGAAGCTCTAACTTTGTTGTTGTTCTGAATCCAGCTGGCGTTTTTTCGGCACAGCCGTTGTTTTACGGTAACATACATTCAACCTAGGACCACAATACCGCAACTCACTCGCAAAACGTAAACTTAAGACATCCCGCTTCAGTCTCTGCTGCAGAAGGGTAAAGGTGAACTTGGATTGTTATTCGGCCGTCGGCCACAGTATAACTGTAAAGTGTAACGAGGAAGTTTTAAGAATTAAACCAGAGATAATTTTCGACTTATCTTAATGGAATCTACTCAGAAAGTTGCGATGAAACGATATTGATTTACATCTTCGCTCAGGTCTCAAACCTTTCAGACGGTATGCGGTTTTCACCAAGTAGATGACGGTTATATCAGATCAGAAAAACATTTTCGTAAAATATCCATCAAACCAACTGGGATATTTAGTTAGAGGCCTTATGTTGTCGGGTTCTGGTTATACGGCTTAATTTTCATATTTTTTGTCAAAGTTTCCCTTGCTCTCAATAGGGGAGCCCCTTTTTTGGTCATCATACGATAATAGTCTCTGCATGCCGTCTTGTTTGGTGGTTTCATTTAATTCACAAATCGTTTCTAACATCCCAGAGCGGTAAATTATTTATTTTCCAAAATATCCTTGTGGAACAATGTTCCAATTTCGCGTTGAAATCAGAGCATCACGCAGTTTAAAATCTGAACCTTGATTCTAATCAACCAAGAGGGTCAAGTCTATCCTTAAAATATCTATCAAACCGATTGCAACCGGATGTTTCGTCGACACGTTGTACATTTAATATTGAAGTACATGTCTAAATGTTTTGATTCGCCGTTCGTACTGATTAGAAGTAACTTAATTTTACCGAGAATAGATGAAAAAGAAAATTCTGTTGCACTGTGGGGCGAGACAGCATTTTGGAAAGATTACACGCTTATCAGTTTCAAAATTGACGCATCTCCTAGAGTCTCTGTATAACTTTATCACTCATATTAGTCATTATTGCAATGCTAGAAAAACTCCTTATAAATTTAGTTGCGGAAATATCCTTTAATTCTTTCTTACTGAAAGTATTTCATAGGAATTATCATCCCTAATAAAAACCTTCCAGTTCATTCTAAGAAGCCGTCCGCAACGACGTGAGAGCTCTTAATTTATGCTAATTCTTCACCGCGAAAGTTTCGGCCGCTGTCCAAGTTGTATAATTAACGGTGTGCTCGAACACTCTCTGTAGTTTCCGTAAACTCAAAGCTGTTTGTAATGCGCGCAGTTAAATGCAACAATGATACTACATGAAAACTGTCAATTTCAGATCGCCTAAGGGTTGAATCTAATTGATGTAATTTCAAGAAATGCTTTTCGCATAAAAATCAGCGTCTACACGCAAACTCGCAGCATTGGTGAGTATTGTTTGATATCTTTTGTGGTATTTGTAGAGAAACATTCTTTATTCTATTTAATCCACGAAATCAATATCACAATAACATGGAACATTTTGTAAATGCAAGTCAGAGTTTATGCTAGGTTTTAAGTCAGTCGTCATAAGGTAGATGTGCCGTTTGAAATTGCTTTTACTGGGTTTTTTCTAAGCCTTTTTCACTTCAGTGTACCTAATTATGTAGTTAGGGTAGAGCTCTACTGTCGCATTGGATTAGGATAACGTGACTAAACAACTCTTCGGGAATAGTGTCGTTAAGCTTCTTTACTTAAATGTTTATCCAAATAAAGCTAGACTATCCTCGTAGCAGTTTGCATTTTGTGCAGTGTATTCGAATTCACCTTACGTGATTAATATTTTAAAACAATTCAAAAGGCTTTTAAAAGAAAGTCACTCGTGCCGTGTTGTTGTTATGCTTGGGAAGACCAGTCTCTATGAAGTAATCTATTCTTGAGTATTCGACAGATCTTCTCCTATAGAATCTAAGTTATTCTTTTACGATTTCTCATGCAAGAGAGAGCTTTTGTTGCTAGCTCATGGAAATAACATTTTGCTCTCGAAACAATAATTAAAGTAAAGCTTTAGGCGATATTATTCCTAACTCGAGCTGCAATGGAAAAGGTTGTGTTTGCTGAGAATTTAGTCCACATAAATAATGCACATTTTAAAGCGGATGTGACTGAACGGTTATTTGGTGAACCAGTTACGAAAAAGAATAGGAAGTGGCTGACAAAAAAGGATTCCCTTGTGGCAAACAGCCTTCCATTGTCTCTTTCTGCCAGATACCTTGAGTCTATCATTAATTTTTGTAAAGAATTCCACAGGGTTCCTAATCCCACCTGCCAAAAGAAATGTTCAGTTTTTGTCATATAATATCGGTTTGAAATGATGAAATATAATTTTCTCTGCCTTAACGACAGGTTGCATTTAATGTGTTTTTGAAAAAGGTTGGTTAAAATTAGGTAATGGTACTTCTTTAAGAAATACACTTCTGTGCTTGTCTGGTGTATTTTACTATGATAATTGCAAAAATAACGTAATTTGTTTGGTAAAATTCTAGAATCATTCTTCAAATAACAAACATCATCTTTTTTGCTGCCACTCTACCGGTTTTCGGAAATCACCATGCATTACAGTCCGTGCAGCTCTGGTTGATTGGAAATCTTTTAGGAAGTGTCGCCAACAAAGAAAAAAAAAATTAGCCAATTGAGGACCACCTTACTGCTGGTCACATACATGTTAAAATGGGAAAACAATGTTTAATTTCCAAAAGCCCTTTCTGTAGAGAGGTTGGGTAATAGCATTATAAAAGTATCAAACGATCTTGCATCTTGAAAACAGTTATAATTCATACAACACATGGCGCTCTCGTTTGCCATTTCCAACTTGAGATTGCGAATTTGCTTATGATTTGAGTGTTTACAACGGATGTTTAGGAGGTAACATTTGTTTTGCCGAACTAGACCCTTCTAACTGCCATAATGTCTGCGGTTAAGGCCTTACATGTTTACAAGCACTGATAACTCAATTTTCTGGTACGATTTTAATTTTTGTTGTCTATAAAATGAGGTTATTTTAAGATTTCGTTGATGTAAGAAATGTTTGGAAAGAACTTAGTAGATACAAGGCTTGAATTATCTAATGAAAGTTCGAAAGCCGGAACTCTCTGTAGTGAAGATGGTTTAAATCTTTAAAAAAAGCTTCATGTCCAAGGCAAAATGCCGAATTTTATCAGTCTTGTATGAGTAGAACGGATTGTAAAGCAGTCAAATAATGTAACTCCCCTGTAACTTGGATCTTGTATTGTTTTTCGATCACACTGCCAGAAACCCTTTTGTTTACTCAGATTTGTTAGGAAGATCAGGTTTATTGTGATACCTATACTGTAAATAAAGACCCAACTAGCTTAATAAATAATACCATATGGCATAGGAATATAAGGGTGTTCTACCCAAACCTCTCTGAGCGGCAGGCCAAAGAAAAGCAAAATAATGTTTAAGCTGCGAGAACCGATTTGTATTTTGACTGTTTCACGTGTTTGCGTGCTGGAGCCTACTTTACAAACCACTGGATATATCATAGTTATAACTGCACTTTCCAATTGCCTTGTAGAATCGATTTGAATTTTATTTATCGATTTCGAGTCATTTTCTTTTGAGGAATAAAAGCAACTTCGTCTAAGATGTAGTTTAACGTCATTTGTGTTTTCTGGCAAAAACCCGTTTCTTTAACTACAAAAGACGATTGGGTAAAACTGCCTCGACAATTGCTTGAAAACAATTCCGGATGCCTAGAAGACTCGGTATTAAATTTACTTTGTTGAAAAAGCAGATATCCATTGATCCCAACGAATACGAATGAATTGATTTGCAGTCTTATTTAATATAATAGAGAAATGATCACAATGTTAAGAAAGAAAACACTTCCAAGATGTGTTTCTTAGACCATTAACATTTTACGGAAACCTCTGCGAATCAAGACTCGACACGCTAAGCTGGTGAAAATTTAAAGCCTTTAGTTTAACCACCAAATTCATTACATTGAAAAATTCATCAAGTCGTGGTAAGTTTAATTTTTCAGATTTGCAACCACAGCAAAGAAACCCAAATGCAAACTTGAACTCAAATATTGTATTTTGTCAACATATTCGTTTCACAAAACAGCTTAGCTTTAATCTGAAAAGACAAATCTCGTAAAAGATTCTTCCTTAGATTGGCTTTTTACCAGCAAAGCGATGTTTTAAAAGATCTTCGATCTGCGAGGAAACGAGTTTAAAACTGTATTGGTTCGCTTGCTATTTACTATACTGATTGAGGTAAATCGCTTAGCGCCTTAGGCGTTCGAAACAATGGTTGTGGTGGTGGAAGACACGATTTTCTATCTTCTCTTACGATGAATAGGAATTACATCTCAATGATACATTACAGATATCGTAGTTATACGCAGTTGGTAAAACGGCCCGGATTTTGTCGTCGTTCCCTACCGTCTAAGTTCGTCAAGGTTTACTGAAAACAGAAAATATGACTCAGGAGGATATTTGCATAATGTGGCAAACAGAAAAGAAGCCAAAACTATCTCGCTGTCGGTCAGACTGTGGTGTCTTTCAAAACATTTGAATCATATGGCTTAGAATGCTATTTTTCGACTAAACAGTATAAAAATTCTGTCCAGTGAGCATTTGGGCAATGTCTTTTGTTGACATTCTAGCTTTAAGAAACCTGTTTACCAAGAAGTATACCGCGATATTTTTTTTTGCAGTCTCTTAGTGGAATTGCTGTGATGATCCGCTGTGTGTGATGACAATTTTCTTTAACGTTTTGTTATCAAAGCAAGAGTAATTTGCATTTAAGGGTTATCAACAATTTTGCCAATTATGCATGGATGCTTTTCGCGGTCATCGTGTAAATAAATCGCCAATTGATTTGTGTAAGAAAAATAAGGTTTTTCTACCGTTTTTCCCTCTATTCTTTCTTAAAACATCCCCGTGTTATTTCTTTATGTTAACAGGTCTTTGAAGTCAGGACTTAACATCGACAAACATGAGGTTTCCGTCGACAATATTATTCTGGATGACTTTAGGAAACGCTATTTGGAGATTGGCTGAAGCAGAAGAAGAAAAGTAAGATATTATTTCATTCCGTTAAAACTTTTTACACGAGCCCTTACGAAAAGTTATTTTCAAACATTATTATGTGTAGGAAAATGTTCTGTGTTCCCTGCTGGTATATGATAAGAAAATAACCGACTTATTCGGCCATACGTACTTCGCCATTGGGGATAAGAAGGAAAACATAGAGTTATGATATTTCCTCATATCTGATCTGTAAGGAGTACATTGATTAGCTCTATTGTAAGTAATCATAACCAGTTCCTCTTTTTGCCGACCTCTGCCACAGTTTGCCTTCTCAAGTGCGATGATCTGTTCTTCGTAAATAATATATGTTTGAACGGCATGCAGTATTGTATTGATCTTTTTCAAGCTGATATTTTTGTACAGAAAGCCACTAATATTAACCATAGCAAGTGAACAGCAATGCAAAAAAAAAAAAAAATTTTCTGAGCTCCGCCAGTAAAGGGGAAGACAAATAAAAGTTTTAATGAAGATGAGTTCAAGCGGCTCGGAAAAAACCCTTTATTCTCCTCTCTCACATCGCAACAGGGAATCCAGGCCCTACTTTAAATAAACGAGTTGCACTTAATAGGATAGGAAGTGCAGACGTTTTTAGACGCCGATGGCGATCAAAGTCCTCTTACAGCAATAATACGGGAAGTTCCTGTTTTTGCATTTAAAACGAAATAGCACAAACAAAAGATACCTGACATGTCCCTGGAAAAGAAAATTTGAACTTCCTGTTACCCTCCTCCTCTCAAAAACATCGTCACAGAAATTCAGTTTCATAATATCCTGCCCACCTACGACTTCAGCCCGATGGCAATTCAAATAAAAACGACCGATGCACTAATTAGATGCACCTGATGTCGGCAAAAGATCATTGTCGTGTGCTTACATATGCTGCCATTAAAACAAGATGAAATAGAATAAGTTAAAATCATGTAAAATGAAATAGTATAACAAAATCAGTTGAAAAAAAAATGGAATTGGCATCACCCTTAAAACTTATTTAGATCCAAGAACATTTCATCTCTGTCCTTAACTCTACTATGTGCTGTGATTTAATTTCAAAGATGTTGTAAAATTTACCATCTGAATGAGCAAATTAATAATTTGATAGATAAATAGATAGATCCATGAATGATTAAAGGCAAAGTTTTTAAAGGAGCCTTTATTCTTTGTCAAGGGCTCTTATGAGAAATAAATGAATTAAATGATTTTCCGACCTGTTGATGCAACCACAGGCATCCCAAGCTCACGTGGTGATGCTACCAAATGAGGCATTGATCTTCAAAGGTAAACTTCATTTGACGGAATTACCGAAGAGAAAACGAAGCTTGAAAAAACTGTGGCCTCAATGGAACACCAATAACGTTTACCTTGTCATCATTATGTGTCCAGGTGTTCGAAACACATCTAAGCATGAATTTACTTCAGACTTCTCTTTATGTAATTTCGTAATTGCATTGCCCCTGAGAGGAAAACTTTTTAATTCATTATTTTTACATTTACATACTGAAAGTGACCTTGAGGCGCAACGCATGTTGATGATTTTTTCGCGTTTTCCATGATAGGTCCCTTAAATATTATGAAAAGTCGATGGAAGAGGCCTTACAGCTTGCCAACAAGATAAATGCTGCTTTAGCTGTGCATGACAAGAAGGTTCGACCAAACGCTGGAGGTGAGAAGATAAATCAGGAGACATGTTAATCTTTAAACGAAAATCACTGATCAAATAGATAAGAAAAAAAACCCTTCAAACTAGACAGAAGTCGGGGATGCTTCCATAGGCTGTAGTGATTTTTTCCTCCAATCCCGATAAGGGAATGGATGGGCTTATTGATTCAGATGAATAACTCTTAAATTGTAAGACATAGTAACCGATGTTTCTCCATTATACTCTACTGCACACTAAGACTTTCACTGAGCCACATGGACTAATTCTCTCTCTCAGGTCCTCCTGTAATGGTTGATGTAGAATTCAAGATCATTTCGATTGGAGAGATTAAAGAGGCTAGCATGGTAAGAGATAAATCTACTATAGGATAGAAAGGTTTTTGATATTAAAAGAGTGAATTAAGAATTTAGAATATGTAAATTGACGAATAAATTATTTTATCCCCTCTGAAAGGAATACACAATGGATATCTTCTTTCGTCAATGGTGGGTTGATCCAAGGCTGGCGCACAATTTTAGCACTCCATTCAACATGGCAGGGGACGCTACCAAGTTGATTTGGACACCAGATACATTTTTTTGGAATGTAAAAGCTGCCAAATACCACAAAGTAACAAGGGAGAACATGAGAATCAAAATCCACGGCGATGGAAAAGTGTATTTCAGTACGAGGTAAGACTAAGTTCCGGGCTCAAACAAGTTTCCCAAGAAGGTTATTGGTTTTTTAATATTTCAATGCTAAAGCTGTTTTTCCCTGTTTTGAATGCAGGATTACCTTTACGGCTCAGTGTGATATGAATCTTCGCTTGTATCCAATGGATATTCAAGTTTGTCCATTGACCATTGAAAGCTGTGAGTACGATATTTCAATCTCTAACGACCAGGATGACTTCATCAGTTGCTTTTAATGAATTCTGATACTCTCAAGAGAAGTGACTACAATTAAGAACCCGATTGTCAAATAGATGTTGATACACCAATTGTTACTCACCTTTCACTATTCATCACTAGATGCACATACCACAGCTGATGTTGATTATCGATGGAAAGGAGGAAAGTCACAGGGTGTTGAAATCGTCTCTAAAGAAATGGCCCAGTTTGAGTTTGTTGGTGCGAAAACCTCAACCAAAGCAAACACCAATAGTAAAGGTAAGATAGGAAAAGCTAAATATTTTGCGAAATATCGTTGAACCATGAAAATAATCCACATGAAAATTAACATTCTTGTCTTTACGATGAAACTGAGTATTTTGATTTTAGCAGTGATATTTTTTGTTCAAAGACCGGAGGCAAATCCGATGTATTACATTCCTTTCCTCTTCAAACTTGAAATGCATTTAAAAAATTTTGAGACTACTCCATAGAAAAATAAAAGAGGAGAGTTATTGATTCATTGAAAACTGTGCTATCCTTTGTTTTAAGGTTCTTTTGCCAGCCTGCGGGCATTTTTCACATTCAAGCGTCGCGTGTCGTACTTCATCACAGCGACCTACATGCCTGCTATGGTCCTTGTGATCCTCAGCTGGTGTTGCTTTTGGATCACCCGCGCTGCTGTACCAGCCCGAGTCACCCTCTCCATAACAACAATTTTAACCACCATACTACTCTACGGTTCGGTCAATTCTAATATGCCTAAGGTAGTTATTCAGTTATCAGACAAGTGAATGAATTTGCATCTTCAGCCTAATGAATGTCGAGGGCGTTAAGCTGTGCCATTGTATTTTAAATACTATCGAATTCAGTATCTTTTTGAAAGTCCTCTTGTTGGAATCAGAAATATTTTTTGTTGTTAACAAGGAAGGGTGTGGTTTGGATGGTAATCTTGGGTCTGATTTATGAAGGTTAGGCTTGTCGCTGTCTCACCATAGCTCGGATTCTTTTTCTTCTTTTTCTGGATTATTCCGTTTTTCTTTCCCAAAAATAATTCAAAGTGTCAAATTCTAGTTCAACCTTGCTTCAAACAAGCGTTAAAAGCTTTTCAGCTCTTAAGCTCTTCAGTGAGTGAAAAAGCTACTTTATTTTGTGCTTGACAGAAAAATAAAAAACTCTGATGCATACTTCGATAATTTGTTCCAAATTTTATTCCAATTTTTCAACAGGTGAGCTACAGTAAAGCCATTGACTACTTCCTCATGACATCATTGGGATTTATCTTTATGTCACTTCTGGAGTTCATTCTCGTCCTCAACACGGATCCACGCTTCTGGACTCAAAGGCGAAGAGAGCAAAAGGCTGAAAAATTGAAGTCACTTTACAAAGTAATGACTTAAGACAGCTTGTCAATACTGCATTCTGTAAGACATTGTTAAGTGCTCGGAGGCCATCCATAAGGCCGCCTTATTTGCACCTACTTTAGAGACATACGCTTTAGAGAAATTTGCTCTTTTTTCTTAACCCTTTCACCTGTCAGCTGGAAACGAACGGCATGAAGAAGTTTGAAAGATGAACAAAAGGGTAATTGTAATGCTATACGAATCATTAAAAACGTTAAGTGGAAACTGGAAATAACTGTTCGGAAGTCATGGTGACGAGCATTGTCGACGTAAAAGGATTTGAAACCTGTCACAAAAAGGGACTTGTAGGAAAGCATTTGGGATTGTACATACAGCTAATTGACGCGGTTACTGGTATTTTCGATGGATAGCAGTGCCAACCATGGCAAATGGACAACCACAATTCATTTATTATCATTTAGTCTACTTTTGTCAGAGCTTAATGATGCAAAAGCTAAAACATGGCAAAATGCCAAACCTGACGGCGGCGTCGTGCAAACTATTGCTTCTTCATTTCATTTTTACTTGGCAGAAAAGTAACGTAGAAAAGAAAAAATTGGTAATGCAATATCGTTTTATTTATCACTCAGGAAACTCCAGCCGAGACTGTTGTCACGCTCATGGACGGCAAGGCTAAACCAACCGATATTCTTAAGGAAAGCACAGACATGACTCCTCTTAATGGCCCAACCAAAGAACGTGAGAAGGATCCACCAAAGGCACCAGAAGCACCACCAGCTGCCAAGACCCATTGGATCGATTACGTCGCTCGTATTCTTTTCCCCATTGTCTACTTCTCCTTTGTAACCTTCTATTGGATATACTACATTAACCATCCTGAGTCAGCCATGGGTGGAGTTACTGAGTGATGCTCAATCAGTACCTTGTCGGAAGTTGACTTAAAGTTTGTGAGCGTATTATAAACTACATATGGTGTTGTAGCTTTTCTTCTTTCGCTATAGCTCATATTAATTCTTTTAGCTGGACTCCGTCACATGAGAAAAGTGCTTAATAATTTATAAAAAAGCAAAAACCAATAAGAGCTCTCAAAATATTAGTTCTCTTCAGCCTCAAATTGATTACTAAAAGCAATGTGTTAAATACTAAGCTCAAGGTGAATTTTCACGTTGATATGTGTTTGCAAGGGTGGACTAAAATCACTGGAAAAGAGGGTTATTTGAGGGAGTACGGTCATCTTATCGGTGCGTAATTCAGACTCATCTTTGGAGGCAAGTATAAAAGTAGTGGTATGGTCTTTTTTGATAATTTTGGGAAAATTTTGTTTCATAATATGCATATCAAAAGCTGCTTTACGAAGAGGAAATCTGTCTTGCTCTAAGCAATTATCCCAAGAAATTACTTTAGCTGCTCTGTTGTATTTTTCGAGAACTTGAATTCTCCTTGGGGTCGTAGAAACAAAATAAAACAGAAAAGGTCAGCTAAGTCGCGTTTTGTAACTGTTCAGCGCGCGCCCTCCTTATGAATGAACACGCGTTTTATTTTGGTTCAAACATGATTTCGAAATTACGACTTAGAGTTCATAATGATGAATAAATAGCGGAAACGTTTGGTTAGGTGGAATGGGAATACACTTGGCCCTCATCTAGTGAGAGAGCCTGTCAGTAAGACGCCTTACTTTTTTCGATGCAAAATCCTTACGACTAGAGTTTAAGTCAGAATAACGACGGATTAATTTATCAGCTGTTAAAAAAAAATGAGATGTTTATATTAATGGGAGCATAATATTAGAACTAGAACACAACCTATTTCACTTAGCTTATGTAACAGAACACCTACAGTAGTTACATGACGGTTCCGGATTCTAATAATTTGGTAAACTAATTTTTTTCGCGGTCTATCGAAAGGGAAAACAATACCCACAGAAAGACAAACAAGAGTGAAAAACTTGTAGATGCAGCGCGGTTTGTTTTCCTTACCAGAAAATAATTTATCATTTGATCACAAGTCTCAGAGGTCGCTAACTCATTCCATGGAATGTTCATTTATAGTACAGCAGAATGATGTTCGGTCGATTGCTAATTTAAGAGACAAGAAATACAAATCGAGCATTTATAATTAGTGTAGTGGATGTTTTCACATCTTGTCCTTGTTCTGCAAATAGTACGCGCCACTTTAAAAAACGAGATAGAAAAAGTCAGAGTCTGAGTTAGTGTCAAATTTGGTATTTAATTTAAGTATAATTTATCAAAATAAATCATTTTTAAATATACACGACCGCGATAATATTATTATTAAACGTTAAACGTATTGAATTCGTGGCAATTATTACAGATGTTAAGCTTACAACTTGCAATAAGCGTCATTGTAAAACATTTCCAAACAATTGTTTAATGATTTCAAGAGGAACTTCTAAGGAGAAAAGAAGTCATCTTCGAATTTCCTATTTGGAAAAACTTATCGATCGTTTTAATATTAATGTAAGGAAAAAATTCTCACGTTCTTGAACTTTATTAAGAAGACATCGACGTCTGTTCTCTGAAATTGTTAATATGGCAATGTCTTCTTGATAATATGTAAATAAAAAGCTCTTTATTAACAGCTAATAAAAGCTGCGTGACATTTGGTGAATTGAATTGAGAATCTCATTTGAGTGCATCTTATTAAGTACCTAGAAGAAACGACGCAGTTTTATGTTATGTGAATAACGATATTCCTACAGTGTACATGACAAGCATAAATGGGTAAATTTCTGAAGAAACTGTGGTGCTGCGTCGGTGGTAGAGTATAACAAGGTAATTTCGTAAATTGGCCACCGAAAAGAGTTTCAAAGCTCACCTTTCGAATGTTACGTTATCAACTAAGTCGATAATACCAAATTACCTTGTTATTTGACAAGCAGTCGATGTTTTTTCAGTGGGGATAACCTGCGGTTGAATTCTCTTAACTTTTCATGCGTTTTTCTCGGGATGTAAGAAAATCTCCACACACTGAGAAATTGTGGATAAATACCCTGAAAGACTATAAAATCTCGGGGTTATCAAGAAATCCAGATGATCTGGAAAAAAATAAAACAAGCGTAGGATGACTCACTAGGAATGCGGAGTAGTAATGCCACAGTGTGCATTGGGAAGCCCCCTCCACCCTGATTTTGACCTCCTCATTTGGTGTTTAAAGAACGTCAGTACGCAGCGACCCTACTGAGTCTTAAGGAATGACCTCAACCTCGTTTTTGTTGTGAGGTTGACTCTGCAAGAATAAAACTCTGCCACCGCGTGATAAAACTATATGAGGTAAGAAACGTGCCAAATCTTGACCTCAGTTATGTAGTAGAGAAAGGTGCCATTTTATTAATCACGAGCATGGGAAAAAAGGGAGCTCTGATCCACCCATGAAAAATCGATATTTTGATCTCTAGCTTCGGCGCTCAAGACTACCGGGTACTCTATGGTGACCTTGGCCAAAACTGGGTTCACATGTCCTTACCAAGCTGGTTTCTGCTCTTCGTCCCTGCTTCAAAGTAATTCAGATTTCAACAAGAGGCACAAACAGTGGACAAAGAACCATGTCGTGGATGTTGTACTGTGCGAAACTAAAATGTTTTCAATTATCGTATGACCTATGAAGGTCAGAGGAGAATATTCAATACTAGTGATCTAAAAAATCATTAAAAATTGTTCTGTGCTTCAATAAATCTAAAAGGTTAAATAAAGTGGTCGAAAGATAATAATTTTGTGATTAAAAATTTTCAATTCCTCAAAAACTCACAACTGGCTTTTTATTTCCTTTTATGGTAGATGCATTATTATGCGTCTAATTACCTTATGGCATAAATCATAGGTTACACATGTAAACAGCAATAGGTCTTGCATGAAAAATCCATGGGTCATCTATCCTGATGTTCTCGTCAATCCTCTCAGACTAAGTTATCTCAGTTCTAAAACTCTAAGAATTACACGCCTACCTTGTTAGTAAGTTACTTTGTTATAGTTAAGACGATGACTTGTTGAAGAAGCTCAGGCGTGTGGCGAGGGACTTATCAGTGAGCGAACTCGTTAATTTGTTGATAAGCATGTGAGAGCGGGAGTCAACGAGTTACTGAGTCAGTCAGTAAGTCGGTGAGTCGGTGAGTCGGTGAGTTACAATTCCGTCAGTTAGTGATTGAGTCATTGAGTGACTCAGTGAGTCAATCGGTATGTCAGTGTATGAGTATGTACGAGTATAATTGGTCAGTCAGCCGTTTCTTCAGCTAGTTAGGTAGTTGGCTTATTATTTAGTAATTTGGTTTTTTGATAAAAGTTTGTTATTAAGAGTTATTTTGTGAATTTTCCATTAAATGACAAGTTGATTACTTCACTCTTGGTGAACTACTTCATTACTTTACTAGTTATTCCCTTAATTAGTAAGCCTAAACAAGTTTGTTAGTTAGTGGGTAATTAAACTTGCTCAGATGTAAGCTGGCAGGATAGAAATTGCAATCAGTCAAAGAAGCTAGGTGGTAAGTTTTTATTCTGTTATCTAGAATGCTTGCTATTTTACACATATGACGTGCACTCAGATGGCTAAAAAGAAGATTTTCTAATTGAATTATTCAGAATAAATATTTGGGTGCTTCAATTTAGTCCTCTTATGAATAATACTCCTATTGATGGTATTCTGAGTTGGTTTTCGATCATTTGTGTGCAGATTTCGGACTAAGAATATTTGGGTGGTCACTGCGTTTTTCGCCTGTTGAGTTAAGTAACTTGTGAAATTTTAATATGTCGAACGGAGACGCTCATTTTTCACTGAACATTTTCGATTCCTTTATTATCCGTCCCTGTTCCCAAAAGCAATAAATAATCACTACTGTTAAGATTTAGTCTCAGTTCTAACGAAACATGGTTCGGGAGCTCAGCTACAAAATTACTTCATAAAACCCAGCGTTTGCTGATCATGAAAGATTACTTGCAATTTTATGCTTTGTTTAAACATTCAGAGAACTTATATTACTTAACAGCGCTTATCGTTTAAGAGTGCCCCCAAATTTTCCATGTAAAAAATCATTGTTTAAAAAAAAAAAACTTGCATCAAATAAATTATGGTTAAAAAAAACAATCTTAAGTCAGTGATTTTTAGAGTGGTGCTTGATCTACAAATTTACGCCAAAACAAAACAAGGAAGGCAATGTAACTGGCTGGGAAGATAATTCGGGAAATTATGTCGACCCAGTGGGAGCTGATTTTTTTCCTCTTTTTAGGTGGGTCTTTATTGATAGGTTTGACCTGAATCTTGTCTTGATGCATTGCACCCGTGTTATCGAATAACATCACTGTAGCTCCTTGGCCTCCGTTAGAGACCACTACTCGCTGAGTAAGTGTGTGATCACACCCTCCCACGTGGCTATTTACTGCGGGTGTACTAGTTTCAGGGGAGTGGCTGATCTCAGCGTCGATGAGTTCTGTATCTGGCTCAGTATTGGAGCTATTCTGTGAATAAATTGAAAGATTACTTTTTTAAGAAACAAAATTAAGAAAAATACTGTACAATCACATTTAAAAGACTCCCCCTATGGGTTTCAAGCTAGTGATAAACTTGCAAACTAATCAAAGTTCGATGTGCTCGTGTTTGAACGAGGGAAATTAACTAGCTAACTAACATACCAATTAAGCATCTAAACAAACACATAATCAGCCAAGTGACCTAATGAATGACTAACTCAGAACTCAACAAATGCTTAGTTAGTTTACTTTATAATTAACTGATTGACTGACATACTGACGAGCTTACTAATTTACTGAATGGCTAACTAATTAATTATCTAACGTATTGACTTACAAACTGAGAGATTGACTGATAGGTTAACTTACCTTTGAGGTTCGTGAGGCACGAAAATACAAAGGATATATCACAACATAAGATATATACAGATATATTTTTACCAAAAGGTGATGCTCGACTGAGTCTGACTAGTGGAGATGCAGGTTATTATGCATTTGTTTCCAATCTTACTATGAGAAGAGATCGATTAGAATAAGGCTGCAGCGCCAGTGGCTAAGAAACTACAGACTAATGCATACCTCAAAGATACCAGTCACAACAAGAAGCTAATAAAGATTTTTACCTCTTTCTCGCGTACGGCATCCATAAGTTTTAGTGGCTGTTTTCCTCTCTATTTGTTAACAAATATAAGGTATTGTGGTAAACAAAAACATAAATTTTATATAGTTCGCCGGTAAAAAAAGAACACTTCCAGAAATGAATAAAGTACATGATTAAGAGCAAGAAAACTGATTGAGTTGATATAAAAATTTGGTGATATTACCTTTTTGGGTCGTAATCTCAGGCACACCAAGAGACATTGCAGCCATTTAGGGTCAGGATCAGTGTTCAATACAATCACAAACTCCAGAAATGAAAGGAAAATGAACCCAAAGCTGACTAGTAAGAAATAGTCTTGAGCCTTACTGTAACTGACTGGTGGCATGGCTTCGTTCACTGAGCCGCAAAGCACGATGGCTGTAAGAATTATTGTGATACCCAGTGACGCACGTGCGGGAACAGCATCACGGGAAATCCAGAAACAGCACCATGAGAGCATTACAAGAGTCACTCCTGGAGAGAAAACCGAAGAAACGAAATATTCCAGACGGCGTTTGAACGAGAATATAACGCTCAGACCGGCGAACGAACCTGCATGTCAAAATGGAAAAAATACCACACGATGTAGTAAGAATTAAGCATTCAAAATCAATGATTTCAAGGATCTACGAGTCTCTTGTGATCCGCCATTGTTATGTCACACCACCTCGTCAATTCGAGGAAATTTATCCGAAAGAAAGGAGAGGAACTTAACTAAAAATTCATCAGCTTGATACCTTTGCTGTTCTTTGTGTCTCTTAGTTTCGTGTCTATGCCAGCCAACTCAAACTGAGCCATCTCTTGGGAAACAATTTCGATCCCTTTTCCTTTGTTTGCGTCAGTTTTTCTCCATTTATAATCCACGTCATCAGTAGTATGAGCATCTGAAATGATAAGTAAATCAGCCAAACGATGAGGCATACTCGTTACCTTCTCCAACATTGCAAATTGTACTATTTCTAGAGTGTGATTGGTTAAGGAAAGAGAAACTGGAGAAAGATAATTATAATTTTAAAAAACGCAAGAGGGAGTCCTCGGTAAATATTTGGACTTCAAACCTCCAATCTCTCGATAGGATTCACCCTAAAAACATTGCGGTGAAGAGGGCTTGTTGGAAGCCTGGCTGTAAAATTATGCTGAGTTCTCAAACGATGTTACTTCTCCGAAATCGAAGTGAATATTCTCTTAAGAAGTAAATTTCAGAAAGAATAGGGCATTCTTCTGCTTTTTATTCATTTCTCAGTTTTACTGAAAAAAAATTGAAGTACTCTGTAAATAATCTTTGTAATGTTTGCAAAACAAGATCAGACCACTCCAACTTTGATATCGAGTTACAGACGTACTCACAGCTTTCAATGATCAGAGGACAGTGTTGGGTGTCCATTGGGTAAAGTCGGAAGTCCATGTCACATTGCGCCGTCAAGGTTATTCTGCAAAGAAAGTGGAAACAGATATCACCAAAAGATATTGAAAATATTTTGTTTGTCATTTTAGTTGCTTTGGGTAATAGAACATT